CGGCAAGTACGGCCTGGCCTTGGACTTGTTGATGTCAATAACATTTATGATAAAACAAGATGCAGCAAACACAAACTTTTCATCATCATGATCCACATAATTTTTAACAAATAAGTCTACATTATAATGAGTCTATATCCCGCTATTGCAAAAGCGAACAAAAATTGAGAAAAGGTCTAATTTCAGCCATTCGAGATTTAGCTAGCAACTAGCAAGCCTCGAAAGGCAATCTCCCATCTCAAAAATAGCCAAACATGAAATGATAAATGAGTCACGAGTGTGCAGTAATGATTTATAGCTTCTTATTCTTAATTATGGGGCATGCAAGTCGTAAAAATTAAAATGTTAAACTCAAACTTCAAGGCAAGTCACTTTTTCTTTTAAAAATTACAATCTTCTTCAACTTCTTGCTCAAATTTTGATTCGACTCTTGTGAGTTTTGAAAAAGTCTAGTGTAGATTTTATTAGGTTTCAAGTAAAATCAAATCTCAGGTGCACAGACTTGTGTTATGCTCTATATTCATACAGATGTAGCTCTCTCTCTCTCTCTATCTCTCCTCCTCCTCCACTGCAGCTGCAATCGTGCTTGCTCGGGCTCGCTCCTCGCCCGACGCCAGCCGCTCAGCTCACCAACAAAGTGAACACGGTAAGCTTCACACCGGAACCGGCGTAGAGATCAAGCGATCATTTTCGCAAACGAAATATACACATTAAATCATAGAATTCAGATAGTTTATTAAAATATATATATAACATACCTCTTTCTGTTTCGGGTCCTGAGGATAATAGCCCGGGGGCCCAAGTTTGGGCCGTTTTAATTGCCTCAATTCATGTGGCAAAAGATGCGTCATCTTGCCAGATTCGATGAGCTGAGGTCCTCTACTCCAGCAAAGTTAGATCCAAATTCGTATAGAAATTAAAGCTATGGTAGCGTCGAAGTAAAACAAAAAAAGATAACTGATCAGTTTCTGTCGACACCATGCAAGTTATTGTTTTTGTTCTTTTCTTTACTGTTAATTTCTGCGGGGACGGGGGCACTGACGTACTGATGAGGGGGCTTAATAACATTGAAACGTGATTTTATTCTTATTCGATATCAGTGATTAACAAGTGTTGCTGAAATGACACGATTTTTTTTCTGCCCCCCAAAGTTTTTGCTTCAAAACAACTCGTATATTGCATCACGTGCATAAAATATATCATACTAGGTCGAATCATTATATTCAATCCAACTTCGATCTTGTTACTGACGTACATGATTATAATACAAGAAATAGACGATTCAACTTTAACTTACCAGAAAGAGTAGGTAGTATTGAAAATTCGTTTTATTACAATTCCATAAAACAATTCCCTTCCCAATGGTGTAAAAGAAATAGGAAACTATGATCATTTTAAGAGGAAATTAAAGGAATCCTTGACAGTCAGAGAAGAGAAGTGATCGAATGACATGTTATATGATTGAAATTTTTATTCTTCTGTCGGTTCAAACTTTTTCATGTTGTATATACTTATGTTTTCGTACGTTATAGAAATTCTACAAATTCATCTTTATTTTCCTCTTCTTCCTTCTCCTCTTTTTCTTCTTCTTGAATATCATTTCTATCATCAGTTTAATGTTGTTATTATTATTATTATCTTTATAAGCAGTTCTTTTAATTTTCTTATCTGTCTGTAAATATTACTATTTTAACTTATTAATTTTATACATGTCTGTAAGGGACCCCACTGGAAATAAGCTCTCGAGCTTTCGTGGGTTATCCTGTTCAAGCTGACTTATTTTTGATCTGTTATTATTGTATATTGTTGTATGTTGGAAGCTTGTCGAATAAAAATCAATCAATCAATTCAAATTTAAACTTTATTGATTTTAATACAAACAGATAGGATCATTCTCAATTTGTGTACATTGGATAACAAATTTCAAAGTTATAGTGTAGATAATTGAGTATAAGAGTAAAAATAACAATAACCAGGAGTGACAAAATTAACATACTACTGCATGTCTCATCTGAAATATAATACAGGGATGAAAATAAATTATATTACTCGTAATAACCTATACAATTTTCCCCTTTTTCCCCTTTTCTTTTCAAATAAAAAGAAGAAAAAATACAACATCATAATAAGACAATATACATATATATGTGTTTATGATTACCAAATTTAGATGATCCCTACAAGAGATTAATAAAAATGGTAAAACACAATCAATGATCTACTAATTTCGTATATGGGCGTATTTCTATCACATAATAGACGATCAAAATATATTAATATATTAATAGTACTTGTACAAAGATAAATAAAAAACAATACTTGAACTTTGTATATCATTATACATACATACACATACATATTATGGGCCAATAACATTTGAATTTGAATTATGTATTTATCTACTTAATTATTTATTTATTTTTAATTAAAACGGAGGAGGGGGTGTAATGTGTATGCTTATTACGCCACTGGCTGGTGAGGGGGCGCAGGATATTTGTACCCATGCTAAGCGACTACGTGCTTCATATTGAAGAAAATGATGATCGCCAGCCGCCACATACATAATAATAATAATAATAATAATAATAACGTTATATTTACCCAGGGTAGCCACTTCAGTTTATATGAAACTGCTCTTCAAGCGGTTAATATATTATTACTACCCTTCTCCAATCTAATATGCTGAGCGCCTAGCTATAAGGCAGAAGGGTCCCATCGTTATAAGTCTTTGGTATGACTCGGCCGGGGATCGAACCCACGATCTCTCGTTGATGAGGCGGGCGCTCTAACCACTGAGCCACTAAGCCCGGTACAGGGATGCAATCTCAGGTAGAGTCATATTTTGCTAGAAAGGGTGGGCATTTACTGCCCATATGTCCCATTTGCAGGACAAAAAAATAAAAAGCTTATATTCCACCGGCATTATACTAGTTTAGAACTTCCCTCAAAACGAAAGGGCTTGAAAAATGTCTTTCTGTGGGAAAATATTTCGACCGTTAGTTATCGAATTGACTTTAGGGATTGCAATCCTTTTAGTAAATATATTTTCAGACCCTTAATTGTACCGAATGGTGTACGCTTAATAGTTTGTGCTGCGCATAGATTCAATTAGTTTAGTTTGGCCATTACAAGAAGTGGGTTATTGATTGATGTAGCACTAATCCCCTTTTCTTCATTTTTTTCTGTCTCTCTCTCTCTCTCTCTCTCTCTCTCTCGCTCTCCCTTCCACTCTCTGTTTGTCTCTCTCTCTCTCTCTCTCGTTCTCTCTCTCGTTCTCTCTCTCTCTCATTTTTATTTCTTCTTCTCTTTTACCTAATTTCCTTTCTCTTTCTTTTCTGTTTTTTTCTTTCCAGCGCATGTCATTTTCTCTCTCTTTTCCATTTTCTATAGGCCGCCAAAAAGGTGGGGGTAGCCAACCCCCCCCCCCCCCCGATCCACCACTGTTATTTACAATATCAAAGAGATACCTTTCTTTTTTTTTTAGATATGGTTGTATCCCCGCCTTTTCTCAAATTTATTAAAAGATCTTGCTATGTGGCTGAAATAAATACACATGACACCCAAACTTCACTAAAAGTTTGAACAATAATTATCACCAAACGAGCTAAATCAATGAGTCAATTCATTGGAAATTGAACAACGCCCTCTATACAGATTTGCTAAGGAAAAACTGTGCATTCAGTTTCCTAAAGCTTTTAGCAAATCCTAGTGTTTCGTTGTTGCTCTCAACTCCTCCCAATTTCTACGAAATGAAACTCTTCTCCGAATGCACACGCTCAATTTTTTTTCCAGGAAAGAACTTCATGACGTAATTTTGTTGACTTGCGGAAGCTTATCAAAAAGATATATCTTTCTTCTAAAAGAATATATATTGTGGGAGGATCAATATTTATGCAAAGGGTTATCATTAAAAACAGATTTTATTCGCACATTAATTTTATATGCAATCATGAACTGATAAAAAGACAAGGTCATATATGAGGGTTATAATTTCCCTTTTCACAGTTATTCACATAATAATGATTTGCTTTGGATCTCAAAAACACTTTTAAAAAGGAGTGAAAAAGTGGGAATTAATATCAAGACTCGATTACTAATATTTCCCTTTCCCGCCATTTTGAAAATATCAATACATGGAGTAAACTTTGTGGGTCATTCTGCATGATGTCACATCGATCATAATAGTGTATATGCGACACGTTTACATACTGTATACACAAATTAGAACGAACATTCTTCTGTCTGCGTACAAGCCAATCCCACATCCCCAAAATAACTATAACAAAAATCTTTTTGAAACAATCAACAACAGCAATCAAATAACACACAATCAAACAACAATAATATCAGCAAAAACAACAAAGATAGATAAATCAGTTTATCGTTAAAATCACTAATCAGGTACACAAAGCAGTGAAAGTCGATGTATTCGAACACTATATCTACAATCCAAAAAAGATTGAGCCAAAAAAAAATATGAAGAAGACATAAAAGCGGAGAAACGATTAAATCTACAAGAAGTAAGACGGGTACCTGCAAAAATATCTTTGTTTATTTTGGAGAAATAAACAACGTTTTCCAAATAACTTTTTGTTGTCTCAGAAATTGGGGGAAGGGTGACTCACACTCACCGGAACATGCAAGGGGTTGATGTTGGGGGTAAGCTCTGACGTAATCATTCCGGTATAAGTAATTATTTACAACGTCAAACAGAAAAGATACACACAAAAACAGAAGGATCTAGATTGTGCACTACACTTAATTTCACTCAGGGCTTTGCTTTCCAAACCAGATTATCACTGAATCATTGCCAAATAAGGCATTACATGCTAAATCCCTTCAATTACTAAGCGACCGGTCGCATGGTCAACCCTAAATCAAAATGGAACCGCTCCTGAAAGTTAGCCAAGCTGTGACGTAGTATGACGTCACAACAGCCGGCGGACGCAAGGTAGCCAATGAGCGATAAGTTGCTCAATAAACTTGTTGGCACTGCCTCGAGGGTCGCACTGGTATAAAACAGAAACCACTTCGTGAATTACCATAGCAATCGGTACGTCGTGATCAGTCAGGAGTAAGAGCTAAACCTCCACTGACAGTTTTGGTTGAAATTGTCCATTTTTGCTGAAAAGGAGTTGGGCATCGGAAACAACAGCTGTAACGTCAATCAGACATCTTTGGAAAAGCTGTTATCACTTTGCATTCCGACTCCACGATCTGAGTGAAAGAGGAACTAAAGTTTTTAAAAGAAAAGGTAAGAGACCTGCTATACCAGGTATACTTTACCTTTACCGCCAATAATGGAAGAATGCTGAGACAACAGTCGAGCTTCCAGGTCTATCTTTTAATTGGTCTATCTTCTTGTACTATGTTAAATACGTGCACACTGACATTTTTATTGGTTATCTTGGCTTTTTCCTTCTTCTCTATCGTAATCAAGCGTGTTTCTAGAAGAAAGGGGGTGCTTAAGGTTCTTGCATTTTTGCACGTGGCTCGTTTAAATTCATGTATACAATCAAGATAAATTCGGGAGGGGGGAAGGGGCTTCACGAATTTTTTGAGGCGGGAATCTTGAGCCTAGCACTCCCCCAGAACCGCCACTGTTTCTCATGTATAGATCGAAGCAACTATAGAAAATGATTAAAAAAAACACGAATATTTTATAAATATCTGAATACTTTATAATAGGGTCTCCCTCCGAAGATTTATAAGTTAATGCTCTAGTGTAGTGTAAAGAGGCAGCAAGCGTATGAAAAATTTGATAAATTTAGAGCCCACTTTATGGTTGTTCATTAATATAAAGCTCTTGCTCACCAATCACAATGCATTTTATCAGGCCTTATTTCTGGCCAAATTGGCATAGTACACATTTTCTTGGCCTCATAATGTTTGAGTGTGCGGCATGGATGTATCTTTAATCCATCAAAGTTAACAAAACCGCGATCGATGATTTTAAAAATATGATATTTATCCAAACAAAATCGTCTATTATCACATTACAGTATTCAAAAATATATTTATTTGATTTGTCCGATGTTAAGCTTATAGGTTGTTTTTTAACAACTTTCAATTGAGGTTTATAATCCAGCGGTGTAGCTTAAACTTTTACATGGAAACTGCATTGTGGATTTTTCCAAATGACACATTTATAATCTGAAGTTTTTAAATTCATAAAGTGTAGAAACACAATAATTATAACGCGCTGCAAAAGCATCATGCATGTGCTTAAAACAAAAACTTAGATTTGATCTAAATATACTGATAGATGTACAAGATCTCACTACATGAATCATAACGGACTAACTTACTGGATTGATCACAAAAACTAAACTTAATGTGTGGGAAAACGATCACGAAACATCAGGAAATTACACTTCCTACGATACTGTAACAGCTCATCAATCTAACTAGCTGTCATTTATAAGTGTAATAAAACTTGGGCTTCCCAAAACACCAAATTTCCTGCATTTCGTGAGCGTGTGTCCCTATCTTAGCCGAATTAAAAGCAGCTGTTTCCTGACCGATTTGCGTGAACAGAAAAGAAACCCGGATTTCCGACGCTAAAAATCACGCGGTCAACAGTTACCCTCCCACTCTATTGTACCTTTAAGTTCAAAGTTCTGTATTTTTGGGGGGAGGGGGCTTACAAATTGGGGGCATACCCTGGCGTACCCTTGTATACCCTATCACAAGCCACTGCCTATTAGTACTGCTATCAGGATATATGTAAATGGAGTTGAATCCGGAAGGAAAGAGTACAGGAATATAATCAATTTAAATGACCATTCGTCTAGGGTTTTCTGGAGTTCACATTTTCTCTTTTAGATAGTCATGTACCATAATTTGATTTAAAAGTTAGTTTTCACTGGCTGCTTGCCGTAGCAACAAGCAGAATTGACAAAAGACTTAACTCCGTTTCGTTGACAATCAGCCATGCATTAAGTCTTTCGTCTATGGCTGATCGTCAACGAAACGGAGTAAAGTCTTTTGTCAATTTCGTTTGTTGCTACGGCAAGCAGCCAGTAAAAACGAAATCGTTTAATAAAATTATGGAAATGCAAGCATCGCTCTAAACAAACAGAACTTTGTTATTCCTTGCTCATTTTTCCTGATTGAGGTGTCATATGAAAGGGCAGTAACTGAACTTTCTGGAAATGTGATTTACTTTTTGAAATTCAGATACCACGGTCCGCCAAATCACTTTTTGGTTCCCTCTCTTCAAATAGATGTTAATCACTCATGCGTGAAATGTGCATCATTATGAGTTGCATCAAATGAAAGAGGATCTAAGCTTTACAAATAAGTGTCATTTTTTAATTATGATTGTGATTAAGTTATGATAATACATCGATAATTCTCGGTTTCATTTTTTCTGGGACGCACTGTATAGAGAGGTGGTTTATAATTGTAGAGATGGCCACTGTGAGACAAGTTTGACTCTACATGGTTTTTACAGACGTGTATCAATGAGATTACATTACACCTCGGGACTGACCTGTTTACGTCATCATTGAAAAACGTGACTCAGGTTCGAACTTAGGTCCCTATCAGTCAGTATAGGCAAAGACAGAGAAATGAACTAGTAAACGTATACCTCTAGACCAACACTCGTACTCTTTATTTTATTTTGAATGAAACCTAGATCGATCGAAGTAACTTCTGACATCATGTCGTCGACGACATCATGGAGACACCTGTTCTTCGCAGCCGTGGTCATGTCCATGGTCATGGAGGGCCGGACCGACCCCGTGGCTATACTTACTAATCGTTTAAATAACTTCGAGCGGAGTATGAGGACCATGTCCAACATGATGCTGGGCAGAATCATGAATCTGGAAAATCAAAATAGGGCACAGACCAGGTAAGTTTAATTTTTAGTAGTAGTAATAGTAGTAGGGGTACCGGTAGGGGTATCAATAGTAGAAGTAATAGTATTAGTATTATTGTTAGAATTAAAAGTAGTAGTAGTAGTAATAGTAGTAGTAGTAGTAGTAGTAGTCAGGCGCGTACGCAGGGGGGGGGGGGTTGGGGTTAACCCCCCCCCCCCCTTGAGTTTTTTTTTATGTGTATGTTTTGTGTATGTTTTGGGGGAACCCCCCCCCCCCTTTATTTTATTTTTATTTCAATGGCTGACCTAAAAAAAGGTGACCTTACCCCCCCCCCCCCAACGGAACAAAATGTCAAATTTCCAAAATATCGAGACCAAAAAAAAGAAGAAAAGTGTCCGTTTTTAAACCCCCCCCCTTGAAAAAATCCTGCGTACGCCACTAGTAGTAGTAGTAGTAGTAGTAGTAGTACATGTAGTAGTAGTAGTAGTAGTAGTAGTTGCAGTAGTAGTTGCAGTAGTAGTAGTAGTAGTAGTAGTAGTAGTAGTAGTAGTTGCAGCAGAAGTAGTAATATTAATACTAAGCAGCAACATAGTGGTGGTAGTAGTAATTTTCCTTTGATTTTTCATTTGAATTTGTCCCGCCGCTGCAGAACGTCGTAATGATCTAATTTGTCTTTATGCAATCAATTCTCACAAATATTACTTGACACCTGCTCAGCCTTCCATTCCAATCATGACTCTATTTGTGTTCAGGACCCTCACCACATTGTCTGGAGACACGAATGAGAGGATGGACGAACTGTCTCGAACCAACGCCGAGCTCCGCCAGCAGAATGCAGAGCTTCAGACAATGCTGGGTACCTTTGAGAGGTTCTTTGGGTCGCTCCTGGTTGATAACCCGGATGCCTTTGACCAATCAAGAGGTGCTGTGGAACGTATAGACAGCCTCAATGCCTTCCTCGGCAACAGAGCAGCCATCCTTGCAGGTGAGACTCTTAATGTAGACATTAACCGAGGTATACAATGGCGCAGGAGCGTCTTTCAAAGTCGGGGGGGGGGGGGCAAGAAGGGCACTCTCTGGGAAAAGGGGGCACCTACAAAAGGAAATCTCAACGCAAGAATATGAATTGTTAGACACTGGAAGGCCCTCATACCCCTAAATTGTGATTAGATTATCAGGGATGATTTCATTGTTTGTTTCTCTCTCTACATGGTCCAAGATACCGCTTAAGCATTATACTTTGCAGTTTGGTATAATAGTCTTAATATTTTTTAATTGGAATTACACAGGATTGCGACCTGACCCGGCAACAGTTCCAACCAATGACACAGTTGACCAGGAAGAACTTGGTCGAGTCTTGACGCAGCTGTCGTCGGTGAACAGTAACCTGGAACAGAAGGTCAGCAAGCTGGAAAGACGGGTGGACAACGGGGCGGAGGCTGCAGGAGACAGGAGCTTGACCGGTGGAACCAATGACATCTTTACCCTGGATCACGTGAGAAAAAAAATCAACCAATGAACTTTTAGTGATATCTCACTTTTGGGCCGGTCACATATCAACGATTATGATCACAACAACGCTATGATAAAATCGGTTATGTGTCAAGTGAATATTCCTTACCAATATTTGCTAATAAACATTCGGCATCGATTTTCTCTAATTCACTGCATTCTTTACATCTACCGATTACATCGCGAATTGTTCTGGAATCGTTGTTATGTGACTAGCCCTATAAACTATTAGACAGCATCTTACCTTTTGCTGCCCCCCCCCCCCTCCTGGTTTTCCATTTCTTTCTTTCACGTTATAGGCCTACATTTTCCTCCTTTTGTGCCACTTTTTTCGGGGATTGTGCCCCTCGTGCCATCGTAGCTAAACCACAGGATAGTACGGTGGATGCCTTTAGGTCTATCTTCCTTTGAGCAAAATTGCGTCATATTTTGCATAATATTTGTGTGGTTTTTTTATTTGTTTGTTTCAACGAAAATATCAATTCTGTTTATCGATAATTAATTTTCTTACCGGGTTGATTTTTCTTTTTATAATATCTAGTACATCGATGGTAATCCTATGGTGGATATTTGATTCTCCTTGTCTAATTGTATATTGATTACTTGTCAATTATTCCTTTGTATCCCGTTTAGATTCTTGTTTTGTTTGTACATGTTGATAGAAGATTATCCAAATTAGTGAATTCCATGAGAACGAATGTGACTGGATTGGATTCGATTCGATTTGATTTGACTTTGTTAAAATTTGTATCATCCAATCCTTCCTGTCATCCTTTTATTTACACTTGCAGTGCAGGGATGGTTTAGTAACTCTAGAGGCAACTGTCAACGCGCTCACAACTACGCAACTCGACAAGGACAATGCCGACCGCCTTGCTGGGTCACGTGATGTTATCTCAGCAGGAGACCGTGCCATCCTGGAGGGGTCTGTGTATGGATCTGCCAGGGGTGTCAACAGTGAGTAGGAACTCAGCATTTTCAAACTTGTGGTTATTCTACAAAATCAGTTACAGCCAACCCTGGGTCTAAGATAACGCGTAACAAAGGGTTTAAAGCCCAACGGCACTTCATATTGCTACTTGCGCCCTCTATACCGTATAACAAACAATGCCTAATTGGTGACCGTTTGGTCCCCCATGGTCCCCTTTTTATTATGTGAATTGAGAGCTGATTCGATAAGATAACCAGCCGTCAGTGACCATGTAGAGAGGTCTAATCCCTCCTGGCCAAAGTAGTGCAGATATGCTTCAACTGAATTTGGGCCGTACACTATAAAAGAAAAATCAATAACCTAAAACCTAAAAACCTAACCATGTAACCTAGCCATCAGGGAAGTGCCATTATGTATACGAAACGGGAGATAACCAGGGCTAGCTACACCCCTCCCCCCGACAATTTTGTTATTCTACCTATAAGTTCGGGCAACCAATCACGTAAAATGTGGGAAGTCATCACCTCAGGTATCTAAATTGTTTATTTGTGCGATCTACATACACGTGCTCTGTTTGTTCGCTCGTACAAAGTATAAACACGAAATTCAATTAAAGCAATCAACAGACCTGTGCCCCAGCCTGTCAAATTTGTGCCCGTATATACCCCCTTCTGACCGCAACCCAAGCCCTAACCCTATAACTTTGACGCAATAAACCCAGAGCAAATTCCTGATCACCAATCTGATAATGACCTAGGTTATTAAACGACTATAAAATGATGTTTTATAACATAATTTTACTAATGACCGGTCATTATCCAAATTACGCGTTAGGCAAAATAAATGCCTGGTCACGGTCGTGTACGCTTTCAACCAATCTTTTGATTAGGATCCACATCGTCATCTTATAATCTTCATTGATACCCGTTGCACACGAGGCGTCGTTTGCTTGACGTACGGTTGTCAGTGACTGGTTCGGTCTTTGACGCACCATATCATGAGGGTGGCATCGTATACAAAATGATACCAAATTTGATTAATAATAGCTCACATAATGTTGGATTTCTGATATATGGACAAGTTGCTTTCAGAGGCTTGTTTGACGCAGGTAATAGCGCAATCGAAATGACACCTAGTACGACGGGCAAAACGGGGGAGGGGGGAATTGTCTGATTTCGGCTTTCTGATTTTTCTTTCTGATTTTCTTGCGATTTACTCCGATGATTGCAAGACAAAAAGCTTTATTTATTATCTCTATTCGCTGCTATTCTTTGATTTGTTGTACAAATCATCTCTTTGTTGTTGTTATTTCCATTATCATTATCAATGTTCTCCTTCACTTGATGGCGTATAGGCGTCCGCAAGTCTGTGTTCTCTGTGGCCAGTACACGCCCTCTGCTTGGCAGCACCGAAGCTACGACCGTCCCCTTTGATTACACTTTCGTCAATAAAGGCGATCACTGGAACGGCACAAACCAGAATTTCGTCTGCGGCATCACCGGTATCTATTGGTTCCACTTTTCGTAAGTGAAAATATAGCTTATATCACTATGAATATGACGGACAAAGAAAGAGGACAAAATATACAGTTCCTCATTCTACCCTTAACAATTGCTGTGGTAGACAAAGGAACATCCCTTCACTGCTATTATGTAAAAATGTGTAGAACAGGTGTCACATGCATATTCAACTGTTCTACACCATTTTATATAATAGCAGTGAAGGGATGTTCCTTTGTCTCCCACATCAATTGTTAAGGGTAGAATGAGGAACTGTATATCAGTTTTGTCCTCTTTCTTTGTCCGTCATGTTCATATAGTGTATACTCTTCACAATCATGTCATAGTTACACACGGTGCGTCAGTTTGCTGATATAGGATTGCGTCACGGACTGGCACGGCCTTTGACGCGCCAAGTGAGAGAGTGAACTCGTACGAAAAGGGAATGAAACTGAACACTGAAATCACTCACTTTAATTACAGCCAGGCACGGTTTCACGAAACCGTCATACGTACAAGTTCACTGACAACCTATTGATACGCATATTAATTACAATTCACGCGTTTCAAAGGGATGTTGGTGAAATGGCACTCATTACGATTTCGTGGAACGCTGCCCTGCATAATTATGTACCTAGGCTTTGAATAACTCAGGGAAAAGCAACGGAACTGACGCCTCCGAGTGTGTAACGGGCCTTCTTCTATAGCTAATTTTGAGCAATGAAATCGTGTTTCTAGAAAAACTAACTTGACTATTTTTTGTCTGAATTTTTATAGTTGTTATAGCTTGAGTTGATTGTTCCCTTCCCGACCCACCCCCTAAAATTCATCGTCTCCAAGGAATTCAGTGTCGTTACTGTTTCCATTAACTCGATATTATGACGCACAAAATAATCATCCTATGCCATATTTGATTTTTCATGGGATGAATATACCAAAGGCCTCAAGCTTATTTAACCGATGTTAAAAGGGTTCCGATAGAGCTCACGAACACCAGAAATGGGTGACTTGCATTGTGTTGCACCGGGTGTTGCACAAGCAATACCTTTCATCAGCCTTTCGTCAGCCTTTCGTCAGCCTTTCGTCAATTATTGGTGCCTATTGTTTTGTGCAAAATTGAAGGCGTGGCAAACGAGCGACCGGCGAAAGGCTAAGAAAACAACCACGACGAAGAACGACAATTAACTTTCTCTCTCCTTCTTTTTTTATCCTCTCTCTCTCTCTCTCAGACTGCGATCGTACGATGGTCACTACATGGGAGTGACGATGATGAAGAACGACGAGGTGGTCACGGCTATGTACACGGAGAAGAGCGCCCGCAACGTTATGGAGAGCCAAGGTGTGGTGCTCCCACTCGAGATCGGGGACAAGGTCTACCTCCGACTGGGACCGTCCACGGAGTTCGCCGTCCACTCCGACGCCTACAAGTACGCGACCTTTTCAGGGTTCCTGGTCTATAAAGGTCGCTGAAGAAGAAAAAAGTGCTGTCGCTTCATAATCAACATGTGTTATAGCGGAGCCGAAAATATGGCCCCCAAAGTTGCATTCTTTCAAGAGGATTTTATACAAAATGTGACATCCATTTTTGTAAAAACAGTTACAAAGTAGGCTCTAATTTAAGCTTATATGGGTCGTTTCGAGTTAGCATTCATGAGAGATACCGTACTATGCAAAAACAGGTACATATGCATTCAAATAATTGCGAACATTGGGAAAATATGACCTTATTTGGTGAAATTTCTTCGCCTTAAATTATTTATTCTTACTCAAAACGTATATCACCACGGTCATGAGTTTACAAAGGCTACCAGTGGGATGACCGTGAGGCCCGTTCTGTGTGATAATTTCATACATTTAACATAATGTTAAAGGTTTTCAACGAATCCGTGTCATTGGTGAGATGTGAGATTCTTGACGCGATTTAAGGACAGTCACAGAGATTTATGAAATGTGTGTACTTATTACTGAATTGCTTCAGAATTTATCTATATTGGTCAAATCCAAGTGCCTTATAAGCTCGCTGAATGTATACATGTATAATATTTTCTTTATTACATTCCAAAGTGAGCATAATCCTATATGATTAGTGATTTATTAAATCAAAAAAGATAAAAATCCAAACAATTAAAAAAATTGTCAATTCCATAATAATGATTGTTGTAGAAAATAACCCATAGGCCATAGTTATACAGTAGGCTTGCGGGTGCACCATGTGAGAGAGAGAGGATTGAGGAGTCCTGAAAAGGACTCTGACTTGGTAATCTTTCTTGGGGGTGTGTAGTCCTGAAAAGGACTGTTTGTTATCTTTCTTAGCTTATAGTTATAGTTCTAAGGAGAACTTTACCGCTTGGAGAGGATGAGTGGCTCTAAAAACCCGCAAGCCTACTGTATATCTACATCACCATGCAAGCCGACACTTACAAGCAGCATCTAACCCTATAGTTATTGTATATTTTGATTGTCAATTCATAAGATTCCCTCATTTTGCAAAGAAAAATAAAGATTGCTATTGCTTTCCCCATTTGTGTCTGCATCTGATGATTGTTGTAACAGTTCTTAAAAAGGCTAGATTGCAATCCCATCATAAACATATGGCGACGATTTACGGTGCAATCATTGGAGGAATTTGAAAACGGCTGATATTTTTCCCTCTTCTAATTCTTCACCATGATATGTGTTACGTATTTGTCATTAACTTTATAGTCTAGACTTGTACACTTTAAGAAATAAGAGTGTAATTCTGCTACGATAGCAGCACCCTCTGCCAAATACGCGTAGGTGGATGCAAATTCTGCACCCCAATTGAACCCTTATTTCTTAGTGTGTACATGTATAATAAAATAAAGCTCTGATCTACGTCGAACAACAACAAATATAATTTTAAACAATGTAACGCCCGCATTCTGTCTCAGTTTATAGTGTCCAGATATAGCAAATTAAATTTGACAGAAAGGGTGATTGATTATAACATCAAATCTCAAACAAAATGTTAGTTTTTATAAGAATAAAGAGTACGAAAAAGATATTTTCTATTTCTCCTTTTTGTTTTATCATAAAATGTGTGAATAATGTGTATGGAAATCCGCAGACGAAACTGAAAGTGTAAATAGGGAGGGAGAGAGATATAACGGAGGAGAGAAAGAGAGAAAGAATGAGAGAGAGAAGGAAAGAGAGAAAAAGAGAGAAAAAAAGGGAGAGAATGAGAGAGAGAGAGAGAGAGAGATTTTTAAAATAATTAAAATGAAGAAAGAAAATAAATCTGTGAATTAATGTATAAAATGTATGTATCAAGAAAAATGTGTGTGTGAAAAATTACGGATAACAAAGAGAAATCTTAAGCGAAAATATAATATTCTAGTTTGTAAGATTTTGATGACAAGTACCAAATGCTGAGTCCTATTTTCTGACATGGGGAAGAAAGCAAACAAACCATCAACCATCCAATGTATATAAAGCCTAATAATTGGTAAGGAAGTATTGCAAGATCAGAAACTTTGCGTATAAAAAATTTGGCGACTTTGCTAGTGGTCAGATTCACGGAAGTCCTTTGCCCGCTCAATGATGAAAGAAATGCCACAAGTACAAACTTAAAGTTTTGCAGGACACTGATCGAAGGTGCTGGTCTCGAAAACGGCCGTACGTAACATTACTCGAAAGTAACAGGTCATAGACGTTTTTTTTTTTTTTTTTTTTTACAGTGCTATGTGATACACAAAGTTCGAGATAAAATGAAAGTTCAAAACATTTCGTTCGACAGAGAACATTTATTTATTTAAATAGTGAGACGTTTATATACATGTATAAGTGTTAATTCCAAGGTAAACTGCATTATTTATTTTATGGGACATCATGACACCAACGGTTTTTAATAATCTTAATTTGCGTATTATTTAACTGAAGTAGGTTGAAGCGTATAAATATATACTTAAGTTTAATTCGAATATATTGCACATAGCATGAGGGATTGCAGTAGTTGTTTAGAAATACCAAAAAGCCAAAAATTGCCGCATTTCAACTAGCAAGAAAAAGCTCTAAAATTGTTGACAATCTTGAGCTAATTCATTTTGTAACAAAAAAGCAAAGTCAATTTTTATGTTAGAAAGTACAATGATCCTTTTTAAAGGTATTACAAAGTTTGGGTAAATTTTGAAAATTGGCTGGATAGTGATTCTTTACAATTTTGATATATTTGGATGCCCCTATGGATGTATTATAAGCACTAACAAATTTAGCCCCTAAAACACTTCTGCTTTTGAAAAAAATTGGATATAAAAATTTACCGATGCTCCCGGTAAATTTTGATAAATTTCAAATAGCGCCTATACGTTGGAAGCTGCGACCATGCAAATATCAGAATGTGCAATTCCAAACGGTAATAAAAAAATTGGTCGATTTTAGTCAAATAACATTGTTTTATAGCTAAAACAATAGCTTTAGCTTGAGAGGGCGCTATACAACATAAAGAGTTTATTATCTACAATTTCATCACTATAGACTCGATTTCAGCCACGACAACGATCACTGAATATTGTAGGATCGCATATGCTTCCAACATGTTCATTTGAACCAAATTTATGACCCCCTACCAAAACTGTGTATTACCTTTAAACCAATTAAGTTGACTACTGAGTTTAATCGAGATGGCGTCAGATGTACTTAAAGGGGAAGTCCACCCTGAAAATAATTTTGTTTTAAAACAAGGAGAAAAATGAGAAGAACAGATCAATGAAGGTTTGAGAAAAATCGGATAATAAACAAGAAAGTTAAGGATTAAATACATCCATAACTTTTCAGGAGATTCTTCAAATCTGTAAGTCAAATTGGCAACGCGGTCTATAAATATGATGTCACCCCTCACATTTTATTCTTTGTTGAATGCAAGAAATGTCATTAAATTCCATTTTGATCTAATATATTTTCTTCATGCCTTTCTCGATCATATAGCCTATCACGGACAACATGTTCTTTCATGCGTCCCCAATTAAACCTATTCCTATTCCATTAACATTCAGAGAAATGGAGATTTGGGGGTCATTCTATCATTATTGTGAGGGGATGACATCACAACTTCTAACCGCATTGCCAATTTGTTTCAAAGATTCCATGATTCATAACTTTCTTATTTGTTGTCAGATTTTTCTCAAACTTTCACTGAATTGTTTTTCTAACTTTTCTGCTTCTATGATGAAAACCAATTGAATATTAGGATGGACTCAGAGCGTACCCCGAAAGAAATAGACTATTTTTTTTCTTCAGTCTATTGACTGCTCGAATAAAAATATCATTACGTTATGAAAAAACAAATCAATATTCATACAGCACTTTCTATTTCTACCACGCTCATTCGGAGGTCGCTTTTATCGGCGAGTCCGGATCCGTTCGAATGGCTGAAACGTCGCTTCACTATCGAATACTGGACGGGCTCCGAAAAGGGAAACTCCGCTGGGGATCTTGTCACAGATGTATGGTGCAAGCTCCTCGGTGCGCACGACCAGCACAGAATCCTCTTCAGATGGCGGTTGAAATACGCGTTTGTCAGACCATAAATAAACGGGTTGATAGCGCTGGTTGCGAGCACCATTAAGCCTGTGACGTCCCTGGCGACTTCGTGGCCGATGGTGATAGGGATGTCCTTGTATTTTAGGTAGGCAATGAAGATGTTTAGTCCCCACCACACTCCCCATGTCAACGAGAACAGCAACACGATGTACTTAACCATGCGCAGTACGCGGATCTTGCGTTTGAATTCCCAGCGCGTGAGGTGGTCCGATTCGCCGCTGACCTGTTGACCTTGCCTCACAGCGATCACGATGATGACGAAACAAACGCAAATGGTGGCAAGCGGGATAACGTAAGCGACCGCTGTATTGACGATAACGACGACGAGCCGTAATTTAGAGTCCGGAGTTTTGAAGATAAGGTGCACGACTGGTAGGATGAAAGCGACTGCATGATGAGAAGGAAAAAAAACACAAATGGAAACAAAGTCATCACGATATTTCAATGTGTTATAAAGAAATTTCTATTAATTTATTTGATCTAAATATAATTGGTGACCAAAATGTTGACTTTTTGGTATACATAATACAGAATTTGATCTCTTAAACTGTATTAATTATGATCTGAACGATAAATTTAGGATGTGTATGCGCAATGTAATTACAACCGTGATATTAACTTTTGCTCAATTTGAATAATTTAGACCAAATCAAAACAAGTTAGAAAAGTGTGTAAGTTACCTGGTACAAGAAATGTTACTTTATTGTTGAGGGTAATGATTAGGTTTATGCTTAAATCACCAAAGATGGGGCAGTGCTATGTCGGCTTATCTGACAATCATACAAGGGCGTTGGAAGGGCCAAAATATGGGGGGGGGGGGCATTAACGGTTAACCGTTTATAGGGCCTAGGCCTACATAATTATTTTACAGGGGCAACTGCATGTCCCTCCCCCTGCCGTCAAGATGACCATAACCAGTTGGGTAGCTAAAGTGTGCAAAAGGGCACCTGATCAAATGGCAAAGAGGAAGAAGAACAAAGAACAAAGAGAGAGAGAGAGAGAGAGAGAGAGAGAGAGAGAAAGGGATAGTGACCGGGGGTAGTGATATGCAACGTAATCTAAGTTCATTCCTCGTGGACATGCCAACTACTTATACAGTGCTTCCTCCTTCTTATAGTCAATATACCCCCTCTCCCTTCCTGTCCCCTCCCTTTTCTTCCCCATCTCCCTCAATACTACACTTACCTATCCAGATTAAAGCGGTGGCAGTATAAGCTTTATAAAAACTTTTCTTCGAACGAGACTGCAGAGGGTTCCCAATAGATTGATAACGATCGATAGCTAGCGCCACCAAGAGACCAGATGTAGCCAATATCGTCACCTTCGGGGAAAGTAGAATCATACAATGATAATTATCAATTCATTTCTTATAGTGAGTTAGAATCAGTGTTATGATTGTTCAATTCAGTTGGAATCTCAAATAGTTATAAAATCAGAAAGATATTCTGGGAGTATTTGTATGTGACATAAAATAGTTATTTATTTATCTGTGTTTCCCAAAGTGTGACAAAATAAAGGCCTAAGACAATGACATTAGAGTGCAATTTCACCAACATTTGAATGATTATCAAGATTCGACATTATTATTACAAAAGAGTGCAACTGAAGGCGGTATCATTTGAAAAGACATTTAAATACATTTAAAAAGAAATGGTCTCCTTAATAGATTTCCCCTCCCCCCCCCCTCCCCCAATATGACTTTCAAAATTGTGTGATGGTCTATAAAAACCTAAATATACACTTTTTAAAAAATATTAAAAATTACACATTAAGTTTGACATCTATCATACTCAGACCAGGTTTTAAGACAGCTTCCAACATTTTTCAAGAACTAAGAGTTATCAATAGATGATATTCTTGTAGTCACTCACAACAAATTGGATAAAAGCCAACATTCAGAACAATAACAAGCAAACATACAAAAAAGAAAATCAAAATATTGTTGTCCAACTCAGCAACGACAATATTAGACCCCCTGTGCACCAAACAAACAACAAACTAATTAAACCAAACGTACCGTCAAGGAATAAACCGAGATTAATGGCATCACTTCTAGCACGTTTCCATTAGTGATGTATACTGCATGTTCGACGATCCCGGCGAGACCGAAAGTGGTCAGGAAAAAGATGTCCCGGATGGCAAGGTTTGCGACGAAAACATTACAGACGCTTCGCATATCCTTTTTCGGGACGATGTAGACGATGAGAGCGTTGCCGACCACGCCGACGAGGAGACAGATACACGATATGACTATGACGGAGATCTCGAAGCTGTGCAAGCGGCGACGCAAGGCTTCATCGTCGACGGTTTCGTTGACGAAGTCGGGGAAACATCGGAAAATAGTGCTATGGTTGCACGTCATTGTGACGTTTCTGATGGCCATAGAATATTTAGAATGTTTGCCACCTTTCTAAAGTTAAGTGATCCCTGGTGAGGTAAGTTTGCGTAGGACAAAACGCCGTTAACGTAACATTGTATTCCTCTTCCGATGATTATCAATTTAAAAGCGAATTATGAAAATCTTTTTGCTTCGCAGTAACGCAATTTCACTTTTTCAAGATGAATGGTCGTTTCCCCTTTGTTTTTAAGCCAAGCGTGGTCAAAAGTTAAATAAAGGATGAAAGAAAACCATAAGCATGATTAGATATGCTGTCACCATCATAAGTCTAGCCAAACAACTTCCTTAAACTGAAATATCAAGCTTAAATCCGGATGACGTTTGCCCGCTTGTGAGGGCAGGTCCGTATTGCGCCGAAAATCGAAGCTAAATAGTGTAACGAAAATGCTTGTTCCAGATTCATGCAATACTGGTTCCGCCATATGTTTACAACGTTTCTTCACGCGTTTTTCAAACAAAATGTCGTCAGATGGAATATACACACGGAATGAAAGAGTGATATTCTCTCACATTAAATATGCCAACTCGTTGTGGTATGATTGTCACGTATGTCATAAATTTTTATAACTTTATTGATGGATGAAATCATATGTTCTCTGCCTTTTTGCTACCCTCATTTTTCAAAAGTTAGATATTGATTACCGGGTTCGTTGAAATATAAGACTTAGAGATTTTACTTAAGCTCCGCTGGCATAAAGAAAGTACAAACGGCTCGTGTACCAGTAATGTCCTTCAATGGCCTGTAGTACCATCATTTTTATTAAGAACTTCCACCAGATACAAATCCGGGCAACATATAGGCCACGCTATGCAAGCATTTTTTGTCCGAAGATCCTATATATTTGGTTGGGCGTGATACGGATGTCCAGAGGAGTTCTGAATGTCATTATCAATCGAAAGTCACTTCCCCTTGTTACCGCTCTTTCAAACAATTTTTCTCTTTCCTTTCATCATTGCTCTTTCAAACAATTTGTTTCTCTTCCTTCACCGCTCTTTCCCTCTTCCTTCGTCACCACTCTTTTAAACAATCTTCCTCTTTCCCTCCGTCACTGTTCTTTCAAATAACCATTCTCTTTCCCTTCAACAACTCTCTGAGGAACAGAATATTTCCTCCTGTCTCATGACCCATGTCCAACTTTCCTTCGTGCTCCCATTGGAACTACTCCTTTCCCTTCGTCACCGCTCTTTTATTTAAACCGTATTTAAAATTTCTTTCGTCACCACTTTTGCAAACAATCTTCCATCGTCAAATATCAATCCGTTTATAAATGCTTTTACTATATACACTCCGCAAAAGAAATGGAAACTCTTCATTTAAATATACATCAAATTAAAGAAAAAACAATATTCTACCAAGCATCAATAAAGATCAAGTTTTGAACTTTCACGCTTGGATGGGCACATTCATTTAACCATAAGAAGGTCGGATTAAGAAAATTGCAAAAATAGAGCAAGAAGCCATTCAAATGGTAATGAACAAGTGCATCTGTCAGGCATTATTGTTCAACAATGAAAACAAAGAATGAGAGACAATGAGGAGGATTGAGCTCTGGATCTCAATATTATTGTAGTCTCATTAGTGCATGCACGATTGTAACAAGCACGGGTGTTAACTCTCCTTTTCAACCAAGATCGTGGACGAAGACTAGAATATCTCCACTAGCTCATGAACATTCAAATGGAAAAATGCCCATTTTCTTTCAGAAACTCATTTATTGTTAACTAGCAACGCCCACTCATGCACGAATTATTTGATTCCATCTGCATATTATCTGAAAGGGTATTAATGTTTATTTCCAGATATATATATATATATATATATATATATATATATATATATATATATATAGTTATGTATAGTTTATATTGAATATCTATTTGAAAATCTTAATTATAAATAGTGACCTATTGTTCCTCTTTTTTGTTTTGCTAGTTGTATTTTGCCTGGTTTCTTTGGGTTTTTTCATTGTATTTTTCCTGCTTTATAGACAAAAACTCACCACTGATTATTTCATCTATCCTTTCATTACCACAGAAACATATATAATACATATATTATTAGACTAGGTTCGCGGTAGCAGAAAGGTTAAGAAGAACCTAGGTAGGTATCAAAGTGGATATTCAATCCTTGTAATGCCAGCAAACAAAATGCGCATGTCTTGATAACAAAAACCTGATAGCATGTTGCTGGTAGTTTAGAATAAGGAGACTGTTGACAACACAATGATAGTGTGACTGTATACGCGGTTCTTTTAATAATAAAGAGCGTTACAATGTATCGATGTTTGTAATGAATGTAAGGTTATAATGTTGACGTACGGTCATTTGGACGTCATGTTGACGTCAAGCCCTTCATAAAAAGGTAATTAAGTAATTCAGTTTAATGGCACATCCGTGTCAAAACATTGTCAAACCTTTTTTATTTATCCTTTTCAATTTAACTTCTAAATCTGTAACATACATGTATGCATTTTGATCAATTGATTGATGTTCATTTATTTACCATATCAACACATAATCATATATGAATTTTTAACATGTATATTCACATAAAATTATAAAAACAAATGGGTCGTCATAACCATTCTTAAGCTGACATCCTTTTCATAAGCAAAACAAAAATATTCATAAACTATATATGCATATGTAATGGAAAGCTGATGGCCAACAAAAATGAAAGAGAGAGAGAGAGAGAGAGAGAGTAAGAACGGTAAACGAAGAGAGAAGCATTTACATAGTATCAAGTGGAACTTTTAATAATTGATAGTTAAGTGTAGCATTGATCTACATTGGGAGGTTCGTGGCAAATAAGATTACCCTACGCTTAGGTTATTTTATTAAATCGATTTCACTTGCATTTAATACGTCTCAACATTATACAACACATGCATACATACAATCAGCATGATATAATAACAGGATAACTGTGGTAAAACTGTTACAAAAGGAGGCGATTTGCTCATAATGACTTAGTTCATTTGAGTTATAAATTTCGCTACGTTATTAATTTCGATCCATTTTGTAAGTGTCATGTAAAATCTATCAACATTTTGAACTAGAGAGATGGATGGAAACTGAAATAATACGGAAAGAAAACAGGATACAAATAAGTGTAATTGATAGATAGAAAGAAAGATCATCAAAAGGAGAAAGACATTATCCTGGTATTAAAAGTTCTTTTAAACTGAAGACTTGGTAACAACATTTAGATGAATTTGGATTAAAAAAAAAGGGGGAAGAGGGTATTTGAGCCCGACTGGTTAGAGGAAAATAGAAAATAACATTCTGAAGTCTTAGTTGCTGTTTTTTTATTTGACTGATTTCTTCTCTCATATGTTATGTTACAAGCATACTGGCTATACACAAAGTATTGGACAACTACTACATAATTTAAACATTTTCATTGGATGTTAACGATAAGATATGTCTAAGTTCTCACAATATCAGATAAGAAATCACTTAAGAGTTGCTATAGCATGACAAATACAGGACAATATAAATATTGTTTGCGAATATGCCAGTTCATAGGCCTACACATATCAGATCTCCCACTTACGCATACGTATTACGAATAAGATGATGACGCTTAAAGGTAAAGACCAGTTATGGTCATGCGATTGCATTGTGAAAGAAACGTTGTGGAATCGATCAGAAAAGGTTGATCATCTAGCATCTAGCATCTGCAAGGTTCTGGAATCATCAAAATGATAAGAAATTTGGCCCATTCTTCGTAAAGTTACAAGCACTATACACAGAAAGATGTATATGGGACTACCCTATATCTCTCACAGACCATGAGAGAAACAAATTTACCAAATATATGAATTAGTAGGCGGTTTCCCGGCAAATTTGTTATCATCATGTATTAGTCAAAACATATTCTTTCATATGATTGGTAATGAGAGCTTCCATTTCATTTTTTGAAATTGGGGCGTTTCCAATACTGGTCTTTACCTTTAATACGTTCATATAATTATATAGGGCAGAATCTCTTCATTATGTAACATTCTGTTGACTCGTCTTTCGTTGAAAATCATCAGAGTTGGGTAGAATCTCTTTGGTCGACTTATAGAAGGTCGAAATCGATCATGTTGCCAAACTGGAAGCATATGAAATGAGAGACTTTGGCTTCCCAGTTTTGAAAAGGATGGTTTATTAAATAGATCATAATCAGACATTCTTTGGTAGTTGAGTTATAACACTTGAGGAAAAAACACCTGGTAGTTAGAATATTAAAGCCCGACTCTTTCCTATACTATGAATCTGGCAACATGACTAATGTAGGACAGTTTTCAAGTAGAGCAAATGGTATTGACCGATGATGACGTCACAATGACACTTTCTCTTCTCGTTCCCTCCATGGTTCCTCGTCTTTGCGGCTTTGAAGCTGCAAACGGATGGAATATTATCTGGACCAGATGCCTGTGAAAATCAGGCGTTAGCATCCCATAAATGACGGGATTCAACGCGCTGTTGACCGCGCACCCCATGCGCGCCACTATCTGGATCATGACGTCATGGAATAGCTTGTCGTCGCCAACTTCGAGGGGGGTGGTGTGATTGGCGTAGAGGCCGTAAATGAGCCAGAATCCGCGCGTGATGACAAAAACGAGCACTAACATATTGACCATTCTGAGCATGCGCATGTTGCGTTGTTGCTGCCATCGTGCCACGCGGCCTCCCTCGACCAGCTCGCGCTCGCGCACGGAGCGGAAAATAGCGATGTAACAGACGATTATGGAGAGAATAAGGAGAGAGAAGAAGAACGTGGCTTGGTAGAGAGAGAAGCCCTCGGCGATGACATGGCTTGCGCTATCAGATTCCAGAGCAGCAACGGTGACACCCATGGCGATGGAAACTGTAGGATGAGAAAAAGAATGATTTATTGTCATGATAAATATACTCTTTCAATTATGTTGAACGGCATGTAGAGCAGTACCCGTTAATCTTCCGACCTGACTAGACTAGACTCACAAGACATTACAATAAAATGGTTATAAACATTTGAAAATGCAGGCTTTTTGTTTTTTATTGTGGTCCCGAATAGTCATATGAAAGTAATACATTGTAGTATGCATGCATCATCGATTGGTGACTCGACACCGATTGGTAGCCGATTTAGTTTTTTCACAAGCTAAAAAGAAATTCCCCGCAATGTCGCTTTGATCACTATTCATATGACAATTCTGAACCTCATTTACGATTAATTTAGCTTTCATGAATTTTGTATAATAACATAGGCTATCACAATTTCAACCAAAACAAAATGTCCAGTGTTCACTAATCATCGCCCACTGACCTAGGACTACGTCAGTTGAACCTTTTCCGTCTTTGACGCATCATGGTTGCATGAGAATACGGCATCCTACAAGAATAGTATAGAATTGCCGGCGCATCCGCTGATAATGTTTTTAGCTTCATAAGCGTAAATGCGACGCAGCTAAATTGACGCATCCTATTATCATGCGATAAGCTGTATTTCTGCGATGTCAGTCTAGTAAGGTGCGACGGTCAATACCATTACAGTCGCTGACTCGCCGACGCAGTCCTGCGTTAAAATAAAAACCATGATTCGTGTGCAAGAGGCGTTGCGTTGTCACCCCAGATCCGCGCGGGCAGTCTCTGACGCATGCTGAAATTATGTTGATCAATGTCAACAAAAGGGATAACAGAATCAATAAAAGAATCTACGTAAAACACGTAATATAGATCAAGCATACCTGTCCATACAAGAGTTTGTAGTATATTAGCGTTCTTAACGGTGCGTCGTTTCTTGTTCTCCAAAGGTCTGACTATAGCCAGGTAGCGCTGAAAGGCTAGCGCTATTAAAGTCCCACAGGCAGCCGTGAACGTCAGCTAAAATGTAACAACAGATGAATTTATGATAATGATTTAAATTGTAGTTTTGAAAAATATAGAAGTGAAATAAACCTTTTTTAGGAAGTTATTGTAAAATCCCTTTTTTGTGTTAAAAGAAAGGGAGAGATAAAGAAAGAAAGGGGAAGAAAAATAAAGGGGAAAAGAAGGGAGGAAAAGAAGAGAGATAAGGAACTGAACCGGAGATGTGCATGGCATAATGATCAAAACATGACAACAGAACATGAAACTTATCATTATTTCAGAGAGAGAAAGTGAAATAAATAAATTGTACGTCGTTTTGACAGGAAATATCCAATCGCATCTCTGCAGTTGTCTACATTTGACTCAAATATGACCATGCCCAGCGTCCACTAGGCATAATTTTGCTGACACAAGTCTGCGTCACCAACTGGCGTAATCATTTTTCTGACACAAGTCTGCGTCACCAACTGGCGTAATCTTTGACGCCCTGTTTTATGAAAGTGACATTGCATAAAAAGTGAATGCAAAAAAAGGATATGGCCAACGATACAATATTACTGGCTCACACATTATATGGCTAAATAAACTTAAATAGCGTAGGTAATGGCGCAATCAACATGACGCCTCGCGTTCAACGGGCGTCAGGGCGTTACGATAATGCTATAGAGAAGAGAGGAAATAGGGATGGGGAAATGTCGGATGGATCCCAATTTCGTTTTTTAAACTATGAATACTGTAGCAAGTGCGGTTTAAGATTTGGATTCTTGCTTTTTCTAAATGAAAAATCTTCATAAATGAAGGTCGCTTTATTTGCTCTACATTTTACACAAAATATAGACATACATATAAAATAAAAATGATTATATTTATACAATACATGGAGTATATATAAGCACGTCTCAATGAATCTCAATTCATATGATAGATTAAGGAGAATGTGAGGAACCTACTGAAAGCAATGCTTGTATATTTTAGGTTCCTGGTAAAATAAACATTGTAGATGTAAAAACCATAGCAGTATAGAGGAAGACGTAATTTCAGAGGGGGGGGGGGGGGGGAATTTAAAGATGAAGTTGAGTTCTGGTCATGCGATTGCATTGCGAAAGAAACGGTGTGGAATCGACCAGAAAAGGTTGATCATCTAGCATATAAGAATTTGTGTGTATTGCAAGGTTCTGGAATCATCAAAATGATAAGAAATTTGGCCAAGTCTTGGTAAAGTTACAAACACTGTACACAGAAAGATGTATATGGGACTACACGAACACGTGGCGTAAAAACCTACCCCCGAGTTTTACGATGTTACATGACATATTTAGAATATGAAGGCATTTGAAGAGCCATGCTTTTCAGGGAAAATGTCTCATCTGATGTTCTTCCACACTTGCATAATAAGAATGATAACGCTCACAATGTATTTTTCTCCTCTTCCCAGAACTCAACCTTCTCAAATGAAATAAGGAAATTTGTATACGAAATAATGCATTAGCACCAATACCCAGAGTGATAATGTATATATTTTTAAAAAATGGAGGGGGATCGAGGGCTTGAAGAAATGGGGGGGGGGGGCATACCGTTTGCACGAACATGATACCGGCAGAATGGCTATGTGAAATGCTGAGGAGACCATCCTGGAATGCGATCACACCCATCCCGATGACATCGACCACGCTACAAACACATAGGAAGACGATGTCGATGACGGCAAGGTTGACGACGTGCACGTTATGAACCGTGATCATCTTCGGCTTCGTACAAACGATGTAGACGATTAGGAGGTTGCCTATCAAGCCGAAGAAGATGATGATCAGCATGAGAGCGAAAGCGATGGTCGATGTCGTGTCCAATCGACTGGCGAGGTCGTCGGGGAGGTTCGACATCGATTGGTTGCAGGAGATCGACAAGAAGACACGCGAGCATTCCGCCACCATTTTGATTTGCTTAGGTTTAAGAATAAACGATAAGTGATAAGAAATTCCTCTTATTCTGTTAAATGAAATGTGCTTCAGAGAGATGAAACGATAGATTCGAGTTCAAAGAATTAATCAATTGTAGATCAAATCAAATAAATGACTCCAAATTATCTTCGTTGTGTACAAAGAGCATGTATGTTTGTATAAACGCGCTAACATTCCGGTCACCTAACATTGCACCAGGAGCGAGTTGGCTACATCTAAAATCAATGAACATCAATCAAGCCTGTTACACGGTATCTATTTTCAACGAGCTATTCAAAACAAAATTGTAGAAGGTTTCTCTGAAAACTGTTTTCATGATTATGAAGGATACGACAAACAAGCATAAAGGGTATGACGGATGTGACGAATCTCCACCTTTGTGCTTTCTAAAAGGCCTCAAATTACAAGGATACATGTATCGCGTGTCATTTAAGGACAAACGATAATGCGTTGAAAGGTTTTTTTTTTTATGGGGGAGACTTAATTTTTATTTTCGAGCATAAATCAATTGCTCATGTTCCCAATTGTATTATTAATACGTATTAAATTAATCCGATTTGTGATTATCTTAAATCTTGAGGACCGTTAACAAAACTTCTATTACCTAGAAATCAACTCAAAGGTAATTTCAATACCCCGTTGTATAGATTAGGCAGAATTCAATTTCGGATTATGTAATACAAGTACCGCATTGCCATTTCGCACATTTCAATGGGTAACACACAAGGCTATCAAAACATGCCTAGGGTTGATTTTTCGAAAATCTTTGCGATCGAATACCCTGATAAGTTGTTGTCAGAGGACATTATGCGCTTGCGAGCAATCCAAACATTTTTTTTCAGACAGTAGATTTTGAGTAAAATATCCTTTTGTACGATGCTCAATCTGGTCCTGATTCTCTTAATTTTGTTAAAAATGAAAAGCTGAATGAAATAATCAAAGACAAACAAAGAATCCTCATTAATACATACACATATACATTTATTGTTCTTTACAACAAACATCGCACCAATTAAAAAGCCAAATAAGTGGGGGCCGCAGTCCCCTTGCCACCTGGCTACGCCAACTGCTAGTCGTTCATACCAGCGTAATTGTATTACTGTCGTGAAAAACACAATCTCATATTTCATTTCAGCCCGCTTCTGAATCTTAGGGTGTGCTAACCTATAATGAAAAGGAGCAGTATGTATGAGTGACTATACTCAAGTCGGGGACAGGGAAATATATGCTGGGATACTGGGATCAACCATTTTGTTTTTAACTGATTTGTTTTACTAGTGACAAACTTGCAAAGTCTTATCGAAGTGCTGCGTCAAAAGTTGTTAATTTTAAGTCATTCATAAAATGTCGTGAGTTTATAACACGATACTACGCAACGTTAGTCTTCAGATCTCTCTCTCTCTCTCTCTCTCTCTCTCTCTCTTTCTCTCAATCTCTCTCTCGCTATATTTCTCTTTCTGTAAACCACATCATACTCCTCTACTTGCAATGAACGTTGTACCAAGCCTTAACTTGACCCCCCCCCCTTCCTCCCCGTTTTTCCTGCCTTTTTTTTTTTTGGTTTGGTTTGGTTTGGTTTGTTTTTGTTTGGTTTTAGGATGGCGAAATTGTTAGAGGCGCATTTGACCAAAATGCAGACGACACATACATAATATGTATTTTATATACCAGCAAGAAAATGGCGGGTTCGAAACGTCATCCGATCCCTGTACACACAACAACCCTATCAGTTATCAATCGCCTTGTACCCTCAGAGACAATGGTAAAAAAGGGAGCTGATTTGCGAGCTAAATATCCATGTATTACACACATGTACAGCATAAACATGTACTATCATGGTGGTCAAATAGAGATTATTTGGTGATTGGTCAAGACTGTATGAGAATTTAAAAAAGGAGCAAATGAATCCACGCTGAATGAGGAGGTAGAGAGAGGTCAAGCAGAGTAGAACAGGGGCCCGTTTCACAAAGCCTTTTTCAACGACAAATGACAAAAATCAGTGACAAATCTGCTGATAACCAATCAGAAGCAAGGATTTCGTTAGCTTATAACAAAAACTGTCATTTGTCACTGATGACAAGTTTGTGAAACGCCCCCCCCCCCCCCCGAAGATGCTGGAGAAAGGAATGAGACTAAAACAAACAGAAGAAGACTTCGTGCTATGTTTAGATAATCATCTTTAATTCGAGATAAAATCTTTGCAAGATTATCATTTTCTACATCACAATTCAATATGATGGTCAATATAAAAGAAACATACAAAAGGCAGCATTCATTTCAAATTTCCAAGTAACTGACTTGAGTACTCTTCTAAATGATAACAGAAAATGAGATAGTTCGGTACAGAATCAACTGACAAACAGGAACATTAATCATAACAAAAACAAATTTATGATGATGAATGGAAAGAAGAAAGAGGAGTATGAAGCCATTTACAAGCACTAAAACGCACTGGAGAATATTTACGAAAACAAACTATTAAAAGGCTCTAAATCTTAAATATCCTCTACTGCTTCTAAATTATGATATTTGAACATTTAAACTGATACGCAAATAGAAAGGATAAATTGTTTAACAAATTTTCGCATAATCAGTTTAGAGTATCACAAAACAGAGCACCCTACCGCAACATACATTCAACTTATCAATTATTTCCTATGTGTGTGTGTGATTCTTTTCACTTTTTTCGCTTGCTTGTTTACAAATAATTTTACAAACAAATAATTTAAACAAAAGGACATCATTAAATCGGCAATAACAGCAAAATATTGACTTGTCTGGCAAGTACTCGGAATAAATCTACGATATTTCGTCAGCCAGTTTTATGAATCTTGAATATGGAGTAACTGTACACATAATTTATACACGTAATTGTTTTGCGAAACAAAAAAATCTTGAGTAAAAAAAAAAAGAGCAAATACATGTATTGTATCAAACAATTTTCATAACACTATACCTGATTTCCTATAGTTACGATGCCCCCACCCCTCCCCTCCGCAAATCAAATGTAAGAAAAAACCTGTCTCCAGTAGATGTACATGATAAACTGACATCTGGACGACACCTTTTGAATCAATCAAATAGGCTTAAGAGATAAAAAGTCAAAACATAATTTAGATTTCCCTTCTCCATCAAAAATTGGCGACCCCATATTTGCGCAAGCGACATTTTCCAGGCTCTGATACATGCATGATTGGGCCCAGGGTTAGGGTAATTGCTGCTCTCGTGTGTCGGGGTTAGGTTAGGCATAGTATTCAGTCCAGATAAGAGGTGAAGTTTCGGTATGCAGCAAGTGCCAACAAAATCTACCGCGGAGCAATTGGCGCAGGAGTATACGGTCGAATAGTTCAAATAAAATCACTCAGGTTTACTTATTGTAAAGCTGCGAACAGAATTATTATTATGGAGGTAACATTCTGCGTGCAAACATTAATTATTGCACGCGTTATTTCAGCCAAGGCCTATATAAACATGATTACTAGCATGTAGCTTTCAGACTTCTATCGTAGACTAATATTTTTCATGGCAGATGATAAGAAAAACTTTCAACGGCTAAGAATTACCAACGTTTACAAATTTACAGAAATTTACCCTTTTAAGAGCTAATGATTTCATACTTATACCACAATTATCAAAAAAAAATTGCTTGGTCCATTTAGAAAGCACCATCATTTTACACAAAATCATATAATCTTTGGCATGTTGATTAAGGAGACGTCATGTTAAAATTGGCAACATTAATTGTCACATGATTATCGATAACTTCAGTCCATAATTCCATCTTTTTGCGCCTCTGCCGCTGCCATCATGCCGCTGAAGATAGACCTTGGATTGCTTCTCAGCGTAGAAGGAGTATCGAATTCGGCGACCTGTGGAAAAAAGTGTGGGTAAAGAATGTTCGATTGTACTTTTTAACAAATTTATATTTTATAGGCGGAAATATAATACACAACAATAAAGAAGGTCCGGGGAGGAGTGGAGGTTTATACCCACAGATTTGCGCATAATCTGAATTTAAATGATGTCATTTTTTTGTATTAGATGATTTCTTTTTTAGAGTTCAAGTATACCTTGTGAATTTTCCCAACTTCTGTTCCAGTAAATATGTCTTTGGGAAAAAAAATAAAGAAATATCTGAAACAACCAACATTCGGGATTTTCTCTTCTCTTTAATTCTAGCCCCCACCATCGCACCTTAAATGAGAGAGCCCGGAAAGCGGTAGGGGCGGCAGGGTGGCGATATTGAATTCTATAGAAGAAAAAGGCCGGAAATTGTCAGCGCCCCCCCCCTTCCCTTCCTGGCAGTATACTATTTCTCCCCTATCGTAGCCAGCAAGTAATTGTTGCAGGTAGGAGGGAGCTGTGAGGGCTGCTAAAGATAGCATAAAGTAACAGCACAAAAATACATGGATGATTATGTAATACGTGCCCAAATATCTTCATGAAGGCATGACGACAAACGCCCAAATGAACCTACACATAAGGACAAACAAACTACAATAAATGCATAACTTGCAAAGTGAAACGAGTGGAGAGGTCACAATTTCAAGCCTATTTCAAAAGCAAACATAGAATCTTTGGGTGTACTTCTGGATGGCCAGATTGGTATTAAACGGGGGCACGGATCGGGTATTCTCCCCCCTCCCCCAATAAACAAACACAATTACAAAACAAAATCCGCCAGTGTATGGAGTGGCGCTTACCCTTCCATCATCCATGACTAGAATCTTATCCGAGTCTAGTACAGTGTTGAGTCGATGTGCTATGGTGAGTGTGGTACAGTCTTCGAAAGCTGTTCGTATTGTCTGCTGTATCAAGCTGTCTGTTTCTGTGTCGATCGCTGCTGTTGCCTCGTCCAAGAATAAGATCTAATTATATTTAAAGAAAGAAATGGACACGAATTGAAAAGAAATTCACTCATGATGCCTCTTACCCTTCCTAACCGTTGCTTAAGTAAGCAAGGTATGTACTACAGGTCTAATCACTTCAGCTCATTTGGACATGTCCCTTAATTACTCTGGATATAAAACGGTCTCTTTCGTTAAGTAGATACTGCGATAAAAGTAGTTACATTTTACATTTGGGATATATAATGATGTAAATTTAATGTGAAACATAAAATATGTGATACAAAACACCTCGGTAAGAGGATGATAAAAAAGAGAAAAAAACAAACATTTGGGATATCACTTTTACCTTGCTGTTTCGAAGTAGAGCTCTGGCCATGCAGAGAAGCTGCCTCTCTCCTACAGAGAAGTTATCCCCACCCTCGGTAACAGGAGCTTCCAGCTGATGATCAAGGACACTAATCTGTAACAAGAGGATCATGCAAATAATAATAATAATAATATTTATCTTTTTTATAGCGCTTAATACAAATGTCTCTACTCTCTAAGCGCTTTACAAATATATTATATACCTCACTTAAGAAATCCAGCCATCTGATTGGTCGAATTGCATTCATAAACTTCAACTGTTCCTGTAAAATTCTCGGTAACCATGCATAAAACATTTCAATATTTTTAATAACCATGGTTATTAAAAACAGTTGGTCAGCCTCCATGGTTACCCCATAGGTTTACATGTTAAAAAATGGTTTGAGCGATGGAGGATGCCGTATGTGTGCGAAGGATTGGTCGGTAATTTCAATACAATTGAATCTCGATCGATCTTACCGACAATTTTATCTTGCATTGTTGACATGAAGACGAAAATAAACTTCCAAAAACAAAAAAACAACATCTGCCGATAGATCTTGATCTAAGTTCGTGCCAATATGCATTGCAAAAGTAAAAGAAGAGTCCGTATATGGAGCTTTTGCGAAGCATTCATCACACGCGAAGCCGGTTTCAATCCATTTTAATGTATATATTGGAGAAAACTGCCAAGCATGTTAGCGGCGGGCCATAGCCGAGTGGTCTAAGCGTTGGTTTTCGGTACACCTCTTGTTGTACGCAAGGGTTCGAATCCCGTCTTCCACAAAGTGATAAATATTTTTCATTTTTCATTTTTTAGTCTATTTTTTTTCGGCATATAAAAGTATTAATGACTGCTTTAATATTCGAGAAATAGTTGTTTTCATACGCTCTCGGGAAGGTTACAATTGGGCTATTCCCCTCGGCAAGCCTCGGGGAATAGCACAATTCTAACCTTCCCTTGAGCGTAATAAAACAACTATTTCTCTCAAAGCAGTCATTAATACTATACTATTACCCCGGTCATTTGATTCAGTGCTTGCCCGCACACACTGAGTGCACAATCAAATCTATAACTGTAAGGGTGTGTGGGCTAATTGGTGGTGGTGGTTATTTTACCAGACTGCTAAGAAAACATAAATGCATGTTAGTAAGCAACCAGAGGACAGACGGTTTTAGGTCCCCTCCGAGAGACCTGGTAATGAGGATTAATGCCTTACTAAAGGGCACTAACGCATCGCCTTGGTTTCGAACCCGGGAGACGACTGCTCAGCTACCAACTGAGCAATCGCGCCTCCTAACTCACTTGAATTTTAATCAAATTTGTCGGAGAGATGGGAAACTTTCCCTTGTCACTCCCCCCCCCCCCCCCCCCCCTCTTCCGATGGAAGTGTTTGTCCCTCCCAAGAATGTTCAGTCGGTTTCAAAGACGCCTGCGTACATGATTCTAGTTATTTTTGTATAGTTTAGTCACGGCGAAGTTGTTATGGTCAGGCCTGAGTAGTTTGGGTCATGTCTGAATGGATTCGCCCCCCCCCCCTTTATACCGGTTAGCATAGTGTTACTTATACTATAATAATCCAAGAAAACAATAGTATACCCTTATCAAAAGGCGCGTTACGCGGTAGAATCTGATTCATTTATTAGAGAGAGAGAGAGATTAGAATAAGAAGAAAGAAAAAAATATAGGGTGTTTATAGAGATGTCAAAGGCTTACCCGTTCTTTCATGTATGCCTGTTCCAAAGCTCCCCATAATTCCTGATCACTGTGCTCGTTAAAAGGATCCAGATTGTACCTTTAATCAGAGAAGAAAAAAAAAAAATCGAATTTCGTTACTCAATTGCACATTTTTTCTCGTGAAAGATAAAGCACCGTCATGTTTCGTTAAAAATCACGGTAAAGTGAAGACAAAATATAATGCCGGTAGGTATTCAAAGATATTGTTCAGCAATGTTTCGGATTATAGCCGCCGTTCCCGCGTCCTCTTTATCACTCTGCAGTCCTAACGCAGACGATTATTTCCAGACATTCACACACTCGAGACAACTACTTCGGCTACTTATTTACATAGACATTTGTAAAGGAGAGGGTGACATTTGTAAGACATTTCTGACTCGGGGAAAAAAGGTGAGTTTTCAGATGATTTTTCTGCCAAGCAAATTTTAAGGAGTGCGATAACACAATGGGATGCATTTTTCTTTTGTGTACTTAAAGTATGCCACGAGGAGTTTTAAATGCAATTTTTCAAGACCCTACTTAGACCCCAAAGCGCCCCCGAACGTAAGCCAAACACACGAGCGTAGCGAGCTCTGAATAGTGACGTCACACACAGGACAAACAGCTCAGTGCCGTGTAGCAGTCTGCAGCTAGCCAGCCGTGTCCCGTATGTGACGTCACAAATATTGACGCTCTATAAAGGACCGCTGATTAATGCAGAAAATCTGGATCTCAAAACATTTTTGAGAGTTGATTACTGCGGGCCCCAAACACATATTTTGAAGAAAAGAGTTGTTGTATTTGATCAGCAAGGCTTCCCCTTCGCAATGAGTTTTGCATCAATTCAAAACACTTTTGATTCTTCGTGTGGCTACTTTAAGACCAACCTGATATTTCCGATGAAGAGGACTGGGTCTTGAGGAATGATGGAGATCTTAGACCGGAGATCGGTCAGGCCTATGGTACTGATGTCGAGTCCGTCAATGGTCATCGAGCCTTCGTCGGCTTCTACGAGTCGGAACAGCGCAACACTGATCGTCGACTTACCTATAATAATGAAGGATAGAAAATATCGTTAATATAGGCCTAATATTTAGTTCTAGTACCGATAATGATGATAATAATAATAATATTGGGTATTTATATAGCGCGCATATCCACCATGCATGATGCTCAAGGCGCTCCAACTATTACCCCGGCTCTGCTAGGCAGCCGATTTCGGCGCTCACAGCATTCAAGGATTTCCTTTCTACCGGTATCCATTTAACACCTGGGTGGAGAGTGGCAAATGTAGATTAATATCTTGCCAAAGGATATTAGTGCCGTGGCGGGACTCGAACCGCGGACCATGTGATCTACAGTCCAACGACTTTTCCACTAGACCACAATAAGAGTGTGTCTTCACAATTTTGCCACTTCTTTGCCATTTATTTTGTTGTTCTGTTTAATTCCAAGACATATGGTTTCCGTTTCTGTTTAGGTTTGGCTTTGGTCTTGGTCTTGGTTTGAATGTTTATTTGTTTGATGACGTGTCATGAGAAAAAAATGTAAACAAATTTTGAACGAGTGTCCTATTCTTTTCATATTTTGGAAATAAGAAAGATATGAATGAATGTATCCTTACCAGACCCGGTACGACCAACAATGCCGATTTTCTCTCCACCTTTGATCTTGCAGTCTACATTTTTCAGAACTAGAGGAAGCTCTTCACGATATCTCATCTTGTAGCCTTCGATTCGGATCGCACCATCACTAGGCCATTCCTTTGACGGTCTGTTATCCAGCACCACTTCGGGTCCTTCTGCTTCTAAAGACTTTAGGGAGATACAATAGTATAATGATTACGTTTCCGAACGGCTACCCGAATCCAGTAGTTATCCAGACACTGATATATATATATATATAGGATGGAATTATCCACAGGCATTGAGCCATGCAACCTGTAAAATGATTTAGGACTTCATTTAAAGCCCCACTGCACCACTTATAGCTACTTGCGCCCTCTATATAGCAAACAATACATAATCAGTGCCTGTTGGTCGCTCATGATCCCCTTTGTCTTCTTTTAATTGAGAGTTGAGTTGATGAGATAACCACCTGTCAGTGACCTCGCTGGGAGGTCTAATCCCCCTGCCCAAACTTGTACAGACTGGAATTAATAAAATATATCATCATAAAATTCATCACGATTACCTGACCCCAATACTCCTCCGTGCCATACAAGTTTCTTGATCTTTGACCCCCCCCCCCCTAATAATAATACAATTAAAAAAAATATTGAATGGGTATACTCTTACCCTGTTATAATCCAGGATCCTCTCTGCAGAAAAGAACCTGCCTTCCGTCTCTGCCAGGGTACTCATCAGAAGCTGGAACATACCAGTCAGCTGGTGGATCAAAGAAAAGATTGGTATAGGCTACCTTTAATAATAATAATAATATTGCGTTCTTAGTTGTATAGCGCTCATGTCAGTCAGATTTGACCCTCCGGCCGCTCCCGATTATTACCCTGGCTTTAGCACGGCTGCCATACGGCGCTCTAGCATTTCAAGGAACAAATTCCTACCAGGTACCCATTTACTTCACCTGGGTGGAGTGTGGCAAATGTAGATCAATGTCTTGCCAAAGGACATTAGTGTGGCGGCGGGACTCGAGCCGCGGACCTTGTGATCGACAGTCCGGCGACGTATCGACTCGACCACAACACCTTTCAACACTTGTTCAGAATACTTTGTCAGCGGGGCGTTGTGGCATGCGCCTGTAATCCAGCTATCAATGTATTCAGCCAAGGACGCAGGTTCGAAACTGAGTCACATCTTTCGGATGGTGACGTTAAAAGTCGGTCCCCAGACGTAAATAATCATATCTGATTGACACACACACCCTAGCAATCTACTCTCTGATCCGCCTATACAACGTCGTATTAAACGATTCCTGATTTGCACCATTCTGAATGTGCAGTTTACGACTGGTTCCTATAATTTGAATTTAGACGTCTGTGAAACATTTGATTTGCCTGCAAAGAGAAAAAAAGATGATCCGTATTGCAATTATTCGGTTCATCCTTTCGTGAAATGTTCTAATGCGTGCAAGAAAGAAAGGGCTTGGTATATCTTTGTCCAAATCATTTTCATGTAATAATAGTCCGTCCTTGTATAGCGCATAATACTTAGTCTCTATGCGCTTCCAAAGAGTTTCGAAAATTATTACCCTAACTTTAGCTCCGGCTACCGATATCGGCGCACAGTGCATTTCAAGGAATAATCCTACTAGGCACCCATCTACCCATGGCAATGTAGATCAATGTCTTGCCAAAGGATATAGTGCCGCGGCGGGACTTGAACCGCGGACCTCGTGATCCACAGTCCGGTGGCATATCCCCTCGACCACGACACCTATACATATATATACACTGGATGAACTTACCTGTATAGCATAAGAGATGGCCAGTCCAGCGGTAGAAGTAGCAATGGTACCTTTGGTGAGGACAACCATTAGATTGGTCCCGGTAACGATCAGGACAACGAGAATCTCTAAGCGTGCTCCAGCCCATCGGTTAGCCATGCGAAACAGCATCATAGGATGAGCGTTGATGTCGAGTAGGTAAACGAATCTATTGAAAGAGAGAGAGAGAGAGAGATGACAGGTGACTTTAGCCGAGACATCTAAGTAAAACGACAGCCTGCGTGACCATAGCCCACGAGACCGCCATTGTCGGTTTAATAATGAACCCTAAGAAGGGTTGTTAAGGCCAGCGACACTTGCTCCTGCGACAGTTGTTCCGCGATAATGCCCTTCCTTAACTGAATTCCTAACTTCAACCCTAGACCCAGCACTAAACCTAACCGTTTAACCTTACCCTAAACATCATAACCTTAAACCCAACAGCAACCCTACCCTAAACTTATGACGAAATAAAGCTCGAGGCAATTTTCGCCGGAACAAAAGACAAACATGCCGGTCTCCAGCACCCTTTCATAACTTCCCAGAAGTCTAGTAATGCCAACATAGTCCGTGACGTGAACTATAGCCGACTTACTTTACAAGAGAAAACAAAAATATCCTCTCAGAAATCCGTATCACTTTCGATTTGTATACATTTGAAATGTTCCAAAAGAGAGGTTGTTCCTCACAAGTACTTCGTGTCACTTCAAGTTACTAACAGTTGACGTAAATGCAGCTTCTACTAGTTGATCTGACTCACTTTTTGATCATATCAGCTGTCTTATCGTAGGCGTGGATGGTGGCCAGGCCCATCGCCGTCGAGCCGATGTGCGAGAACCATGGCGACCGACTCACATTCTCGATCTGCTTGAGGTCGTTGACGCCCTTCCGATAGAAGTTCATGATGAAGTAGAAGACGATGAGGATGGGGACGACCGCGGCGAGGAAGTAAGGGAAGACCACGGAGATGGTGACGAGAGAGGCTAGGATCAACGACACACTCATTAACGTCAGCTCCAGGTTGATTGGGAGGATGACGTCCACTGTAAAAGAAAATCGAGGGAAGAACAAAATTAATTGGCGCTTTGGGAGTTTTACGTCAATTGAAATGCCCTTTCCAGGGACCCGTTTCACAAAGCCTTTTTTCAATGACAAATGACAAAAATCAGTGACAAATCTATTGATAACCAATCAGAAGCAAGGATTTCAGTAGCTTATAACAAAACATGTCATTTGTCACTGACGACAAGTTTTGTGAAACGCCCCCCAGGTGTCATGATCTAATGGGCAGTCACTAGACTGTGGGTTAAATGGTCCGCGGCTCAAGTCCCAGCAAAGATAGTAGGGACTTTTAGATTCGCACCAAGACAATAGGTCTACGCTACGATCGACGTCCTTTTGATGCACTGCCTTGAATGGACGTCACACGTATCAGTCCACTCAAATCTAAAAGTCCCTATTATCAGCGCATAGAGAAACTTATGTTTATTGTGCGATTTATAAGTATTCTATTATGTTCATCTGTTACCTGGTAGGAAGTAATGCCTTACAGCTTACATCGCCATGCCTTGACTTAAGTGTTACACCATGCAATTCTACATCATGTAACCCTGAAAAGTTTACCTCCAATCCGGTATCTCAGCCTTAAAAAGCTGATAGTTCACTCCAAAAGATATCAATGGGCGAATGATCCTCCATGAAAAAAATAAAACGAATTTTAGGCCGATTGGGCCAAGTCAAGTAATTGTTTTTCTTCTTTCTTTCTTTCTTTGTTGCTTGCTTGTCAGACATTTTTGCATATGTGCCCCCCCCCCCCCCCTTGCAAGAGAATACTGCACCTGCCCTTGGAATATTCTAGTGATACTTTTGAGTATATAGTACTTGCGTGAAAGTGTATACCAGAGCATGTTTCACGAAACCGTCATAAGTACAAGTTCACCGACATCTCGTTCAAACGCGTGTTAATTTGAATATACGCGTTTCAATGAGATGTCGACGAACTTGCACTTATGACAGTTCCGTGAAACGCTGCCCATACATATAGGGAATACGTACGTTCATCCATATCTTTAGAGAACCTGTTGAGAATTCTTCCTGTCGGTGTGGTATCAAAGAAACTCATCGGACTCCTTAAAACCTTCTTGAAGAGGGTGTTGTGTAGCCTGGAGGAAGCCCGCATCGTCAACTATATACACATAAGATGGAGCAAAGAGTACATTGATTTCCAGCGATTAATCTTATATTAATTAATCCGGTGACTTTACCTCCGGACTTTATTTCGTCAAATATAAAGGGTTAGGGTTGTAATTTGAGTCTTAGGATATGTTAGGATTACGGTGAGGTATAGTGTTGGGTCAAATGTTGAGTTAGGAATATGGGTGATGTAGGAAGTTTTCACAGAGCAATCGACGCTTGAGCAAGTTGAGCATTTGTCGTAGAACTGATTCTTTTCTGAAATCGGAAAAAAAGTAGTGAAATACGAACAACTGATCTTGATATAAACTGAACATTTTTGAGATAATGTGATCCATCCATCAATATTTTTACCACCTCTTCGTAAATATATGTCCTATAGATTCAGTGGCGGATCTAGAGGGTAAACAAGGGGACGTCCCCCCACCCCCCCCCCTCCAACAAAAATCTGGTATACCATTTGACACAAAATGTACGCCTGCCCCTCCTCTTCAAATTGTGTTCTTGCACCCCTCTTAAGTTTGAGTCCAAAAATGTAGCAGGAGAGTGTGATAACATTTGTCGGTTGGTTGGATAGTTTGTATGTTTGTTCATTTTTTGTTTTGTTTTTGTTTTCTTCACTTTTCAGAGATTTTATTTGACTCGGACGCCACCCTGACAACGTCCTTGATCAACTCCTACTACATTTACAAGATTACAATTACCTTCGAGTAGACAACGCTTTTTAGTAGTGCTAAGATGAGGATGACCAGAAGTGAGCCTCCGTAGATTCCCATGTAGAAACCTAGCCTATCATCGTTCGTCAATGTTGGAATTTCGTCGCCGAGGGTCTCGTTGTACTACGAAACAGAACAAAAGCATGTGTGAAAAAGGATTGTGTTTTTTAAAACTTTAATAATTATGCTCATTAAGCATAAAAAGGTGGGAAAATTGGAGAGAACAAGGATCAGAGGAGAGAGAGGAAGAGGGGGAGGAGGGGAGATTTTATGGAAAGGGTCGTTTCATCACTTACCCCTCTCCCCCCACCCCTCCACTCTTCCAGCCCTCCAGCCCTCCACTCTTACACCCCCCCCCTCTCTCTCTCTACAACAACTGCAGCCACACCAACAAGATGGATATGAAGAAGGAGGAGGAGGAGGAGAAGAAGAAGAAGAAGAAGAAGAAGAAGAAGAAGAAGAAGAAGAAGAAGGAGATGTATAAGAAGAACAATAACAACAACAACTGCACCACCAACAACAACAATATTAATATGGTGAAGGAGGATGAGAGGGGAGAAGAAGAAGAAGAGGAAAACTATGAAGAAGAATAACAACAACAACAACAACAACAACTGCACTACTAACAATAACAACAATATTAATATGGAGAAGGAGGATGAGGGGGGAGAATAAGAAGAAGAGGAAGAATATGAAGAAGAAGAGGAAAAAGAAAAAGAAGAAGAAGAAGAAGAAGAAGAAGAAGAAGGATAAGAAGAAGAAGAGAAAGAAGAATATGAAGAAGAAAGATAAGAAGAAGAAGAAGTAGAAAGATACGGGGAAGAAGAAGAAGAAGACTTACCGGTCTGTTCAAACTGTTTTCAATCCAGAAACTCAGCCACCACGCGTTTGCCGTCAGCAAGCCAATCACAACCAAGTATGAGAGAACGATCACAATAGCATTACAATATCCACCCATGGCCATGATGTACCCGTGGTAGGTTTGCCAACCCAGTGTTGCGCTACCCCGCTCCTCCGCCGTGGTGAGCTGTCCAACTGCATCGAAATATAAATGGGGTGAATTAATGAGTTATTGATATTTTGGTAAGTTTTCAGCAATTAGTTAAATTTGTATTCCGTTGTATCATATGAAAAGTTAGGTTAAAAAAAAAACCCATCAAACTCCAAAGACACTTTTAAGAAATCAACTCGACAATAACTTAGAGACATCTCGAGGGCAATGCCAATATACTTTATATTGGATACGTGTTCAGATTAAATGAATTAAGTGAATGCCTTGGTGATGTTTACACATTCCGAAAGATGATGCTATGGAAGGCCATTAAAATACCCTTATATCTTGTTAAATGGTTTTGTTTTGTTACCCCAAAAAACGGACGTATCCAAACATCTCTCTCTCTCTCTCTCTCTCTCTCTCACGCACTTACAAACACTCACTCTCTCGGAAGCATTAACATAATCATAGTCAAGATGGTAGTAGTCAACAACTTTTGCTTATGAAAAGATCATCCGATTCTCAATTGCTTGTTGTTCCGAAAACTAAGAAATCATGGGGGGGTCGGTCATTTGCACACGCTGGACCTCACCTATGGAATCAATTGCCACAACATATTCGTTATATTTCAAGTGTAGATTGCTTTAAACATGCCCTCAAAACTAATTTGTTCAAAGCGGCTTTCCAGTAGATTTAGATTTATTTTACTGTTGTTGTTCATCTCTGTGTGTATTTTTGTGTACTCCATAGTTCTCCATGCGCCTCGAACACATTATTCATGTGGAGGTGGCGCATTACAAATACTCTATATTAAAAGGAAATTTTGACGAAATGTATTAGAAAATATGGATGTAAAAAGTATTTGTGTTAAAGCAAACTCAGAGAGCAAATGCTGTGCAATAACCGAGACAGCTCCGATGAAAAAAAACCGAGCAAAAACTGAAATTCAAACCTACCTTCCTGGAATGAAGCGACGCTCTCAGCCTCTATCTCGCTGGCCACGCTCCGACTCATCGACTTCTGACGACTGATCTGTCTACAAAGACAAAAGGAAAGATCAAGATTCGCAGGTGTTCTATATTCTATTTTTTGTTGGAAAGGGGGGGGGGGGTCTTCTTCTTCTTCTTTTTTTGGGGGGAGGGGGTATTAATCAATATTAACTACACACCTGTCTAATTAAGAGTTTCGATTGATCCAAATTAATTGCAAGTCTGCTAATTAGTCGAGAGTTTGCAGATCCCTATTTCTTATTTACATAATTACGATTGATACCAATCGTAAATAAGTTGCGATTAATATCAGCTCTGTATACGACGGGGCCCAGATAACAGATGAAAATGGTTCCAGTGATGGATTTAGGAATACAGCATGCCAGAAGGGAAGAATCTAAAATGATTATAAAGCAATAAAGAGTATCAGAATGGTAAATAAAATAAGTAATACAAATCAGTACGTGATTTATATTATACCGTTTAAGTTTGGGTGTCATGGGTTCCTCGACTTTCTTCTCCTCTTCAGGTGGTTTGGTATAATGTGCGGTGATGAGACGGGCATACTCTCCGCCCTCCTCGTCCATCAGCTCCCGATGAGTTCCCTGCTCGGCTCGTCTCCCCTCCATTAGGACTGCGATCGTGTCACAATCCTGCAGGAACTGCAGAGAGGAATAAAGTGAGACAGACTGAAAGTAGTGAAGTGTACTTTTTTCAGTCTTATTTCTCTATGTAACTCATTCTAATTCTATCCCTCTGCGCCTCAGAATAGTTTACTAGATTGTTGGCGCGTAACAAATGCTGTATTATTATAAGTATCATTATTAATTCTTGTCAGGGATGTGGGAGGTGTACTTGATAAGGGAATTTTATTTGAAATCGGTCGGCATACACAGCTCAATTAGAATCATCAGGGGCGTTGCCAGAGGGAGAGCCAGAGGGGATGACTACCTGGATTTGTCTGAGATTTGGCATTTCCCCCAGTGGCAGACCAAAGCGCTTAAGGTAATATTCCTATTACTAGAGTCTACTTGTAGGAGAGTAATTGTCTATCATACTTAATTTAGGCAACAAGAAAATCTTTTCCATTGATATTAAGACAAAATTTGTCTTGGTCTCACGAAAAATTGCCAAAGATTAAATCGTTCATGCCGAATAAAATGAAAAGGCTCGCTTATGTCCATCACACAAAATGGTCAACGCTTAGTTAGTGACTTTGTACAAAAGGAAAAAAGTGCAAATTGAAAAGGGCAAATATTGCGTTGAATTATTGTCTCATGGAATTTAAAATTGACGCAGGTAATGACGGAATCCAATTGACGCACCGTGTGTGCAGCGGGTATTACTGTACCTGTAACTGATGTGTCACGAAGAGAACCGTTTTATCCCTGAGGGCTCCCTTGATGCAGCGGTTGAAGATCTGTTCGCCGACGTGCGCGTCAACCGCGCTCAGTGGGTCGTCGAGTAGATAGACATCGTGGTCGGCGTAGACGGCTCTGGCTAGGCTTATCCGCTGTTTCTGACCACCGCTTACGTTGATTCCTCGCTCACCGATCTAAAAGTGTGGAATATTAAATGGTTTAATTTGCCGGTGTTTTTAAATCTCATGCATATCTATCTTGAACAAAGTTGCACTTGAAGATTTTAAAGTTAAAAGAGCCACCCAATCAAATGGACCGACACCTGGAGCCTGGAGGCGTTTCACACAACTTGTCATCAGTGACAAATGACAGTTTTTGTTACAAGTTACTGAAATCCTTGCTTCTGATTGGTTATAAGCAGATTTGTCACTGATTTTTGTCATTTGTCATTGAAAAAAGGCTTTGTGAAACGGGCCCCAGAAGGACAAGAGAATGTACAAGACATTACACTACCCGAAATGACAAGATTTTGTCGGTGATCGGTCGATTTGGGGTTGGTCTTTCGGTGTGGTTGGAGTACAACCAATTCATGTTGTATGGATACCTTTTCGAGAAGAAAGAAATTGCATTCGACAGCCAGATATTTTGCAAGAGAGCCCTGCCCGACTGAGCACTTACTTTTGGATGAAAGGTGTATTTCATCTACACAAATGTTTCCAAAAATAACCGTTGAAGTTGATAGTTCGTCACACAGGGTCTTGGAATATTGATCGTAAGTCTGTTCGCCTATTCGGATATGATTTACAATTATGATTACCGTAAATAAGTGCAGTAGTCTGTGAATCAATCGCTCGATATCATTCATGAATCATCAACCAACAACGAAAAAAAAGGAATTTCGGAATACCTCAGTTTGATCGCCATCCATTAGGATCTCCATATCCGTTTTGAGACTGCATGCGGTAAGAACCGCGTCGTACCGCTTCGCGTCCATTCTCGTACCGAACAGGATATTCTCTTGCACTGTGGCATTGAAAATCCAGGCCTCCTGCGCCACATATGCTAATCGACCTCTGACCTTGCAGCTACCTTTGACCTTCTCCATTTCACCCAAGATGGCGGAGATGAGAGAAGATTTACCGCTGCCGACGAGACCGCATACACCCGTCAAAGTTCTCTGCAGAAGAAAGGGGCGAAGACGTTCCAGTAAATTACGTAATCACTTTCACTTCCGCTCTACTACTGCTACTACTTCTACTTCTACATTGTACAACTATTACTACCATTTCTACTACCACTACTACTGCTACAACTGCTTCTACTGCTTCTGCTGCTACTACTACTACTACTACTACTACTACTACTACTTGTACTATTACTACTACTACTACTACTACTACTACTACTACTACTACTTGTACTACTACTACTACTACTACTACTACTACTACTACTACTACTTGTACTACTACTACTACTACTACTACTACTACTACTATTACTACTACTAAAACTACTACTACTACTACTACTTCTACTACTACTGCTACAACTGCTCCTACTGCTTCTGCTGCTACTACTACTACTTGTACTACTACTGCGTTGCCAAGAGAGGTAGGGGCAGGAAGCAATGTCCCCCTTTTTTTAATTTTAGTCAGATCTTAGAAGTAGAATCTGAAATTGACGCTAGAAACCCACAATGTAACATTAATATTATAAAGCCGTAAAGATTCATAATGCACCGACAAAACTGATCTATCAAAAAACTTTTGCAATGTACGAGTGTGAATATTTTCTAAACTTTCCTTCTTACCTCAAGAAATTGTCAGTCCATATAGATCTTGATACCAATTATACCTGTGCTAAATTTGAATATGTTTTGGTAGTTGCACATATTGTTTATATCATGTTTATTCTATTTTTGATTTTCACTCTATACTGTATGAAACATTACTTAGATTATGTCTTACCTTCTTGAGTTTGAAGTCGAGATCAAAAAGTGCCGGCGTGATTTTGGCTGAATTATAGCCCAAAACGTCACGCTCCGAAGCCAAATGCCCATTCGACGAATTGGAATGCTCCGACTTCAATTCTTTATGTGTGGTTTTGGACAAAAAAGAAAGAAAGTGATTTTGAGTAAACAATTAAAAAAAAGGCAACTTGATGATGTAAATAAGTACTTGACACATGTTTTCCTTTCAAAAGGATAGGAAGAAATAAATTTATGACTCTATCCCTGAAGAAAATGTCTCCACACTCTTTGCTAAACTGGTAAAAGAGTTGAATTTCGTTAGGTATTGATTTAAATGGAAAGAAGGAAGAGAAATCATTTAAAACCTTGAACCGAAGCTCGTCCTGTGAGTATTAAGCGTGCCTATGATGGCTCACAGTCTGTCGTCAAACTTTAGTACCTCTTAGCTTTTTCTCCGACCATTGACAACGAATCTTCTGTTCTATTATGTTATTTCCATCATTCTTGAAATTCATGAGACTACATAATTCCTGTTATTTCCTGAAACGACTAATATTAAGGCATTTTCCACCTCTTTAGAAAGTAAGTTGATATTCGTGCAATTGCCGTCAGTCAGCCTCCCCCCACTCCCCCCCCCCCGCAACACTTTTTGTTGTTGTTGTTGGTTTAGTTTATAGGCGCTTGTCATTCAGAAGTGAATATTTACGCCTAACATTGTAACCGTAAGCCTAGGGTCGTTTCAAAGTAAAAACTCCGAACCTTCACTCCTCTCTGCATTGTTAGGTTTCCCTCTCTTCTCCTTCTCCTTCTCCTCCTTCTTGTTCTTCTTCTCCGTCGTCTCATCATCTAAACCTTCAGCTTGGATAACATCCCAGCCGAATGTTGCCCCGGTAATCTCTACCATGTTTTCACTGCTATCTTCGAGCTCCTCGTTCCGTTGAATCTTTTCGAGAATCATGATTTCCTACACACGGAAGAATGACAGATAATAATCATAATAATAATATGTCTTGTTTACCTAGGGTAGCCTCATCAGTATTCATACTGTTCTCCTTGAGGGCCCTGCAATCGTATTATTACCCCGATCATCGGATTCAGGCTTACCCGCACACAATGTATGCACATTCTCCACTCCCTGGGGAGCATTCCAGCCAGTGCATCATTTTTACAAAAGCACACTTGCTAATCTAAGCACATTAGCTTTCGCGTCCTACCGGGTATGTATCTTAAATTGAGAGTGTGTCATGGAAAACGATGGGCGATTCTTAAACATTCAAACAAACGAACATGTATTTAAGGTACTATGTCTCACTTGAAGGCCAAAACATGAAAAGGTTACATTCCAACTTCCCTCAAAACAAAAGGGCTTGAAAATATCATTTTGTGGGATTTAGCGAGCGCACTCGTTTAATTAAATAATATTTGGCCATTAGAAGTAGTGGGTTATTGATGTAGACAAATGCTATTGAAGAAAAAAAAGTCAGTCAATCACTCAATAGTTTTTGACAGTGAAGTCTAGGAAGTAAAGGGGTTTCCTTGCATAATTTGAATACTAGGACACTGCTAACGTTTACATTTCACATGTAGGACATACGTGACATATTCATAATTCGTGCAAAGTTCTACAGAGTTTAATATTGGTCGCAAAAGGGATACACAGGTCGATTTGTTGTCATAATAGGGATTAAATGTTCATTTCCTAGTCCTCTTGTCAGAAAATAGAGGTGCATTAATCCGTTATATTTTCCTATTAATGTTTCTGTCCTTGCACACTTAAAATATGTTTGGACACAATCAACCATGAGGAAGTCCGAGTCACCATGATGCTGTTCTGATGTTGTGACAAATTAAGCTGAAGGTAATACTTTCCAGGCCTCTGCACCACGAATCTGGAATGACCAGCCAAGATCTGACCGCCTGTCTTCCTCATGAGATGTTTTAAAGACCGTCAATACTATTGGACCAGAAGGGATTAGACCACACAGCGAGGTCACTGACAGATGGCTATCTCATTAACCCAGCTCTCAACTAACATAAGAAAAAGAGGATCATGGGGGACCAACAGGCACCGATTGGGGAAGTTTTCTATATAGAGGGAGCAAGAAGCTACAAGTAGGACAGTGGGGCTTTAAAGAAGGCAATAAAGGTCATCCTTTTCAATGATTATCGTTACCTTCTGCTACTGGTATGTTAATTTGTTTGAACTCTGTGATGCACTGTGAAGCCGTTTACTGTGTGGACAAGCGCTATACGAATGACTTTGCTATTATTATTATTATCAAATGTCAACAACAACTATAGATTTATGAACATAACTTGAGCGTGTGTGTGTGTGGGGGGGGGGTACAGGCGCGGATCCAGGATTTCTTAGGGGAGGGGGCCCAACTTTCTTCTTTTTGTTTTGCTCCCGAAAATTTGAAAATCGCTCCGGCCGAAAAGTCGCTCAGTGGGGGGGGGGGGGGGGGGGGGGGGGGGGGGGGGGGGGTAGTGAGCACAAAAAAGGTAAAAATCACGTGATTTTACATGATTTTTTTTCTCAAGGGGGGGGGGCCGGGCCCCCGGGCCCCCGGGCCCCCCTGGATCCGCCACTGGGGGGGGGGGGGGTAAGAGAACATCCTGGCATGAACATTATGTTATACGCCTTTTGACCGCGTGCTTGCTTTATATTCATACCTTGAGACGACGGAGGGCCACGTTCGCTTCGGCTATCATCCTAACAGCGTAGGGAGTCGGGCCCAGAACGACTCGCATCACATTCAACAAAGACACCAATGTAAACGCCTGCAAAAGAAAAAAGATTTTTATATTGGTCTTAATGATTAAGATAAGATTTTATTTTTGCTGTTTAACAAGTCAAGAGGTTCGGAGAATCATCTTGACAGCGTAGGGCGTCGGCTCTAAAACGACCCGCATCATGTTCAGCAAAGACTCAATATGTCAACGCCTGTAAAATAAATAAAATCGCAATTATGACAGTCGTCTCAAATTTCCTTCCAGATACCATCAAGCTCTTGAACTCACTATCCAAATCCGCCATCGTCTGCACCTCTCTGCGATTTCAAATTTAAGAGAAAAAACACATTGAAGTTATTTGTGAATCGAAATTCCTTTCTACACTTGATAAGAAATTTCAGGAATTCAAGTGTCACAGAATGACTAAAAATGTTAACCTTCTTGAATATTTCGTAATTTTCAATATCTTGTTTGTTACTAATGATATTTTATCAAATGATTAAATTGAATATCCCAATCATAGATTATTCTAGCTTAGTTTTCGAGCATGTAAGATAAACGCAGAGCTTTCCTATTTTGTAAAAAAAAAATCAAGGCCATAACATGCGAACCACATACTGTTAACTTATTGCTGCTCAATACTAGCTGAAATAAACGTAAAACTTCACTCCTACATCAGAAATGTATTTTGTTATATTATTTTTGATGTACTACCATCTGCACGATGTACTGTAGTGAACAAATGAATCTGAATTTCACGTAGGGTGGTGGTATCAATCCTGTCCCTCAAATCAAAGGAAAAAAACGAGTTTGCCTCATTTCAGACTGTGATTAAAAACAAAAACAGAATATATTTCCTACATATACGAATCATTCCTATATCCAATAACACATTTCGCACGTGCCATTATTATCGTTATTTATGTACATTGGCCTTTACGGGGTTTTCTAATGACTACAATACGGTTGAAATCTAAAAGATATTCCCACCAATTTACAATCTTTTATATAACTATGCAATCGCATAATATTATGACATATTTATTCCCAATATTCTAAAAAGAGAAATGTAAATTTACTTAAAAAGTCTGAACTTTGGTCCAGTCGTAGACAAATGGCGGCCATATTGTTTGAATTTCCGTTTATTATTTGTCATTCCGTTTGCAGAACAGACAGACAACATCATTTTGCTAGAGGGGGGTATGGGGTGTGACAATTCCCTCCCCTCCAAATTTAAATTTCCCGTCGGCAAATGTGACATTTATTTGTATAACCTTGGCGGCAAATTACAAACATTGAAGACAGTTTCCTACTCTTTCTTCTCGCTTACGAGCTTGACCATCAGCCCCGCCCGGCCCTCATTCAAAATGGTCAATGTACGCCCCTTAATTAGACTACAGTACATCCCTCATAATGCCCTCGTCGTTAATAGAATAAACCTGAAAGAACGGTTTGTCATTGTTTACTCAATAATCCACTTGCACCCGAAAGCAAATACTTCGTTTTGAATTGAAAAGGTGCAGTTTTTTTTAAGTGGACACGGTTAATCAAATATGTATAATACAAAAATGCTGACATCAGACACTCAAAATGTTTGAAATGCGACGAGGTTTGGGCATTCTTAAAAGAGAGCACTTTTGGATTAAACAGTGTTGTATTGCTATTATAGAAGGCCATCAGGGTAGCTCGGCTAAAGTATGCTGAATCATAATAAATTTTCAAAAAATAGTTTTAAGCACTACATAAATATTACGATTAAAATTATTATTGTTATTGTTTAATTTAAATAGAAGAAATACATTTTCAGCCATTCAAAATCCCTTTGCATGGCATGCATATATGTACCAGTTACAATCAATTTTAATAATACATGTATAAATGCACAGTATGAAAAAGGTCTCAAGCGTGAGTTAGGTAATTGAAACTCTTCAGGACTTTTACCACGAGCTACGTAATCGTTTCTTTATACTCAAAACACGTTAAAGTGAACATTTGTTAATGCGAACCAGAGACATCAGATTTAAAGTCATGCCTATGAATTCGCAGACGATTTTCCCCGTGAAATCATTTTTTAATGCGAAAAAAGGGTAAATGACTACCAGCATCTCAACAATAATGGCTGTCGCGCATGAGGCGCCATTAAGATAGCCTTTCATCTGCGCTAATCGAGTATGTGAAGGCAATTAGCCCATACGCCAGTAAGTCGACGCAATGTTTCCGGTGCCATGTTGCACTCAACTTTTGTACCATGTCACTCTTACTGGTGCATCAAATGCCACGCCAGTCGCTGGCGCAGTCCTACGTCAGGGAAATGACGCATCATGTGCGATGGGCTTGACATATGTCATGAACAAACTTTCGACTTCGTTTCTTAAGTCCGTTAAACACGATGCGTCATTTGCCTGACGTATGATTGCGTCAGCGATTGATGTGGTCTTTGACGCACCACGTGAAGGCGATGCGGTGCGCACATTACTGACAACAAAGAACAGTTAATACATTGCGTTGAGTTACTGGCGTATACATGGGCTTCTTGCTTTCATTTGCTCGAATGGCGCAAGCCTGACGTAATCGAAATGACGCATATCGTGAAACAATCCTTACCTCCGTCGCCGACAACGAGTTTCCTAAGGCTACGTGAATTATGATGGATAGAACAGCAGCTAGACTGGGTACGACGGGGACGACGGAGAGACTAAAACTCTGCAAGATACCAGCTCTTTCCAAGTAAACTCTCTCTTGCGCACGGATAGCTGTAAATAAGCAGAAATATCAATATCTTCTCTCGTTACTACTTTACTAAATGCATTCAAACAGTATGCCTTATACAGGATAGCCTAAATACTATTAATATTGTACTCCCTGAGGGCCCTGCAATCCGGGCCTGCAATCATTATTACACCAGAATGTCGAGGAAACAAATTATTAAGATTTAACAATTTTACATAATGTAAATACGCGTATAAACTTCGTTACAAATAAATTATTTGTAAATATAAGGTTCGGATGTCAAGCAAATGCGTGTATTTAACTTTACAAGTACTAAATCTGATTTCAAATTTTCACAATATTTAGTTGACTTTTACAACGTTTACCAAAATATATATCCAATGTTTAATTATATTATTATTAATAATAAATATGCTACGTGGGTTTTAACTCTTATCATGCCACAGGGCTAATCCCCATTGTGCCAAGCCCCAAATCCCCCCGTGCCAGGTTGTTTTGGAGATAATCTGATTAACGCGATGGTTCTATGAATAGCGAGTGCAAAATACACAGCACAGTCCAATGAGCATGAACAATAACTGCTATTACGAATGCTGCATTGCACGCACATGGCACTGAAACGATAGCTCTCTCGCATGTACAAAGCAGTATAACGATAGCGTGCATGCAGCCTTATGGCAGGCTACGAGTTAAAAAGATATATGAATGATGAGTCAAATCAAATTGAACCGAACCTTGTATAGCTTTGCCAAAAGGCGACTCCCAGGCATACATCTTGATGAGTTTGATGTATGTCAAGATCTCGTTCATCTTTTGAACCCGAAGGTCAACGTACTTTATGCATTTCATACGGATCTTAGAGATGATTCGACCAACGCCCGTCTGAGTGGGAGAGAGAAAGATAGAAAAACAAAATAAGCGGGAAGGGCCCGTTTCTCAAAGCATTTTTTCAATGACAAATGACAAAACTCAGTGATGAATCTGCTGATAACCAATCAGAAGCAAGGATTTCAGTAGCTTATAACAAAAACTTTTATTTGTCACTGATGACAAGTTTTGTGAAACGCCCCCCAGGACAACGACATAGGCCTATACAGATAAGCAGAAATACAGGCGAAACCCAGACAGGTAAGCAGACTGGTCGTCTGAAAGAAAAGCGGATTGACAGATAGACAGACAGATAAACTGATATACATACAGACAGGAAGACATAATTCAGTATGCCCAATTAAATGGGTCGTTTGAAAGATAAGCAGATAGACAAATAGACAGAAAAAAGACGGATAAACCTACAGACATAATTTATACAATTATACCCGTAAGACAGATAGACGGGCAGTGAGACTCAATGAAAAGGAAAGAAGCCCGGAAACAAAGGACCCCTATAAAATAGATGAAGATGAATTGAATGCAAATACAACGTGATTAAGAAAAAGAAACATACAAAGAAAAAGACATAGAAGGCGATCACATGTGCGTCGTGATTGGGGAAAAAATAGGTGTTTTAACATTTTCAAACTGATTGAAGGTATCTTCCAGATTTCTGTTATCTTTCTTCTAAATTTCAAAGTCGTGAAGGCCACGTAACTCACCGTCAACGGCAAGAAGATGAGGTATGTAATCGCGGTTCCGATGAGGGCTCCCGTACCGATGATGACCTGGACAGCGACCAGCGCAGCGAGGAGCATGACCAGCGATGAAATGATATAGTTACCCAACAGGCAGACATCGTACAGACGCTGACTGTCGTTGGCGCATATGTTCACGATCTGGAAGGAGAGAAGGCGACATCGATGATGACGGTAGGGGGAACAAATATTTTCCATTAAAAACGCTTAATTTAGAAATAAGAATACCAAGATACCTAGCAGTATAGGGGGATATTTAATTTATTTATACAAGTAACTTATTTAATGCTTCTTTTACAATTCACATTACATCCACTTATATACGATATAACTAATGCACGGTGCGTCAAAGGCCATGCTAGTCACTGACACAGCCTTACGTCAGACAAATGACACCTCGTGTGCAATAGGCATAACGTCACAAAAGAAAGAAACATTGGAGTGGTGTTTAAAAGGCTGTTACACACTTGGTATCATTTTGGTTCCCGTAGCACTGAGACTAACGCGATCTTTGACGCACCATATTTGATTGGTGCCGTACAAAAGTGAATGCAAAATGAACAAAACAAACATTTTCATTGAATTACTGACGTTGACTCAGATTACCTTATTAACGCAGGTAATAGCGCATCGTGTGGTCGTGCGAAACGGGCAGCGTCTTTTTTCCTAACCTAGCCATCATATCGCTGCATTTGATTGGCTCAATAGGAACTTATACGTCATGCGCTAGTCATAAATATTCATGATACGCACGCACACAGAAGCTGATGCGATAATTTATCAAATAATGAGATTTCATACAAAAATTACAAGGGCAACGCTATGTTTACTTAAAATAAATGACATTGCAAGAAAATCGGGAGGCTTACCGTAAACGAATGACTACCCAGGTCGTAACGTATCCATAATCATTGCGACATACTGGTTAGGCCAGAATCTGGCCGATTCAGTTGTGATCTCCACCACACCGTAACCAACGCATATATTCATATATTCAAATATTAATATCCATCGCTAGGATGGCTAGGTTATGTTTTAAAAAGACGCAGACGGGCATAAAAAGACGCAAAAGACGCAAACCCACCTCTCCCACGCTATGATCCTTCAAACTCCTCAAATCAGCCAATCTTCGGAACGCCAATGCGAGCATCCCGCTACGAAGTCGGGTCGCTGTTCGGCAGCTGAAACACCAGAAGAACACATCACACATGATACGGATGATGTTGAGAACGAATACGGCGACGACGATGACAATGCCGTACCACACACGGTTGTCGTTCGCGTCTTCGACGTATTGTAGTAACAGCTGAACACATACTGCCTGGAAATTTGTAGGGCAAAATAAAGCAAAGGAGGTACTTAAAATATGACTTAAAACTACAAATTTAGTCATGAAAGACATGATCGCACTGACAGTCAAAATCAAAAACATCTACATAAGTCAGTTTAAATTTATAATTTGTGCATCAACATTAACATTACAATGTCATATTACTAAATCCGATCGTGAAAGGGTATTGGCATTGCCATGATTTCGTGAATGGCTTGGCAATCGTGTTGAGAAGAGAGATGTTATATTTCAAATGAAAGAAGAGACTAAAAAAGATCAGCTAACCTGAACATATAAACATATCTACTTCAACTTAAAGAAATGTCCCCTTTAATATTCAGAGTTCTCGGAAATTCTCTGAAAGTCGATTTATTGTAATCTTAGGCGACATGGAATCAAATTACATTTTAATACAGCTAAGAATCATAAACGATAGAGTATTAAATTTCATATGAAATTCTAAATTTCCTTATACGAGATTCGAGAGAAAAAATGGAGAGAGAGCAAGTTGAGCAACGTCTAAATAATCACAACATTAACCAATCCGATCTAACTGATTTGTTGGCCATAAAATCATACTTATCATTGCAATGGGTTTATATCTCGCATGTCAAACATTTTGAATGACAAGAGAACAATTAACGGGAAATTTAACGAGTGGGATCACAGAACAAAATAGATAGTAATTACAGATGGATTTGATGTAGACGAAATAAGATGCGTCAAATAGTTTATTTAGTAGTAGTATGTAGTAATAGTAGTAGTAGTAGTAGTAGTAGTAGTAGTAGTAGTAGTAGTAGTAGTAATAGTATATTAGTAGTAGTAGTAGTAGTAGTAGTAGTAGTAGTAGTAGAAGTAGTATTAGTAATAGTAGTAGTAGTAGTAGTAGTAGTAGTAGTAGTAGTAGTATGTAGTAATAATAATAGTAGTAGTAGTAGTAGTAGTAGTAGTAGTAGTAATACTAGAAGTAGTAGTAATAGTAGTAGTAGTAGTAGTAGTAGTAGTAGTAGTAGTAGTAGTAGTAGTATCATTAATATAATTATTATTATTATTTTAAAGAATCATGATGAAATAGAATCTTACCGAAGTTACGAAAGATGCGAGGGTGGATATGACGAGAAAGAGAATGGAGATGAACTGTCTTGTACCAACAAAGCTGAGGGCGACACGACCTAGGGATACGTTTTTCTCCCCCTTCTTTGTGACTTCTTTCTGCCAGTATTTCTCTAATCTAGATTCAAAGAAAAAATACCAAATTGAGACAAAATAGGAACAATAAGTTCTACTTCCCTTTCCCATTATGAGCATTGAAAACTTAACTTTCCCAGAATCTTCCGAGCTTCTTGAATTCAACAAGAGACACTGCGAGTTATGAACGGTGTTGAGTAACGACGAACTACTACGTACTACTAATTGCAACGAATTACTACTGATCCCTACGGACAAATACGAGCTGCCACGAACTATTACGAGTTATTTCGTGGGCTTCAATTTCAGCACACAACCTGGTGCAGTGTGAAAAGGAAACTCGGAAGCATATTGAACAATTTCTAGATTAAATATCAAAATATTACATTGCAATGACGATAATCATATTCTCTAGAATGTCTTTTAAAAGCCTAATTTATAATTATAGCATACGTCATCAGAATAGTGGCGAAATACCAGATAATATTTGTATCATTAAAAGTGATCGATTTATAGGATGATTCTTAATATGGGTCCTCGGGAATCAATCTGCAAAAGAAAATCCCTATTAATTATTTGTGATATTTCTTCTATATTAAGCCTCGGTCACAAATGCCATTACGAACTGTTACGAACGCCGTACGAACGAAATTATGGTTCGTACGAACCTTTGAGACAGTAGCATCAGTTTGTTTGGATGGAGCAGGAAGATGAGAGTTTAAACTGAAATGCGACGTAAAGGGCGCTATTTCGTTTTTCAAACGGCTTTAAACTCTCATCTCCCTGGATGGAGTCGTTTTGGCGGTGCTGTACTTGCCTGTCGCCATTGTAGTCGCCTCTGTCGTAGTCAGATATATTCCAGAGGTCGGTGTACTCTAGTGACCTCTTGTAAGCCTTGTAGAATAAGGGTGACATCCAAGACAGCCAGGCGAATGAGAAGAAACCGCTGTAGTCCAGGGGTGAATACTGCTCCTTGCTGAGAGGAGAATGGTGGATAGAGGGAAGGGAGAGGGAGAAAATTAAGAGAGAGAGAGAGAGGAAGAAAAGGGAGAGAGAAAGGAAACGAAAAGACAGATGAGGGGAGGGAAGGGCGAATGGGAAAGAGAATAGAGAGAGAAAAAGAAGAGAGGTCAATGAAGGAGAGGTGTATATTATGAAAAAGGGAGAGAAGTGAGAGGGTGCATACAAATTATAAAAGGGAGGGAAAGAGAGAGGGGTAAGAGGAAGAGAGTGAGAGAGAGAGAGAGAGAGAGAGAGAGAGAGAGAGAGCAATACGAGGGAGATGGGGGAGTATAATGATGAAAGATAGAGAATGAGAGGATTAGAGACATTATGAAAGGCAGAGGAGAGTGAAATAGAAAATATGGAAATATGAAAGGGAGCGTGATAGGGAACATAGAAGCGAAAGCGGAAGAGGAAACAAACGTAGGAGGCAAAAGAGGAAAGGAAATAAAAGCGAGGGGAGAAGTGGTGAAAGTGCGAATGAGAAGGGTAGAATGAGAGCGACGTGAGAGGGCGTGTGATGGAGAGAGGAGAGAGTGGAAGGAGACAGACAGACATAGAAGAAAGAAAAAATATGTTTAGAATTAAATTGTCTTTGGACACCGGATTGATACAAATATATTATTTCAGAACTATAATTGATATTGATACACATTTTTTATTTACATGTACCATACCTGCATTACTTATCTTGTGGTTTGTATCACAGGCTATCAAATAGTGATTTCAATATTCATGTTTTACCAGAAAGTATACCACTATTGAATGCGTGCTTAATGCATATCCAAACAATTCAGACGCTCACTGTAAATAAACTAATTATAAAAATATATATATAAATTGCAACTTTAACTAGGCGTTGTGTCGTGCGCCTGTAATCCAGCTAAAAGTGGAAGTTACAAACTGATTCAGCCGATGACACAGGTTCAAAACTGAGTCACGTCTTTCTGATGGTGACGTTTAAAGGTCGGTCCCACGTCTGTAAAAACCCAATACACACACAACGCACTTACGAAGGCTTGAATCTAAACGGGGATAGCAGTTTTAGGCCCTGTTTATATCGAAAACCGGTCTTCTCTCCGTATCTAAGATAAGGATTGGTTGTCACGACATCCTCGTCGTCATCGTAGTCGTAGCCGTCATTCGTCGGCTCGCCCATCGATGCGAACATCACCGACGAAGCCTTCTTGGTCGCTGAAAAAATTGTAACAATAATATAGTCACATTTATATAGCTTTTAATACTACCTTAGCAGAAAGAATGAAAACTTTTAGTAAAATGATAGTAAAGCGCTTAGAGACATTGTATTAAGCGCTATATACGCGGAATATAATTATTATAACACTGTTGGTCATGGAGGTGGATTTTTTTTACCCCAATTTATTAAATGATTTTGACAATGATTTATTCCTTTCATAGATCTAGATATTAGTTTACATTCTCATATTTTATTGAATGATAATTAATGAGTGTTGTTTTGCGTGACTGCTAAAGCATGTGTATGCTACTATGCTATCAATTAGGGGACCTACGTCCTTAAGGCATAACTGACAGTAATGAGGATTAATGCCTCACAAAAGGGCACTAATATAGCACATCGACATGGTTTTGATCATGGGGCCTCACAGTTAAAAGGCACTTGCTTTGCCACTGAATCATGACTGTACGCAGCGGGGCTAGGGTAGGGGGCAGCCCCCCACAAACAAACAAAACAAAGAAAATGCAATAAATTATTAATAAATCATTGCATTTTCCCCCGGTCCCCAACAGAAAAAAAATCCTCTATGTGGCCATGCCTTGAACCATAATGATAAGAAGAAGAAGAAAGAGGAGAGTAATAATAATAATAAGAAGAAGAAGAAGAAGAAGAAAGAAGAAGAAGAAGAAGAAAAAGAAGAAGAACTGAAAGAAATTAAATCAAAGAACAATGAAATCTAGACTTGGAATGAGAAAATAAAACAGAATGAAAATAAAAGAAGATATCAAATATGAAAATGACTGACATTTGAAATGGTTTTGTTGTTTCGGGAAGATTGAGCATGCAGCAAAACAAAACAATTTCGATTTCTTAAAAAAGCATAAAAACGGCGGAGGAGCTGGCATAAATAACGACTTTTTAATAGTTGCAGGTATTCATCAAATACGTGAATATGAATAGTCCGATATGTATCAAAGCATTTTGTGGGCAGCCTGCAAGATGGCCGTAAAAGCTTTTATGGCAATAACTCCCAATAACTGCCTTCCTGCTCGCAAGCACCCGACGATTGTAAAGCTCACTGGTACCGTGCAATGTGTGTAATGGTCTCATAAAGACACTTGTAGGAAATGATGGATTATACCGGTCCCTGTCGAAGGCAAAGATAAAAAAAAAAAGGAGAAGGGAGAAAGAAAGGAATAAAGAAAGAAATGAAGAAAGAAAGAAAGAAAGGAAGGAAGGGAGAAAAAAGGGATTAGAGTAGGAAAGAAAGTAGGAAAGGAAAACAAGAAAAAGAATGAAAAAATGAAGGAAAGGAAGGAAGGAAAGAAAAGACAAGAGATGATTCTGAAGGATGTAATGAATTGGGGTATGATTAGAATAAAGAATTCTTTTCATGATCAAAGAAAACAATAGAATAAATAAATGATCTTACCTTGATCATTTTTGAAGTTTTCTCGGGAGTCGATTCGTTTCATCCCTACAAACTGTACTCCTGCTACATCCGCTGATAAAAGAAAACAACCAATTGAGTATTGAATATTATTAGTGCGTCAATTTCATACAGAATTACTACTACTACTACTACTACTACTACTACTACTACTACTACTACTACTGCTGCTACTACTACTACTACTACTGCTGCTGCTACTACTACTACTGCTACTACTACTACTACTACTACTACTACTACTACTTCTACTACTACTACTACTACTGCTACTACTACTACTACTACTACTACTGCTACTACTAATATTACTACTACTACTACTACTACTACTACTACTACTACTACTACTACTACTACTACTACTACTGCTACTACTACTGCTGCTGCTACTACTACTACTACTACTACCACTACTACTACTACTGCTGCTGCTGCTGCTACTACTACTACTGCTACTACTACTACTACTACTATTACTATTACTACTACTACTACTACCACCATGCACCACTTTATCTAAGTGGCAACAAACAAAGTAGTTATAAGAGATAATGTATAATATAAATAAATGTTCTCTGTTTTATTCTAAACTCAACAATCCATTACACATAAAATAAGTAGAAATCTACATTTATTATTTAAAACATTTCAATCTGTAATCAACTCCAATACACCTGTGGCAGGAAGTGATAACAGACATCAACCAGGAACCTTATTTTATGCATTTATTACGTCAGAGTGTCTATAAAAGGTTATATTTATGGAATAGTAGGTCTATGGGACTATAAAGGGACCCAGTGAGTAATTTAATCTGATGGAGTTATAGCCAACTATCAGTAGTTGTTATGGAGGGGGGGGGGCTTGATTTGGGAATGGCCGTTTATAGCAGTATATGAATTGGCAAGGTTAAAAAAATGTGTCCTTGTCCATACGTTTAAAGACATTGATAGATATAGCATTTTGAAAAGCAAAAGGTAAACAGTTATTCCAGATTTTACCACCAGCGTATCTAAAACAATTCTTAAAACATTCAAGAGTAGGCTTTGGTAAAACAACATTCAACGTATTGGCAAGTCTAGTGTTAAAACCAAGTCTGTCAAAAACCATTTCCAATTCACTGCACAATCGTACCGGGGCTTTTCCATGAATACAGTTGTACATTATACATGCTAAAAATTATTCCCGTCTAGTGTCAATGGAATGCCATTTGAATTATATATTCTTCTTGAAATGCGCCTGTAAGTATTTTCATTTTAATACCATGAATACAAATATTAACATTGACATTACGGTATAAAAAATGGTCTACCCAGTCAACAATGTAGACAGCGGTGGCTGAGTAAATATGCTTACGAGTCATGAGGCATGAGTATTCCTAACTATTAAAACAAAATGTAAATAATTTCTTTTGACAGAAGAAGATGACTTGCTAAATTTCCATCATTATTAAATAAAAATAAAATGCATTCAGGGAGGATATGCATACATCTTATGGGTTAGAGGTTAAAAAGGTGATATTACAAAAAACAGTTCATCGGATGTTCCTATTTCTAAGACCATGACTAACGACAATTTCTCATTTTATGAAGATGACTTGCAATAATTCAGAGCAAGAAATGTTTAAAGGAACGGTTTTTAAATTTAAACTGATATGAACTATACTATTAATAATGATAATAACGATAATAATGATAATAATAATAATAATAATAATAACAATAATAATAATAACGACAATAATTGTTCATTCTCTCTCTCTCTCTCTCTCTCTCTCTCTCTCCTCTCTCCCTCTTTCTCTCTCGCCCCTCTCTCTCTCTCTCTCTCTCTCTCTTTCTCCCTCTCTCTCTCTCTCTCTTCATCACTCACCAGTTTCTTGATCCCTCTCTCGGATGTTGTCGTCGGAGTCGATCCTCCTCATCTTGACGAGCTCGACGTCGGCATCGGGTTGCTCCGACCCTTCCTTCGAGGGCGATGTCGCATCGTCCGACATCACTGGCTAAGCGAATGGATGCTTCGAAATTAGATTATCGATGTTTGTTCTTCTTTATAGGGAGATAAAAAGAAAATGCATCGTGAATGGACCCTCTTTTTGTCAGAAAATATTGGGTCAAGTTCGCATAAAAAGTCCACCCGTTGTTGTGCAAACTAATATTTGACATTTAGTTTGCCAAGCTTGGGAATACATGCCCGGCTCTGGAATATTTGCAAGTTTTATGTGTCCAGTTAAAGGCTATTGTAGTACACATTTCTTTGGAAGGTGAACAATAAGACACCCTGAAAATGCCATTATCCATATATTGTAACCATGCACACGTACAGGCCTATTTATTTATACGACTGTGCCGGTAAATTGTTAACTTAACTTTTTCAATCGTTAAGAGTTCATTTTACTGTAGAAGTGTTGCGTAATTATATCACGTATTTATAATTATGAAATCTGAATGTAAATGTATTTATTACTGTTATTTTTCGGCAAATCCAAACCATCTGTGGATCGGGAGCTAGCGGATGGGGGGGGGGGGGGGTGGTGACGAGAAATACTATATTATATTATGAGACATTTTAATTTATGACGCATGCTAAATGTAGGCAATAGGAAATTGAGGGGCATATGCACACTATAAACAGTTATCCATATTTATGTACATAGTTTTCTATTGTTAAATGTTATATTGTATTTTCTATCATTTGTATTTTCACTGTCAAAAAAGCCATTGGAAGCAAAATTTCTATGTAATGTTTGCATGCATGGACCAATAAAATAATCTTGAATCTTGAATCTTGAATCTCTTTTATTCGGTTTACACGTAATAGACAAGATAACAGGACTGACTTTTTAATCATCGTATCCTTATATTAATTTGTAAACAAATAAAACCTTACCAACTTGAATGTGTAATTAACATTTTAAAAGCAAGCCCTCTCAACTGACAATGGTAGTATGGTAATACTACTTACCTGCGCTAAATTATATCCCAACCAAATGGGCATAGTCTTCTAAGTGGGAGCATCAAATATTCCAATGCGATAGCTCATCAATTATTTTTTAAATGTGCTTGAACTCAACCTGCTTAATAAATATGCACAACTCAATGCACATATTATTACGTCATAGCGGAAGGAAGCCATTTTACTCTCCCGGATGTACCATCTTTATGGCGGCTTGGCTTTGCATTATTCATAATCACACTCGTACACTTTCACCTACTAACCTCTTGAAATATTGTAATTGTGATTAGTTATCGGTGACTTTGAATTGAATAAGGGAGTTTACAGATAGCACATGGTACAAATGACCCCAAATATCCACAGATCTTATACACATGGAGAAGTTCCACTTTGAGCATAATAGAATAATAACTGCCAAAGTCCTAGATGTGCTTCATGAATACCTTTTGTTTGACCTCTTGAAAAGAATACTTCCACCTGCGTATCATAGAATGTACCGTTGGTGCATAAATGAATAATGTTACATAACTTTCATGAGCGCATATCCAGTATTCATCTCTGTGGGTTTAACCATTTTGGTACAAATAACCTTTATCTGCCCATGCGCAGATTGTATCTATGAAATAGTATTTAGTTGTTGTTTTTTAATACACATGGCAGCCCAAAGGGTGAATTACATGGAGAATACAAAGTAAATGATGTAAATGGGTTCCTTGAAATGCTAAAGCGCCGTGCTAAAGCCAGGGTAATAATTGGGAGCGCCAGGAGTGTCACGTATGACAGACATGAACGCTATACACGAACCCACTATTATTATTATTATTATTAAAATCACGTTAAAAAAATATGTTACAAATCCAATACACACATCAAAGTCATACAATAATAAGAAGGAGAGAAACACAGAGAGGGGGAGGAGAGAGAGAGAGAGAGAGGGAGAGAGAGAGGGGGAGAGAGAGAGAGAGGGGATAGAGAGAGAGAGAGGGGGAGAGAAAGGGGGGAGAGAGAGAGAGAGAGAGAGAAAGAGAGAGAGAGAGAGAGAGAGAGGGAGAGAAAATAGAGGCAGAGGTGTGACAGTCTAGTGGAAGATGAGATTGTTAGTGACATAATAAGTGGCAGATCAATGTTTTTTTTACAGGGGAGGGGCGGAATGATGTGCAGAATTCTTTTATTGAAAACTTTAAACATAATTTTGATCGGGGGGGGGGTAGTATTGGGTGCCATATCAGAGGTAAATAAATGTCAGAGATTCAACGATGACCATCCGAACTGGCATTCTGAGTCTGATTTTTTTCACCAACAATGTATTAAAGGGACTTCGTAACATTGTTCAATTGTATTTTTTAATTAATATATGATTGTCTGTCATTATATTTTATTTGTTTTTAGCGCTTAGAGACTTCGATGGAAAGTGCTTTAAAAGCACCCTTTTATTATTGTTATCATTACCATTATTATTGTTATTATTATTTTATTGAAATAACTAGTATCTTCCTTTCAAGGCGTTGAGTAACAATGTCTACTTTTATAATCATTGCGATAAAAATCCTTATCTTAATTTTTGTTAAATATTTGTTGAATAAATAAAACTATTTAACGCTTTGACCATGCACCATCCCAAAATTCCTTATAGCATCTAATAAACACTCAATGTAAGAACTCTGTTTAGATAATCACTTACACGGCTACACCTATATGTTAATCATTATTGGCTCATCGGCAATATACTGACTCGTGGACCCTGCAACAAATTGCCTGGTTACATGGAGCGGGAAGTGAGAGAGCAATTGGTGAATGATTTATTTTGATAAATGGACTTCTCGATCACGTCGTCATTTGGATGAAACGGGCGAGCTGGAGTGAGGTGGGGAGGAGACAGTCAAAGGAAATACAGTTATGGTTGGGTTTTGGCCGGAGTACAAAATAATATTGTAATAATTATATTTATTATTGTCATCATCATCATTAACATCGTCATTATCACCAACATCCCCATCATCATCATCAGCAGCAGCAGCAGCATCACCATCATCATCATCATCATCATCAATTCATCATCATTAAGAAATCAATGGTAATTTGATGGTGGGGCTCTAGTCTAGGTCGAATGGTATTTCTGCCATATCTGGAGTAAAGGTAAATGCGAATACTCCTTTTCCCCCTTCTTTGTTTGTGAGATATTTTTGGAAATATAAACACTTTCTTTTATGCTCGATAACCTTGTCTTCTTTTTGGGGGGGGGGGTGCTTTAGTCAGATAAGGGAAATTGGATCTTGCTCCTTTCATGCTCGATAACTTGTTTATGTTCATTCATTTCATTCTACTTGCACTGTTATTATAATATTATACAAACTATTATTATCACTTCTCAGAATAGTGGTAGTATCCCCCCCCCCCCCTCCCCCTCTTTTACAAAATCCCTAAGCCGCCCCAGGCCTGTATAGTTGTGTGGGTAGGGATAAAGTACGTTTTAAATATTACTAACACAAACATATAAAAGTTAAAATATAGTACATGTATCAATATACAACATGAGAATAACACACGCGGAGAAGACATCAAGAACAAGGAGGAACAAACATTAAAGTATTTGGAGACTAGACAGGAAGGTCTTCCTGTATATAAGAGTCTTTTTCCGGTGATTGCATAAAAAACTATGTACTGTTTTTAGATTATTTATTTCTTAATAAAAAGGGAAAGGGGGAAATGATTTACTTTCATACAGTTGTACTGATCGAATAAGGTATAATATGATATCCGTGTGTGGTAGAGGACATGTCTTTAGCTATAGAATAAATGATATTCCTATCATTATTTTTGTGGTATATTTATGATAAGTTCTCTGTTGAACAAGCGAAGGAGACGTAATTGTGGCTTTAAAGGAGGAATATATCTACACGTACAGCTGCTACCAGTACCCTGTAGAACTAGATGGGTTGGGAGAGGGGTCTGGACAACGCATATTACCATCATCAATCCGTCCATGTCCGCGTTTACACGTTGTAATTAGGATTTATGCTATTTCAGAGATAAACGTGAATTAAACATAAATAAACAAATCATCTCAGAGACACGCGCTACAGTGATTGATATACAGCTGCCATCTCATCACCAAACGAATCCAATATAAACCTAGACATACCTATTATCTTATATGATGTACTGACTCAAACATTACGATAAAGAAATCCGCATACAAATCCCAAATAATGTATCTTGGGGACCAATTAATTAAAGATTTGGGGGAAATATCATTATGCCATGGACCACTGAGCGTACGTACGTGTTATGTTTTTTTGATAACATGTAAATATCGTTTAGCCCGAGTTTGCGATGAATGATGTCCAAGAAAATTTGAAATGAATCAGGGGAAATATTGATGTTGGTTACTTGTTTGTTATCTTTGTTATCATGATAACAAAGACTTCCAACAGCCTCAATTTTGATGGAATAAACAACTTCAGTGAATTGAAATCACCCTTGATATTTGTGATCATGGTGTTTGTTTGTTTGTTTGTTTGTTTTTTGGCCTGTCAGACTAACTCAAAAAACCCGAAATACAATCAATGATCACACGTTCAACAGTATATAACTTACCTTCTATTTAGGTGTCGAATCTACTCTTCTATATTAAAGTCCATTAATCAACTATAAGGGTCTTGAGATATAGAATGTCGAAACCGAGAGTCAAGCTACCTCACGCGGTCCTTGTATAGAAAGTAATATGAGATAAGGTAGCACAGCACTATATACTCGGAGCAAGGAGTTTTAAAGGGAAATCCAAATTCTACAACGCCTGGCTGGCGAAGTATGCTCTCATCAATGATAGGCTGCTATGCTTGTCTTCGTATATGTATCGCACTCGTATAACCACACCAAAGATGGGATCTCCTTCCTGTCGTTATCTAGCTGGTATATCTGCCAGCGAGATGTGAGTTTAAAACTAGGCCACCGATATATGAACTTCGGTGAGATCTCCGCTGGTATATCCTTGCAATATAAAGTCTTTGTTATGAATGATGGTGATCATGTGCTTGCCTTCTCCTTCCTTTTTCGTCCGGGATCATTTCCAGGATGAATAAGTCACAAGGTCATTTGTAGGATCAAGGTAGTACGCAGTTCCGACGCGATCCGACTAATTTATAAACGCATCCCTCAGAGTGCATGCATCATTATGAATGGTTCAGAAACTATCGAGGCAGATCTATAAAAAGTGATATTTTGTCATGAAAAATTGCTGACTCATTGTGGTAGTGCAATATATCCACGCTATTGCCAACCCACGGTCTATGGCGTGATCCCCCGCTCATATACGTAGGCCTATGACCCGCTGGTAAATATACAACTAGAGTTGAGACGTTTACTGGCATACCCACTGCAGCTGCCAAGCAATACACGTCATGGGATTTAAGAGAGTGCGATATGCATGGCAACGAGTGAGAGCGCTGTTTATCATGTAGCATAGCCAAATATTAGGAGGGTTTGGCCAACCCGGTATGAGTTGGGCATCTAGGTCAATTTTATTTGGAAAATACTGTGTTGGGCGAGCAGAAAACAAAAGAACATACGCCTTGATATACGGCTCCGTCATGCAGCATGCAGAGCCATTTATACAAAGGGTTTGGCCGAGTTGGTTTGGTTGGACTCGAACTCATTATTCCGCTAAAATTAATGAAACATGGTTAAACTTGAGTAAAAAAATTCCCTTTATTTTATTTAAAAGTTATCTTAAATGCTGGGTATGGATCAACTTAATTTGTATAACACTACAAAAACAAATATGGCGTTTAATCTTCTTTGATGTGCACTCAGCAAAAAAAGAAAGTGTATACTGGTCTCTTTATCGTTTAAAATTTACATATAAACCATCAATAAAACATAATAAAATAGTAAGCGCTTTATAAGTAACGTTTTTATTATTATTATTATCATAGCAGATTAGAGAAAATTTATACTTCTAATCACTATGAACATGACGGGCAAAGAAAGAGGACAAAATATACAGTTCCTCAGGTAGACAAAGAAACATCCCTTCACTGCTATTATGTAAAAATGTGTAGAACAGGTGTCACATGCATATTCACCTGTTCTGCACTTTTTTTACATAATAGCAGTGAAGGGATGTTCCTTTATCTACCTGAGGAACTGTATATTTTGTCCTCTTCCTTTGTCCGTCATATTCATAATGAATAGACCATTTTCGTAATGTAATCAGAATTAATGCATAAATCTTTGTTACGTGCCATGTCACAAATGATTTAATTCACATGTTACAACTAATTGTATTTCAATATACAGAATGCGAATGGCATACGTTAATTGTTGCTAGGTAGGACAAACATGACTTCTCTTACCTAACACCACGGAATGCATGCAATTCGCATTCTAACCAGTGAAATACAATTAGTTGTAACAGGTGAATTGAATAATTTGTAACATGGCACTTAACAAAGATTTATGCGTTGAATTTGATTAAATTACCAAATTTTTCTATTGCGTATCATTTTAACGAGGGTTCATATCAAATATTTATTCAAAAATCTGAATCTATAAATAAGTGTCCACTTTCTATTTTTTTTTTGTGTGTAGTTTTTTTCCCCCAACAACATGAATGAATAAACTTTAGACAGAATTATTATTATCATTAATGAATTAATATAGAATAAATGCGCCTTGCAGGCCTCTTCTAACTTCTAAACCCTCCCCCTTCCGTCCCCCTTCTCTCCCTCTCTCTCTCTCTACAATATATATATATATATATATATATATATATATATAATATGTATATGTATATGTATATCTGTCTATCTTTCTAATAATATTCTAATTTTATATCTCTTTCTCTTTGTCCTTTTTATTTCTTTCTTTCCGCCCTCTCTCTCTCTTTCTTTCTACGCCTGTCCTATCCCCTCTGTCTCTCTCTCTCTCTCTCTCTCTCTCTCTCCCTCTCGCTTCCTCTCTTTCCCTCTCTGTCTCTCTCTCCCCCTCTCTGTCTCTCTCTCCTTCCCTCTCCCCCTCCCCCTCTCTCCCCCTTCTCTCTCTCTCTACCTCTCTCTCTCTCTCTTCATCTCTCTCTCTCTCAAATATAGCGACACCTATTAACATACGCATTAATACACTTACCAATATTTCATTATATAGAGAACACCTTTCCATTTATTGCACAAAATCACATGATTTTTAAAAAACAAATTAGGATAATCACGATCGCAACTATTTTCCACAAACCAAACCAAGGGCATCTGTAATACCCTATTGTATGTCCTATACAAATCATGTTTGGATTACGCAATACGCCATGGGGGTGTTTCACAAAGAACCTATAGTTGAACTTATCTCTTGAGTTGGACTTAAAAATTATGGACAGCCATTTGAGCCTTTAAATGAAATATATTCAAAAGCAGAAATTCAAGTATTTTTGACTTTTTATAAATTCCACATCCAGAACATGAAATCTCCTTGATGATAGAAAATATGAATGATTTGAATCAACATTTTATGCCTTTCAAAATAACTTTTACAAAATATTTTCAAAGATGCTAATGGCTTTCCATAATTTTTAAGTCAAACTTAGAGATAAGTTCTACTTAGGATCTTTGTGAAACACCCCCCTGGTCATGTTCACACATTTCAATGGGTGACGCGCAAGACTATTGAAACTGCCTTAAGGTGATTTCTCTGAAAATAGTTGCCATCGTTTTATATCAAGATCTTAGTACTCAAGGAGGACAACTCCCTGACCTCCGTCACACCAACGGGACCGACACCAGACCAAACAATAAAGTAACATTACCCAGAATGGCCGAGAATCGGTCGGTTTGAAGTCAATACAGAGTCGGTGTCGCGGTGTGACTGAGGCACTACAAATTGACTCTTTAGGGTGAAAAAACATAATGCCCGTAGCGTTTGTCGCGTCATTTACTAACGTAGGTCTGTCTCAGCGACTGACGCGGTCTCTGATGCTGACGCAAGCCTGTTTCACCGACTGGCGCGGGCTTTGACGCGCCTTGTGAGAATAAAATCGTGTAGGAAATGAATGCAAATAGCACTGCAATACTGACCCAATACTGACGCATTATTGGCGCTGTAAAATGCTTGATTAGCGTAGGTATAACAACGCAATCGAAATGACGCCTCGAGTCCAACGGGCATAATGCTAAGTAGTGGTGTTGGCTTCTATAAAACATGTTGTTCTGTTACATGTCAAATAAATTGCGTCATACCTGAAAACATGATATAGCGCATATCCATTATTTTTTCAAATGATTGTCCTTCTTATGTTTGGCGCAGATGATGCGTCAATTTGATGACGTAGGATTGCGTCAGTAGTTGGTGCTGTCTTTGACGCACCATATGAGGCTTACATCATCAACAACAAAAAAGTTACAAATGAATAATACAACCGATACGTTCAACAACCGATGGGAGTAAGGGCTAATAACCTTCATAGATTTTATCAACGCAGGTAATAGCGCATTCGAAATTGCGCCTCGTGCGCGACGAACATTATTAAACCTTGATTATTTCACTAGCCAATTGGCCCTTGCAAGGAGTGCCCTCTGAATTTGCTTTTTCAATTGTAACCGATATCTTTGGGTTTCTCATTCGACATGCCAATATGATTTCATCGCAATATTTTATACAGTAAACCCGGTTACTAATATATTCAAATTTATAAATGTTTCTTCCCTGGGTACCTATAGTGACGAATTATACCATTAACACGCTATTAATGAATGAACTTCAATTCTCGGAATCCAGTCTGCATACATTCCTCTATGCTTTGTCGGGCAAGTATAGGATTAGATATCAGATTATCAAGAACAACCTTTGTTTTAAAAAATATGCATACAATTTGAATATGTTAGTAAACCAGTCTAATCCTTAAAGGCACACTGCACTACTTATAGCTTCTTGCGCCCTCTATATAACAAACAATGACTAATCGGTGACTATTGGTCCCCCATGATCCTCTTTTTCTTATGTTAACTGAGAGCTGAGTTGATGAGATAACCACCTGTCCAGTGACCTTGCAGGGCAGTCTAATCCCTCCTATAAACTACGGCAGATAAGCTTTAAACGAAGCAAGCTTCAAACACGTCGTTTTAAGCCTTAAAATACATAATACTGACTTCTATTAGAAACAACTGCCCTTTTAAAATCTATACATAATACTGACTTCTATTAGAAACAACTGCCCTTTTATCATCATCTATACATAATACTGTCTTCTTATTAAAACGTATTATTATAAATAACGGCCCTTTTATCACCTGATGTTATTTGTAGCGATGTATATTTCTATGGCATGCAATTGGATAACACAAAACACATCATAACATTCATTTCAGTAAGAAAAATTAGTGCCCTTGCACTTGTATCCATACATTGATCTTCCCCTGGGTATGGGACGGCAGTTGTTACTGAATATCAGTAATAGTAAACCGACCACTGAGCCCTTTCAAGATTCAAGTTTCCCCTCCTTTCTTTTCCCCCTGGTCTCATGCAAGCCACCTCTTATACTTCTTATTAGCAAGTCCTAGAAGTAATGGGTACTACAATATCTAAGGTAGTTGTTTGAGAAAGACTTCGGCTTTTATTCCCACTGTTTGAGATCAATGCACATTCTGAATAGCAAATAAGTCAGAAAGACTTTTGGGACCACGAGTGAACTGAAATGTATAGATGCTGCAGGTTTAAATAAGCAGCAAGTTCATAGATATTGTGTGCACAGTACGTACATAGATCAGTCTCTTGAGGTTATTATTACCCCCATGCAGCATAACCAAGTACAACATTCAATACACCAGTGGCTGCAATCCAACGTAAAAGGCGCTATTTTGTTTTTTCAACGGCTTTCAACTTGTAGCGCCCTTTGCAACAGAACTCAACTATCCCTTTAACAATTATGGAAAGCCATCGACATCTTTGAAAATATTTTGTAAAAGTTATTTTAAAAAGCATAAAATGTTGATTCAAATCTTTCACATTTTCTATTATCAAGGAGATTTCATGTTCTTGACGTGAAATTTGTAAAAAAAAAGTCTTAAATACTTGAATTTTCGCTTTTGAATAGATTTTATTTTTAAGGCTACAAATGGCTCTCCATATTTTTTAAGTCTAACTTAGAGATAAGTTCGGCTTAAGGTCTATGTGAAACACCCCCTGGGCCAAGAGTGTGGGAAAACACCATGTCCAAGCCTCCAAGGATGTCAACTCATGAAAAAGAAAAATACCGGATGTATACATTTGTACTTCCATGCCATCCTTTCTGATACAAAAACGTCAGATGCATGTACCTATAAAGTCTTATACATGCAATGTTTCCCTTCAGAGAATCAAGAGCGTTCACCAAAATACCAGATGCATACACCTAAAACGCACCTCTTTGGCCTTAAAGGTAAAGACCAGTTATGGTCATGCGATTGCATTGTGAAAGAAACGTTGTGGAATCTATCAGAAAAGGTTGATCACCTGGCATCTAGCATCTGCAAGGTTCTGGAATCATCAAAATGATAAGAAATTTGGCCCATTCTTCGTAAAGTTACAAGCACTATACACAGAAAGATGTATATGGGACTACCCTATATCTCTCACAGACCATGAGAGAAACAAATTTACCAAATATATGAATTAGTAGGCGGTTTCCCGGCAAATTTTTTATCATCATGTATTAGTCAAAACATATTCTTTCACAATATGAGAGCTTCCATTTCATTTTTTGAAATTGGGGCGTTTCCAATACTGTTCTTTACCTTTAATTAATTAGCTTAAACTATCCTTACTTACGTTATTTGTTTTGACCATGTTAGCTATCTCTTTATAATGTTATTTACTATGTTAAGTTAGTCATTTTAGTAGTTATAAGATTTGTATATTTCTCTTTGTTGATTCCTTTTATGTGATTATATTTCTCGTCATTCATGCTTGTACAGCGCATAGAGAAACTTTTGTTTATTATGCGCTTTAGAAATATTGTATTACTATCATTATTATTATTATTATACCGGTATGTCACTTAAACATCAAACACCTTCTTTCAAATAAATCATTCGTACTGTATCACCAAATCACAAGTTACCTACCAGCTAGCCTATTACTGGGTAACAGTACGAGGTCGTACATCATATGCTCCTACGACAAGTAATTGACAATTGCTCCGGACTTCATTTTGTCAAAAGATATAGGGTTAGGGGTGCGGTTGGGTGTTTGGTTAGGTTTAAGGTTAGGAAAGAATACATTTGTATTTTGGGGTATTTTGTACGTATTATGAAAACTTCATTCACATGATATGTAACCCAAAATAACTAATAACCCCCACGTATGATAACAAATATGAAAATCACGTGAAGGGTACATGCATAGGAAATTCTTTAGTATGCATAGGTAATTCATTAGTATGTATAGGTAATTCAATAGTATGCATAGGTAATTAATTAGTATGCATAGGTAATTAATTAGTATGCATAGGTAATAATTAGTATGCATAGGTAATTCATTAGTATGCATAGGAAATTAGTATGCATAGGTAATTAATTTAGTATGCATAGGTAATTCATTAGTATGCATAGGTAATTCATTATTATGCATATGTAATTCATTAATATGCATAGGTAATTCATTAGTATGCGTAGGTTATTCATTAGTATGCATATATAGGTAATTCATTAGTATGCATGTATGCATTATTTTAAATTGAATTAAATTAAATGTTAACTGTTGGTCAAGGGGTCAATCAATAATTTGAATGGTTTAGAATATTGGGCAGGAGCACTCACTATGAACATGATGGACAAAGAAAGCGGACAAAATATACAGTTCCTCAGGTAGACAAAGGAACATCCCTTATATTACTGCTATTATGTAAAAATGTGTAGAACAGGTGAATATGCATGTGACACCTGTTCTACACATATTTACATAATAGCAGTGATGGAATGTTCCTTTATCTACCTGAGGAACTGTTTATTTTGTCCTCTTTCTTTGTCCGTCATATTCATAGTGACTTGTCACCGGAGCATATGTCGTATATGCTTTCTTCCTCTCTGAAACTACCGCACTACACATACTACAGACTATCCTAATTCCTATAACATTGCATGCAAGGGGTGATGACGCTCCCAAAAGGCCCTCGAATGAGGGGGTGGGGGTGTCGAACAAATTGCAAGTATGAATAATGAAAGCAAAGACTACATTTGTTTAAAGAATCCTTAGTTATAAACATTTATAAATGCTTCCCAAAATCCGGCATTTATTAATCATCCACTGTCTTCTAACTTGGGGATCGAATCATCGTAATTCCAATTCTCCGTATGAGTGGTCCTTTTTGTCCAATGGGCCATCTTGTTGGATCTCTGGTACTCGCGATGTAGTCCCGTCCACCCATCGCTAAAGGAAAATTAATTACACAGTTTTAATTAGATGGGTTTATAAAATATCGTTGAATACATGAACGACGTCTTTGAGCGCTTTACAGTAATCACATACAGTTTTCAACGGATGCATGAGTAAATAAGACTACACAGTGGCGTACGCAGGATTTTTTTTGACGGGGGGGGGAGGTTAAAATTTTTAAATTTCGCTCACATTTTTTTTTCTCTAGGAAATTTGAAAATTTGGCCGACCGATATTTCGTTCAGTTAGAGGGGGGGTTAAGGTTTTTTTATATGAGGGGGGGGGGGGGGGTCGTCGAAAACACACACATTAAAAAAACTGAGGGAGTTCGACCCCCCCCCCCCCCCCCCCCCCATGTGGCATGAAAGTTTGGTGCAAACTTTTAAGATATTTCTTATCATATTTCGAACATCAGGGTACTAGAATAGCTATCTCTTTTAGGGGACATTTCTACTATATATGATACTCTTTCAATTAAACGTCTGTAAAAAAAAATTAAGGAATGAAAAGCCTCAAATTGTCATCTTCACCACAATTCAAACCATCTCTTTGAAAGATGATCTCCATCGTGAAAGTTTGTTCAAAACCTTTAAGGTATTTTTCGTCATATTTTAAATATCAGGGCGCTTGAATAACAATCCTTATCGTGGGGCATTTCTACTCCGAAACTCTTCGAACTCTTCATTTCTTTTTGAAAGATTACCTCCATCAGTGTCCCCTTGCTCACGAAGACGAACTGGTAGATGAAGACAACTGGAATAGTGAGGATGGAGGAGAGAGCCATAAACCAACCCAACATGTATCCCCACCAGGGATACACATAATCATCTTCATAGGTCAAGGGCTTGTAGTATACTATACTGTAGATGAAGATGGTCTGTGTGATAAAGAAAGAAAGAGAACTTAACTGAATTGAACTGTGTTGACTTGAGGTTGAAATGAATCGAGCTGATGTGAATTGGATTTAAGTGAAGTGATGTGAAGTGAAGTTATGCGAATCGAATTGAGCTAAATGGAAATGAATTGACTTGAATTGAGTTGAACTGAATTGAACTGAACTGAACTGAACTGAATCAAACTGAACTTAAGTGAACTGAAATGAACTGAGGTGAGCTGAACTAAAGTTATTGCACACTTTCTCATAAAAAAACGAGTGATAGTCTCAGTATTTAAGTGAATCACACGTGACCGGGCTTGACCAATCATGTGATTACGATCAGGCGCGGATCCAGGGGGCCGAGCGGGCCTTGCCCCCCCCCCCCCCGCAAAAAAAAAAAAAAAAAAAAAAGGAGAGAGAGAAAAGGAAAAGAAGGGAAAGGGAAAGAGGAGAGAAAGGGGAAAAAGAGGAAGAAGAAAAGAAGAGCGGGAAGAAGGAGATCGGGGGGGGGCAAAAGGACCAACCTTCCCCCTCCAATCAAAAAATAAAAGAGAAGGAAGGAAAGGGAAAGAAAAAAGGAAAATAGGAGATAAAGGGAAGGAAAAAAGAGGAAGAAGAAAAGAAAAGAAGGGGGATATCAGTTGCAATTTTCCCGCCAACAAGTTGTGGATCGAGGGGAGGCAAAAGGCCCTTGCCTCCCCCCCCCCCCCCCCGTCCCCGCTAAACAAAGAGAGAAGGAAGGAAAAGGAAAAGAGGAGAGCTAAAAGGGAACAAAAAAGAGGAAGAAGAAAAGAAGGGGAGATCAGTCAACAATGTGTGGAGCGGAGTGGGGGTCAAAATGACCTTGCCCCCCCCCCCCCAGCAAACCTAAAAGAGAGAGAAGGAAGGGAAGGAAAGGGAAAGAGGAGAGAAAGGGAAAGAACAAACAGAGAATGAAGAAAGGTAAGGGATATCAGTTGTAATTTTCTCGTCAACAAGGTGTAAATCGGGGGGGGGGGGGGGCACTGACGTACTGATAGGGGAGGGGGGGAGGGGGGGGGGCTTTGGGGAAATCAAATTCAAACGTGTTTTTTTTCTAATTCCATAACGGTGGTTTACAAATAATGCAGAAATGACATAATTTTCCCCAATTTTTCCTCACTTTTAAGTAAATTGTACTTTTTTATGCGTTTGTTGGAAAATGACAAATTCCTAAATTTATAGCCAGGCAAGAAAATGCTTCTTGAGATGCCTACATGTCAGGGCCCGCGGAACGGCGGGGATCGGGATTCTCGAGCCCCCCCCCCCCCCCACTTTTTTTGAAAAAGTATATTAAAGAGAAATAGAAAGAAAGAGAGCAAGAAAGAAAAAATAGTTAAATGCCAGTGTCACATTATAATGAGGTATCAAAATATGCTCATCTGACCATGATTAAATTAAATGCCTAAAACCACGAGGGCTCTACCCCCTGGGTTCCACCTAGGGCCCTAAGGTGGGCCCTTAGATGGTCATTTGACAGTAATTAAACGCCTAAAACCCCTGAGCTTCCGGGGGCTCTGCCCCTGACCCCAACCAAGAGCCCTAACGGGCGGGCCTCTTGATACTCATCTGACCGTAATTGAGTGCCTAAAACCCTTGAGATTCCGGGAGCTCCGCCCCCTGAACCCCACGCCAATTAGTGACCTGCCAGTGTCACAATTAGGTATCAAAACAATGCTCATCTGACCTTAATAAAATTCCTAAAACCCCTGAACTTCCGGGGCTCTGCTCCCTGGACCCGCCTAGGGCCCAAAGGCGGACACCTGAATGCTAATCTGACCGTAAATTATTGCCTTAAACCCCTGAGTTCCGGGGGCAGACAAGGTATCAACATATGTTCATCTGACCGCAGGCGCGTAGCCAGGGGGGAGGGGGGGGGGGGCGGTGGGGTGGTCCACCCAAAAAACGCCGGCCAAAAAAGAGAGGAGTGAAAAGGAAAAGGACGTAGGAAGAAAAGGGAGTAGACAAAGAACATTTTTGAAATTCAGACAAAGATTAAGAGTCGAGAACGGTACGAATCGTCTGCTTTCTCTAATGATTTAATGAAACGTAAAAGCTTCCGCGCTTTGCGCGGGAGGGGGGGGGGAACTGAATTTAGACGAAGATTAAGAGTCGATAACGACACAACGAATCGTCTTCATTCTCTTAATGAAACGTAAAAGCTTCCGCGCTTCGCGCGGGAGGTGAGGAAACATAATTCAGACGAGGATTATATTTGGGAACGGTACAACGAATCGTCTTCTTTCTCTAATAATTTATTGAAATGTCAAAGCTTCCGCGCTTCCCGGAGGAGGGAGGGGGAAACTCGCTCCTCCCTGCACCCACCCCCCCCCCCCCCCATTACGTCACTGCTGGTCACCATAACGTACCAATATTTGGCTCGCATGATTTCAAATTTGGGCCCCCCCCCCCCCTAAGAAATCCTGGATCCGCGCCTGTTCACTTGTTCACTTGAACTACATGTTAACAAGTAGATTGTATATATTGTTTCGAGCTTTCTATACTAAGAGGTGTCTACGATTACACACTCATAGCCTTGAGCTCGAATTGGAGCCACCATAAAGGGTCGAGATATCTCTTGACCTCAACACGCCAATCAAAACAAATGAAAAGAATCATGCGACGCAAAGCTTCAATCTTTTTACTTGAACTTGATTGTCGCTTTATTCCTTAAACTTTTGCTGGTAGCATAATGAGTGTATGAAATCAAAGGCGTAGAAAGGGAGGTTGGGAGAGGAAGAAGAAAACAATGCGAACGCAAGAATTTTAGGTGAGCCTGGTAGGCTATACAGGCGGTTCCATTTCAGGTCGCCCAATGTCGGTCCGCCCCCTTACAAAGTCGCCCTCAATTGGTCATGTCCCCCCTTCCCCCCCCCCCCCCCCCGATTTTTGTTGTTGGCGATTTGGGGATTCTTGGTCAGCTCGCCCCAGCTTTTTTGGTAATTTCGCCCCTAAATTTGCTGTTTTAATTTGATGCCTTTTACAAAGTCAAGCAATTATTGGTTCCTAGCAATAGGGTCTGCGTTACCCTAACTATAACCCTAACCCTAGGACACCGGGCCCCGCGTTACCCTAGGACACCGGGCCCCTGCGTTACCCTAGGAAACCAAGGTCCGTATTAACCTAACTCTAACCCTAACCCTAACAATAAATAAAGTTTTTTTTTTCCATGTTTTACATATTATATTATTATCAGGTATATCGGTAAAAACCGGTATATCACTTTGAGTCACATATCTATATTATTTTGTTTCAGATTTGATGGGGGTACAATATTGAATTCTTAAATTCAATTTTATTGGTCCAAAAGAAAATTCGTTGCGTTTAAATGCATTATATTCACAAAGGGGGGCCCCAAAACGCCGGCCAAAAAGAGAGGAGTGAAAAGGAAAAGGACGTAGGAAGAAAAGGGAGTAGACGAAGAACATTTTTGAAATTCAGACAAAGATTAAGAGTCGAGAACGGTACGAATCGTCTGCTTTCTCTAATGATTTAATGAAACGTAAAAGCTTCCGCGCTTCGCGCGAGAGGGGGAAAATGAAATTAGACGAGGATTAAAAGTAATAACGGTAGGCCTACAACGAATTGTCTTCTTTCGCCAATGATTTAATGAAACGTAAAAGCTTCCGCGCTTTGCGCGGGAGGGGGGGGGAACTGAATTTAGACGAAGATTAAGAGTCGATAACGACACAACGAATCGTCTTCTTTCTCTTAATGAAACGTAAAAGCTTCCGCGCTTCGCGCGGGAGGTGAGGAAACATAATTCAGACGAGGATTATATTTGGGAACGGTACAACGAATCGTCTTCTTTCTCTAATAATTGATTGAAATGTCAAAGCTTCCGCGCTTCGCGGAGGAGGGAGGGGGAAACTCGCCCCTCCCTGCACCCACCCCCCCCCCCCAATTACGTCACTGCTGGTCACCATAACGTACCAATATTTGGCTCGCATGATTTCAAATTTGGGCCCCCCCCCCCTAAGAAATCCTGGATCCGCGCCTGATTACGATCTAGTTGTAAGTTGTATCATCTCCATGCGCACCAAGAACTCACCCCGGCAAACAGAGGCGTCATAAACATCCATGCAGCCAGCATGTACGGTTTGATCCAACCCTTGCCTATCATGTTGATGATATCTTGCATGAACCGATTACCGCCTGGAAAAACAAACACGGAGTATGTAAAAGAAAGTTTTAAAAATTAAAATAGTAATAACAAAACAAAGGCTACGATTAATTATTGTACTGTATCTCACAAAGGAGCGTTCGTCCATAGGGGGAGGGGGGGGGGGACATATTTGGGGTAGAGGGACTATACCCCTATAACATTACCCCCGCAGTTGTCCAACAATAATTGCCAGTAGGGAGGATATTCTAGGTCTAACTCAACTTCACACTAGGTCATGCAGACATAATTTCCAAGGTGTGATTGCCTTCATTGTGTAAGGGTTGACGTCATGGGATAATTGTCCCAGGGGCGGATCCAGCCGGCGGCAGGGGAGGGGCCCTATTCGTAAATTTGAAAATCGCGCTGGCCGATAATTCGCTCAGTGGGGGGGGGGGGGGGCTCTCGAAAATTTGAACAAAATCGCACACCCCCCCTCCCTTGAGCGCCATGGGAGGGGGCCCATCTGTAAAAAAAAAAGTAAAAAAGTAAAATTATCGTGTAATACACGTTTTTTCCCCAGGGGGCGCATATGGCTCCGTTTAGTCTCATTTCACGACGCCCCCTATCGTCAGAGCATGGTCAGCGTCAGCAGCCTAACATGTTAGCCTATGGACGTTTTTTTTAAAAATCGTTAAAAATTCATTTTTTTGTTTAAACGAAAAGCACATCCACCCCGACGTACGTTATCACTAGCTCTTTCATTGGAGCCCTCATGTCTCATTGACTTTTGAAAGTTCACCCACTGTAATTTTTCAAAATAGGTTGCAAGCTCGGCATTGCCTATAATACACATGTGAAACAAGTCTAACTTTGGACTCAGTTTACCAAGCGATTTGAAGATTATAGGTCGAGCACACGAAACATAAAAAGCATGAATTATCATAGATCACTTCTGCCTATTTCGTTTTGTCCATTTCATCCAACCCCCCACCGTAATTTTTCCATTTAGTAAAAGCAAACATTTTGCCGAGTTTAGCAAAAACATGAATATTCATGAACGGTCAGACAATACAGCCTTTTAGTACGTAACGTATAGTGAATGGGAATGTGCGATGATCCGTTCAGGAGGTAGAGGTCAGTGGTTTGTGCTGGCAATGTTCACGCGAGCGAAAATGAGACAATCGGAGCAATATGGGGGGCCAGCCCCTTCCCTGGATCCGCCACTGTATTGTCCTAACGGACACTATTAGTTGTCCGGGGATAAAAGACACTATTAGTTGTCCGGGGATTCAAGACACTAGTAGTTGTCCGGGGATACTAGTCCGGCTAAGATAGACTGGTACCTACCGTACACCCATCCTATGACTAAGCTCTCGCAGAGAGCGACCCAGAGGAGGACAAACCCACTTGCTGCGTAGAAGTCGAACAGTTGAAAGATGAACATGCCGCCCTATAAATAAAAGAAGACACAGAATAATGTCAGACAATGTAAAGAGATTAATGAACGAATACAATGACAATTGCAGTCAATTCCTAACATGAACAAAAAAAAATGGTCCCAGGATATAAATAGTGCCGACAGCAACTATAGCTACGGCGCGATGTTTCTGGATAAAATGATGTTTTAAGAATAACAAAACAGATTTTTTTAAAAAACGGAACAACTCTGTATACGGAAATTGAAACAAACAAATACATCGTTTTAGAATTAGCATGTATGTACTTTATGGGCCACATACCTTCTTAAATCATAATCTCCGAAAGGGAAGTGTACGTGGATTTTCCGTATTAAATATAAATGCGTCCAAAGTCTATGACAAGACAAAAAAGGCATGTTCTTCTGTCATGTCTGTGAGGCACGTTCGGCCTCTGAAGATTTACAGTCATTCTGACTTTTCTTTTCTTTTCTTTTTTTTCCAAAGAAAAATTTATTCAATCATTCTTGAGCAAGAACCAAACAATACATTTGAACAAAGTACATGTTGTGACATATCGGTAAAACAAACATTTTACAACGGTTGCACATGTCACCATTTATCAAGTAATACAACGAATTTATTGCGTTTGATAGAAAGAACCCGCTCAACTTCATAACAACGTTTGAGCATCTTCTTAAAAGAATTCAAAGATAGCATTTCCCTTTTGTATTTCGCAGAGAATATTGTTTTGCATATAAAATGACAAAATTAAAGATAGATTGCGTACCATCCGGGAAACCAAACAAAAAGCAATTTTTATTCAAAAGCACTTCATTGTTTAGAATAGAGCTTTGGAAGTCTTGAATGAATTCTGACTTACATAGGTCACCATGGGTATTCCCGCCATACAGAAGAATAGACAACACCCTGCGCAGAAGAACTCCCGTCTGTGGCCTTTCAGGAGTGTATTCGGGAAGATATCAACGATCGTCGTCACGAAACCTTCGACGACCACGAACTGAGGTACAGGAAATAAATTGGGATTATATAGAGATAACCATTAATAAACAAAATCATAGACGAAGTGGGTTGATGTTATTATTTTTTAAATTTCGTATATTAACCATAGCTATTTGAAACTGGCATGTACACCAGTTGTTGGTTGTCAATATCAGTGAGAGATATGTGGGTCATGCTAAACCACACTCATTCAGAACATGCTCAACTGAATTTGACTACATGGACACAGGTCAGAGTCTTTATAAGGGAACATAGTAGCTCTAGATATTGGTCTTTAAAGGGGTACAATAAAACTGACGATCCTTTTTAGTCTTTAGTTCGGGAAATCCCCAGAGATTTAATAGCGCCATCTAACCAAACCAAAGTGAGGGCGTGGTAATAATGTTTGGAACCCCGATGCAGCTATAGTTCCATTGCAAAATCAATTTTATGCTGGGGGCCCCTTGCATAAAAACATGGTTCCAAATACGTGATCCTGATTGGTTGAAAGTTAAATTTCGTTTTGGGTTAAAAGGAGGAGGGGCATATAGTTCAACGGCTGGATAATGCTATTGGGACTCCGGCGGCGGTAGGTTTTCGTATATTCTTCTGTTTGATACTCACCACACTATCAATACCAAGGAAGAGCAGACATAAGAAGAAAAGGATCGCCCAGAGAGTAGAGAGAGGCATCTCAGTGATTGCTTCTGGATAGACAATGAAACCTAGTCCAGGACCTGATAAGGAACAAGAACAAGGAATAAGGACAAGAAATGAACAGTCCAGGACCTGATAAGGAACAAGAACAAGGAACAAGAACACGGAATAAGAACAAGGAATAAGAACAAGGAATAAGAACAAGGAATAAACAGTCCAGGACCTGATAAGAAACAAGAACAACGAATAAGAACAACGATTGAATAGTCGGACCTCCTCTACAATACGACCATCTGTCTTATAATTATCATTTCATAATATTGGTGTTTTGCTGTGTTTTAACACAAGAAAAGTGCACTCTTTTACTTCAGATAAGTGCCCCTTTTTCTTTATGATAGATGCCCATTCCACATTCGTGTAAATTTCCTTTTCCCTTCTGATAAATGCCCCCTTTTCGTTTCCCAATAACATGTGACCTTAATTTTAAGAGCTAATTTTTCTTGAATTTCGTCTTGAACATCACACCCAACTGCAAAGTATAATGTTAATGCATTATCTTGGTCCATTTAATGAGAGAAACAAACATTGAAATCATCCGTCGTAATGTATTTATTACAATGTAGGGGTATAATATACCAAAGACTAACTAAATTGTATACTTTTGGTTTGTAGGTGCCCTTTTTTGTTGTTGGTCTCTCCCCTCTGTATGTTTTCATGTGGCGTCGCTATGAATGCACGACCCCACACTTTAAATCAAATGGCGAAAAAGACAGAAAAGCGAGAGAAATAAATATAAAAAGATGTTAACCCCCCTTCCTCACCCTTCCCCTCACTATTATAGTATTAATGACTGCTTTGAGAGAAATAGTTGTTTTTATACGCTCAAGGGAAGGTTAGAATTGTGCTATTGCCCCGAGGCGTGCCGAGGGCAATAGCCCAATTGTAACCTTCCTGAAAGCGTATAAAAACAACTATTTCTCGAATATTAAAGCAGTCATTAATACTTTTATATGCCGAAAAAAAAAAAAAAAAAAAACTTTTGTCGAAGATGGGATTCGATTTCTTGCCTACCAAAGGTGATGTAACGCAAACCGCCGCCTTAAACCGCTCGGCTATCGCGCTCTGTTCCCTTACATAGCCGTTTTTTTTTTCTTATATATATACATTAAAATGGATTGAAAACGGCTTCGCGTGGTGGAAGCTTCGCGGCTGCTCCATTAAACAAGCCCTTCTTTTACTTTTGCAATGCATATTGGCACGAATTTAGATCAAGATCTATCGGCAGATGTTGTTTTTTTGTTTTTGGAAGTTTATTTTCGTCTTAATGTCAACAATGCAAGATAAAATTGTCGGTAAGATCGATCGAGATTCAATTGTATTGAAATTACCGACCAATTCTTCGCACACGTACGGTATCCTCGATCGCTCAGACCATTTTTTAACATGTAAACCTATTGGGTAACCATGGAGACTGACCTATTTTCCCAATAACCATGGTTATTGGGATTTTGAACTGTTTTTTAACCATGGTTACCGGGAATTTTCGGGAACAGTTAAAGTTTATGAATGCAATTTCGACCAATCAGATTGCTGGATTACTTAAGTGAGGTATATAAATTGTTTTATTATCTTGCATTTCATCCACCTTAATGTCAAGATGCCATATTTCAACCCCCCCCCCCCCCCCCCCCAGTGACATAACTGCCCCCACTCTGGATAGGCACACGTTAGCCATTGGGTGCGATGGGCCTCATACCTGATTTTGCGACTTCGCCGACTTCTTTTCCTTGTTTACCCGCCATAAAACCGAGCACAGCGAAGATGACAAACCCTGAATACAAACTGGTGGCGCTGTTTGTCAATGAATACAGCAAGGTGTCCCTGGATGGAAAAAAATAATGTCTGTGTAATTCAATTCTCATTTAAATATGCATAGATTAAAAACCATGTCATGTTATGCGGTATAAGTACATAATACATGTTCCAAATCCAAAGCTGATTAAGGGAATTTGGCGGAAATACATTAGTACGTTACCCCCCCCCCCCCCCCCCCCATGGCGAAGGAAGAAAATTGGGGGAAGTAAAAATGATAAAAGGGGACGACAGGAAAGTTAAGGAGGGAATTCACGGGAAGCGAATAAATAAAGACGATAGGACCCATTCCCTAATGCTCTGCTCCTATTCAATGACACTGCTTTCACCAATCGAGTGACAGGTGAGATCGGTGCCCCCCCCCCCCCCCCCCCGCCCTTAATTATGATAACGACACCGGTACCTAGATGATTCAGGGAGCGTTTGTGGATCAAGTGACCAGTGCCCCTCAATAGGGACTTTTATATTTGCGTGGACTGATACGTGTGACGTCCATTCAAGGCAGTGCATTAAAAGGACGTCGACCTTAGCAATCCCCATTGTCTTCGTGCGAATCTAAAAGTCCCTAATGCCTGGCCACGCACTTCGATACTAAACACCGATGACATCTCAAAGCATTCTTTTTTTCCAGTGGAACAGGCTCTCTGTAAATCACCACCAGTATTACTTGAAGTAGCTTCATCTATTTGCAAATATTGTTGACACGTTTTGAACAACACTTCAAATTGCATGCGTATGACTATACGCTAGTTCCGGTTAGTATATCCATCGTATATGACATGAGTTTTGATTACTTAAAGCCCCACTGTCCTACTTGTAGCTACTTGCTCCCTTGCTCCCTCAATATAGAAAACTTCCACAATCGGTGCATTTTGGTCCCCGATGATCCTCTTTTGTAAGTTGAGAGCTGAGTTAATGAGATAGCCACCTGTCAGTGACCTCGCTGTGTGGTCTAATCCCTTCTGGCCCAGTAGTTTTGATTCCTTAATAGTACGTGGCAGGTAATTTCGTAGATGATGAAGACTGTTCACCCTTGTCAGCAAACTGACAAATCAGGATTATATTTTTCGCCATCATGTTGGCTGTTTGACAACCTGTGTTTTCCTGTGAATAAATTTTGTTGGCACAGTAGGTAAGACCCCCCCCCCCCCCCGAGTCCCCCTGTACTATTTGTTTTTCTGCATTTTCCAACGCCCCTGGTATTGATGGAAGATTCTCTTTCTCCGTCTCTCTCTCTTTCTTTCTCTCTCTCTTTCTCTCTCTCTCTCTCTTTCTCTCTCTCTCTCTCTCTCTCTCTCCTTTTCTCTCTATCTCTTTGCCTGTCTTTCATTTCAAAAGTGTATACCATAAATACTTTTAAAAATGCCCGTTAATAATTGTGTAATTCAATCAAATAAAACCCGACTTCAAATAGGCTGGATTAAAGGCGCTCGCCATTCATGTAATGTCCCATATAAATGTATTATACTGCCATAGTTTTCCGGAATAAATAATAACCCCCCCCCCCCCCTCCCCCCCTGGATCCGCCCCTCTCCTGGTGAAGTAATATTTACCTGACAAAGTTGTGATTTCTCTTGTTATAGCTTCCGAGAGCGACCAAGAATCCTTGTCCTAGTGTATTGGAATAGAAGATCTGTGTTGCAGCATCTAGCCAGACCTACTCGAGAAGACATAATAATAATAATAATAATAATAATAATAATAATAATAATAATAATAATAATAATAATAATAATACTTAATTTGTATATAGCGCTTAATACATATGTCTCTAAGCGCCGGCTTTACAAATATACTATTACTCCGGTCATTGGATTCAGTGCTTGCCCGCACACACTGTGTGCACAATCTTCACTCCCTGGGGAGCATTCCAGCCGGGCGTTACTTTACGCTCACATAGTGCTGTGTTGTCACAATGATAATTATGATTAATCTAAAAGTACGTTATAGGTAAAATAGGTGAATGCCTGCATGACATTTATGACAAAAATTGACCTCAAGACGTTGATTGAAAAATATCTTTTTTAGGTAAGTTGTGACGGATGCGATAGTCATCTAAATAGGAATTTATGTATTCCATGTAGAATGTTTTCATTCTATAAACTGTTTAAACTCAGTTGCATGCTAATGAGTTTTAATCAAAATTAGGAGAAATTATACTTGATATGTGATACTTGATATATCATTCAATTTAAAGGCTATTACACTTATTACAACCCGACTACGACTACATTATATATCAGAAATTGATAGTATGGTATGATGTATTCGAATGGTAGATTCATCCCGATTCTGCCAAATGTCGGATCGTAAAGTGATCGGTGGACTTCGGGTTTTCTCGGTTATGCGGGACAGACATACAACGTAGAGTGCTGAGTGACCACATGGCTTGACACATATCGATTTGACCGAAGCCTTACCTGACTGTCCCTCAGTTTGGATGTATCCGGTTTGAGGTAGAAGATGATTCCATCCACAGCATTTGGCAAGGTCACAGCACGTACGAGAAGGATGGTGAGAAGTATATATGGGAACGGAACCGTCACATACACTACCTGTATCAAAAGCAGAATTCCAGACGATTGATTTTGTGTAATTAAAAGTCTCGACATGATGAGGATACCAGAGAGATTATGTCAGGAGCGATAGAGCAGGGCCAGGAATTATGGAAGATGGGGAATGACGTTGCACCACCGCCCCCCCCCCCCCCGCCTCCGCCCCCACATACACACACACATCAAAGGAGGAGAAGGGGAAGGTGACGGATGATGAAAAGAAGAATGAGAAAAATGATAATAAAAAGAATAAAATTAAGAAGAAGAAGAAGGTGAAGAAGAAGGAGAAAAGGAGAAAAAGCGAGGAGGGGAAATGTTGGTTATGTAAACAAAAATAAAATAAAAATTTAGATCAGTTGCAACTCCATTGAATAGGGGGCCACATCTTCCACTTTCCTCTCCTGGGTACGGAGCGGCAAATGTAAGAGGTGTCGAGGTCCAGTGGATACGTCACCAGACTGTGGATCGCATGGTTCGTGGTTCGAGTCTCGCCTCGGCACTAATGTCTTTTGGTAATATATTAATCTACATTATTTTGTCACACTCCGCTCCTTGAATACTTGATCCCTTTTTTTATGGTAGCTCGGCTAAAGCCGGGGTAATAATATAATTGCAGGGCCCTCGGGAAGAACATGTTTAACCCGTTGACTACTGAATTATCTAATTCACATAGACTTAACACAGGGACCACCAGGTTTCAATAAGCAATGGGTTAATTCTGATGAGGCTATACCCTTGGTGAACGAGACATATTTTGATATCATGCTATTATTATTATAAAATGACCTGGGGGGTTTCACAAAGCCTTTTTTCAATGACAAATGACAAAAATCAGTGACAAATCTGCTGATAACTAATCACAAGCACGGATTTCAGAAGCTTATTACAAAAACTGTCATTTGTCACTGATAACAAGTTTTGTGAAACGCCCCCGGCTCACCTTCCCCGATGATTTGACTCCCTTGCATATACAGAGGTAGATAAGGAACCAGGCGAGAATGAGACAGAGAAAGAGCTGCCAGCTCACTGCTCCTACATCATGGATACCCTCAGAAAGATGGATCTGAAGAACCTTCCGACTGATCAGGAGACAAATTAGAGAAGACGAGAAGAAAATGGTTTAAATAGTCACTAGTACCACAGTGAATGCCTTTAAAGCCAGATTGGATCGGGTATATGGACAGACAAGCGTTTCTGCTCCCCATATGAGTAGAATACCCGACACAGAACTGAGCCAGACAAACTTACCAAGATGAAGACACCCAACTACGAGAAGGAAGAAAATGAAATTGAACTGGAAGCCCGACTGCATTCTTCCAGAATCTCGGGTAAAGGTAAAGGTAAATAGAAACAGTTATCAAAAGGAAAATATATGATATGTACAAACGGACAAGAGGGAAAATGATAATACGAGCGAATTAAATTCAACCAGTCCACCTTTATATCTTGAGTTACGAAAAATAAAAATAAAACATCAAATTCACAAGTGGTATGAATAATTTAGTTGTAGATGGTATATCATGGACTTGATTTTCACTTATTATGCTAGGAAGTGCGGCCACCTTTGTCGTGGTATATAGTGGTCATTTACATGACTCTCGATCCAAGGGTTTAATCTTCGAATCTCAACCCGGGACTGACGTCCTTTGGCAAGACATCAATCCACAATTGCCATTCTCCACTCAGTTGCACATGGGTATCTGGTAATTGCTGGGGTCATAATAATTGCAGTGCGCCATCTGGAAGAACAGTAGCCGAAGCTGATGAGGCTTCCCTGGGCAAACAAATCTATTATTAACGAGAGAATTACTTGTATTGCATTGTCTGGGAAAACCTAGGAACACCCCCACGAATGAATTAACCAATAATCCATATTGTCTACAAAATGATAAATGAATTGTAACATATTTTGATCGGATCCTTGGTAAACGTCACAAGGGAACTCACGAACAACCAAATCTTCCCGTTCAGACTATCAGACAGTTCAGTTCGGGGTCAGTTGTGTTTAAGCATCGTCATCGTCATGACACCACTTCATGTTCGATGATGGGGATCATGAATCCTTTTTCGGATCTAGGAGGGGGCACAGGAAGCAGGCATCCTCCTCCTTCAGTGTTTGACCAACTTCCAAAGAGCTATTACGACACATGATCCAATGATAATTACACAGCGATCAGTTTCCAACATACACTAACCAAATTCCTAACTTCAATCCTAGACCGAACACTTTACCTTACCCTAAACGTAACAATGACCCTAGCCTAAAACCCAATTAATTGCAACCCCAACCCTAACTCTACATCTTTTAGTTAAAGGCCATCTGTCCTAGTGTACAGGAGGGATTAGACCACACTGCAAGGTCACTGGAAAAGTGGTTATCTCATCAAATCAGCTCTCAATTAACATAAGAAAAAGAGGATCATGGGAGACCAATGGTCACCGATTAGACATTGTTTGTTATATAGATGGCGCAAGTACCTATAAGTAGTGCAGTGGGCCTTTAACCCTAATAAGGCCGGGCTATTTGAAGTCTTACTACAGCCGGGGGGGGGCCATTATGGCCCCCCCCCCCCTAAGATCTCGGCCGTGAAACGGCCGATCTCCGCGAAAATTTGCACGCATGTCAAGTGAAGTGTATAGAACAATATGATAATTTCAATTTTTTGAAAAAATCCCTCATTTGCATATTTATGGTAATTTATGCAAATAACGTCATAAAATCACATTTTTACCCATAAATCCTATATTATTCATATTTAAGCATTCTTTTTCACTACATATATTCATTAGACCATTTGGAACAATAATACGACAAACAAAATTGGAAGAGCCAGCTTATTCCTTATGTTATCTCTTGTTTTGATAATTTCTTATGTATTTCATTGTTTTTTTAACTTATTTATGTTATTGTTTTTTTTTTTTTTATTATTTCTTCCTACAATTCAACTATTTTGACTCCCAAAACAACCACCTAAACTTTAAACAAGACCCAATAACCAATGTTTGATCTATTTTTAGGAAAAATGACATTTCCATATGTTTTGTACACAAATCACAAAAATTTTCGGGCTGACATGCAAAGACAAAAGGTCACGTGACCTTGTAACTATAGGTCCGATTTTTTTTTTTTTTTTTTTAAAGATGCGCAAGACTCTAAAGAAAAAAGTCAGCGAGCGGCGAGGCGCCATCCATATGCGTTCTCGAACAATCAGAAAAATTGTGGAGGGGGGGCCATAATGGCCCCCCCCCCCCCCGGCCTTATTAGGGTTAAGAAACACCGGGTCAGATCAGATGTTGCCGGAGCAAAGGGTCACCAAGAAATAAAATTACGCAAGAAGAATGTACTCGGACCAGTGTGTACTCACAAAGTTTGGGTCTATATCCCCACCCCTTAATAAACTTTTAAAAACCGCTGGATCTCCTTTTTGTGAATCATAGTCATGTACCTTGACAACAACTTACAAGGACGGGGTTAGCAAGATTATTATTTCCATCAGTCAGTTCTCAGGGGCTTCAAACCCGGATGTGAAAGAAAGAAGGAAAAAAATATGAAAACATCTTCAAAGGAAGGGCTCCTAATTTACTGTCTGTTCTATTGAGCTCCCAGCTCTCAATGAAAGAACGAGAATGTTCGACGATTTTATGGAATGAATATTAAAGCTTCACTGCACTACTTATAGCTACTTGCGCCCTCTATATAGCAAACAATGCCTAATCGATGCCTGTTGGTCCCCTATGATCCCCTTTTTCTTATATTAATTGAGAGCTGATTCTATGAGATTACCACCTGTCAGTGACCTTGCAGGGAGGTCTAATCATCCCTGGCCAAACTAGGACAGACGAGCTTTTACTTATTGAGGCCCGAGACTTTTAAATTACATGCAGTACAAACCATTTGGGCAAAACAAAATTGACATTACCCCCCACTTAAATAAAGAGAGGGTGCTACAATGATAAAAAAAGATGTATTAAACCTCCTTCTCTTCCCGAATCCGACATCTTCCTCCAACTTATCCTTAATTGAGATAAGATTTTGACACAGAAATGATGGAAAGGAGAATACTATCCACTTCAATAATAATAATAATAATAATAATCTTTTAAAGTCCACTCCAAATTGTATTAAACCGAAAATGGAAATTCTTTTTGCCCAATTGATCGTGAGCCCGGCAGCCACTGAACAGCGCCAGATCGACGTTGCTCTATTCCTTTAATGTTGAACGCCAAACAAGGTAACAGCAACTCCCGTCTTTTAACGTCTTGTGGTATATGGCGCGGCCGGGGTTCGAACCTACGACCTCCCGGTTGTGAGGCGGACGCTCTACTGACTGAGCCAAAACACCAGTGATTTTTATGAATTTGGAGTTAGTTCGGAAGATTCTTTTACAAGTGCCTCTCCCGAATGAATGGTGAAAAATGTTTCCGCTCAAAATGTTAATCCTGTAAAAAGACATCAATTAATTATCAATCACATTATCTGATCATTTCTTGTCTGGGTGTGTCATAACGACATAATTTTATAATATCATTTTTTTTGTTTAATTTTCTTTTAAAGAGTTCCAATGGACAGATTTATGGTGTCAAAAACTTTAACAAATGATTAATTTGTGTAACCCAATATTCTCAGTAAATCACACTTTTATATTTCATTACGCCATACATAATATGGTATGTGTGTAATATCCAACATTAAAATGTATATTAACAGTTTTTTTTTTTTTTTTTTTTTTTTACTTTAAACTCATAATGAAAACTATATTGAAATTTGAATTTGTTTATCAGATAATTTATATTCGGTCGAAAAAATTGAAATCATGATTTTTGACATTCTTTCAAATGTTAAGCTAAAAAATGGCATTTTTAGTAAAAACATGCGCGTGGCATCTTCTTATTCCTTAGTATTATTGCAAGATTTTTAGCATGGATACCATGCATTACCCCCAGAATGCAGTCCAAACTGTAACAAAATCGTGTTTCGGCTGATCTACTACACACGACAAATGGAGATAGGGAGATAAATTGAGAGAAAGAAAAGGATACAACAGAGGGAAGCCCAATACGATCCGACCCCCTCTCATATATCCCCAACTCAGTGTAAATGTTCTCTCCTATTTCGTCCAATTAAAATTACAGGTGCACCCCCCCCCCCCCCACCCCCTTCCAAAAACGGAAACAAGGAAATAAAACTTTGTAGACACCTGAGAATTCCCTGTTCATGGTTGAACCCCCTGTAGTGGCTTGTGTGATAAGCAAGGGGGCGAAGAACAGCTAGGTACGTGTAAGGGATGAATCATACACTGTATATCACGTCAGGTGTGAGGTATATGATAACCACAGACCCTAGTAATTCATATAAAGTCGGTACATACTCTGTCAAAAAGATTATTATAATACCGTTGTGGTACGTCGCTTACACATGCGCTAAAGTCGTGTGCCACCGCCACCAGCTCGATGATCGCAATGCCAAACGCAAGTACGCCATATGCAGGCGCTGTTTTTTCGTTCTGATTCCGTCTTTGTCCTTGGGGCATCTATTGAGGTGCACTACCCGAGTGGATCCAGTGTCGTTGAAATTGGGGGGGGGGGGGGGGTGGCAAAATAATCCCGACGTTAGCATTTCCTCCAGTAGCATGTTCATGCTCTCTTTCAGGAGAATAATCCATTCTGGTTATTTTTTCCGCAGTATTTATCTAATTAATTTTACGTCCCCCCCCCCCCCTCTCCTCTCAAAAAGATATTTCGGTATTAAATAGGTACAACAGAATATCATTCCCTGTTTCGACAACCCCCCCCCCCTCCCTAACCGGCCAAGCATAGGCTGTAGCTGGCCATACCCATGTGATTTAAAGCCACACTGTCCTACTTGTAGCTATACCTGCTCCCTCTATATAGAAAACAATGCCTAATCGGTGACCAATGGTCCCCATGATCCTCTTTTCTTATGTTAATTGAGAGCTGAGTTGACGAGATAGCCACCTGTCCAGTGACCTTGCGGTGTGGTCTAATCCCTCCTATAAACTAGTACTACAGATAAGCTTTAAATGAGTATACTTTGCATGCAGGGTATAATTCTCATTACATCAACCCCCCCCCCCCCTCCCCCGCCATCTTTGTGGATCGACGCCCCTGCCCCCAAACTTGTTTATCTATCCAATTAAAAGTTATTGAACATGAAACAGCCCTTACTTCCAAAACTCGACAGTCGGAGACGTCGTTCCATTCGGACATTCCTCGCTCATATTGAAAAACGAACCCGACATCATCGTCGCCATCGTCCCATTAATCCCCGTCATCGTATCCCTGGTCATGCTGCCGTTCGTATCGACGTCGATCACTTGTTCTTTCGCCGCCTGGACGAAGCAGCAAGGCGTGTTCCAATCGTTGGAGCACGTTGAGTAGGGTAAGACGGCGTTGAAGGAGAAGAGAAGATAGTATAAGCCCCAAGCCATTATGACGACATAATAGGTGTCGAGGAAGACTTGGATGACGAGCCCGGCACAACCAATGCCTGAAAAAAACAAATAATTCAATTATTTTTCGATCTCTCGCTCGAGGAATCAGAATATTAAAAGAGATGTAATGTTTATTGTGTACGTAAAATGATCTAAATATAACATGCATACGGTTAAGGACCCCTGAGTGGAAAAATTATGCTTGTACAAAACAGAAGGCAAAATAAATTAAGACATTGTTATTCTTCGTATTCCTTGGACCTGTTTGCGGTTGAAGAATCTTGAAATAGAAGATAAATAAAACTAGTGATTCATATGTCTGGTGATATCTCTTAAATTTAGGAAGAAAGAAAGAAAGAAAGAAAAAGATAGAATGAAAGAATAAAAGAAAGAAAGTTAGAAAAAGCACACGTCAAACAAAGAAATAGGCAAACAAAGAAGAAAGAAAGAAAACAGGAGAGATAGAAAGAAAGAAATAGGAAAAAGAAAGAAAGAAAGAAAGAAAAGAAAGAAATATAAGGTAGAAGAGAGAAAAAAGAAATAAAGCAATGTAGATAGATAGATAGATAGATAGTTTAAAGGGATCCGGTAACTTTGTCTCAGATCCTTAAACAAAATCCTTGATTTAGCTCATGCTGCAATCATAATTAAGACCTTTAGGTCATTCAGGAATCTCATGACTTTTACAAGCCGATCGCCTGTCTGATTATCAAGATATTTATGATTTAAAATCGAAATTTAATTTTGCGTTTGCCTAACAGTTTTCAGAACACTACAGTCTATTGGGGCAAATGAGTATGGTAAAACCGGTCACTCAAAGATTTTTAATTTTTTGAGGCACTTCATGGTCATTTTGAAGCGCAATATTTTTTTAGGGATTCAATATTACACCATATCACAGACACTGATAACATTGTTAAACGAGACAGGACCCAGAAAGCTTTCATACCTTAGACTGGCAAATGCTCATCACTGCAGTTAGGGACTGAATCTCGCATAACACCCCCCCCCCCCCCTCTTTCAGAGCTTACCTTTGAAGAGGGGGCTGATCATCCCCCATGCCGTGACTGGTCCTTGCCCCGTGAACTGCCCAAGCCCTATCTCGATCACCAGGAGGGGGATCCCCGCACAGAACACACTCAGGAAATAGGGGATGAGAAACGCACCTGAAATGATTATGGAGATGATTGTGATTATTCTTAACGATATAAATGATATTAAAATGTATGTTTAATAAAATAAATAAGAATATGGTTATTTATATAGCGCCGGTATCCGTCAGGTTCTGACGCTCATGGCGCTTTACATATATTACCCTGGTCGTAGTCGAGCTGCCAAAGTAACTAGCGATCAAGCATATCAGGTACCCATTTACACCTGGGTGGAGAGTGGCAAATGTAGATTAACGTCTTGCCAAAGGACATTAGTACCGCGACGGGACTTGAACCCCCTACCTTGTGATCTGCAGTCGGGTGACTTATCCAGTAGTCCACAACACCTCTACAAATGCGATGAATGGAGAAGGTTTTTAAAATGCAAAGGTGATGACTCCCTTTTTCTCACGGACCTCCATTTCAATTAAGTACTCCCGAAAGTCGCCAGACATGTTTTGTTTGCGATTTTCATTAAGATTAAGTCTAATTGTTTTCATTTCGATCATTCAAAATCTTCATTTGACTATTGAATCTATATTTACAGTTTAGGTCCGATTCTAAATAAAGCATTATCATCTTCAAAATGATGTATTTCTCATCAGAGTGCTCCTAACCAACTGATAAAGAGGTAATATATAATGATTAGAAAATGTACCTTTTTCGAGCTCTAACTGAAAATTAAATCCTATTACTTTGGGTAGGTGTTGGGGTTCAAAGTGACAAAGAGAATCTCATATGATGCCCTTTAAATTCGGGAGTGAAATTTCAATTTATTTATTTTCCATTTTGAAATGATGTGAACACGAGGGCAAAATACAGCAATAAAATCACAATATAAAAAGTTGGGATATTGCTTGTGGAACTGCTTGTGAGTAGGGGCTCAGTTTTATAAAATTATAGTTCACAACGTGTTGTGGTCGAGTGGATACGTCACTAGCCTCTTGTCGATGGCCCTCGTCTTGTTGGAGTCCGTAAATTCTGGCGAGCGAAGCGAGCCTGAGAAACCGAGCGCGGTTTTTCTGGCTTGCTTCGCTCGCCAGAATTTACAGACTCCAACAACGCGAGGGCCATCGACAAGAGGCTAATATGTCACCGGACTGTCGATCACAAGGTCCGCGGTTCGAGTCCCGCCGCGGCACTAATGTCCTTTAGTTTGGCAATACATTAATCTACATTTGCCACACTCAACCCAGGTGAGGTAAATGGGTACCTGGTAGGGTTATTCCTTGAAATGCACTGTGCGCTGATAAGGCTGCCGGAGCTAAAGCTAGGGTAATAGCTCTTTGGAAGCGCATAGAGATGTTATTTCATAACGTATTATGCGCTATACAAGAACTGAACTAGCATATTTAAACAATATAATACAGTTCAATAGTACGTTAAATCAAGATAAGGAGTGAAAATCAATGGGTGAAAGATTGCATACCGTAATTAACGGTGTATAAACCGCCCTTGTGTATTAATCGCACCCCTCTTTTTTCGGCGGCAAAAAGTGCGGTTTATACACCGTTAATTACAGTATATTGATTTTGTTCACATGCTACCCCTTTGGAGGTTCCATGACACATGCTCCGCCGACATTTACTCCGCAAAACGCGACAATTGCTCCGAGACATTTGCTCCGCGACAGTTGCCTCGCCGACAGTTGCTCCGCCGACATTTGCTCCGCCGATATTTGCTCCGCCGACAATTGCTCCGCCGACATTTGCTCCGCCGACAATTGCTCCGCCGACATTTGCTCCGCCGACATTTGCTCCGCCGACAATTGCTCCGCCGACTAGCTCCGCAAAACGCGACAATTGCTCCGGTGACATTTGCTCCGCCGACAATTGCTCCACCGACATTTGCTCTGCTAAAAAAGTGCCCCGTAAAGTGACTCTCACACTCTGCCGTGTAGGCCTACCGTGTGCCACCGTGCGCGAAAATGTCTGCGGACGGTGGAGAACGGCGAGGGCACACGGTGGTTCGTTATCAAAGCGGGCAACACATTAATAGGGCGTTGGCGCTTATTTACAGCCGGTGGGACCCGGCGAAAGTTTTGGGCATGTTCAAAACTTTGGCCGGCTGGCACCGGCCGCAAGTAAGCGGCAAGAGGATGGTGTTGAACGGTATGAGGACAGTGTGAATACGTTATGAAAACGGTCACACTGTATGAACACGTTCACAATACGCTCATAACCCGTTACAGAACGGTGATGAAAAATGGAGAGCGGACTGACCGTTGCCGTTCAAATCGGGGTATTTATGGCAGTCGTGTCATGACGTCAGCAGTCCGGGGACTCGCTCACAGGACGCTCCGAGCGGTGAGGGGACGCTAAGTGACTGGTAGGTGGCTGCTACAAACCCGGTGCACACGTTCGAGACCCGGTATGGGCCCGGTATGGAAACGGCCAAAATTTTCAACAAAAGTCAATCTGGGCGGTGAAGACGGTAGAAGCACGTTCAACACCCGGTATGCGCCCGGTGAGAACGGTCAGAAGATGGCAACGAAACGGTGAAAAGATTAATTTTATGAATTTTTTTTTGCGGCCGGGGACAAGTTCGCTCAAAACCCAACGTTCTGGACTTTTTTTTTTTTTTAATACCCCGGCAGGTGGACGGTAGGCCTACACGGCAGAGTGTGAGAGCTCCATAAAATACAAAGGCTACTACGACAATAATTGTTGCTCCTCCCCAAAAGTACCTCGCAAAAGACAATGCTCCGCCGACAATTAAATTGCTCTCTGATCCAAAAGTGCGGCCTCGTGGAAGACATGGATGCTCCTCTGGCAATTAGTGCAATAAATGCTCAGCCTTTTTTTTTGCTATTCCCCATAATGTTTGATTTAAAAAAACATTAAGTTTTAGCTCCTTATGCAAGTTCTCCGGCGAAAGATAATTACTCCGCTCAAAATCTGTTTCATTTATTACTCATTAGCAGATCCAAAGCTCAAGGCTATATATATCTCTCTCTCTCTCTCTCTCACTCTTGCTTTTCCTTTTCCTTTTTATACCCTTTTCTTGTCTTCTTAGCTCTTTTCTTTCCTCTCATGCTATTAGTCTTCTTTCATTTTCATCACTTTTTCTTTTCTTCCCCTCTCGAGTTCTATTTCTCTCGTAAAATTGTAACGTAATGTAGTACATTCTTGTTTAGAATAGTATTTTCAATAATATCCAGTCCGTTTTCTATAGGTTTCTTTCCTTCAGTTAAGTGTATGTAGCTTTACTATTATATATATTAGTGTGTAAAACACCCCGTCTCATTCGAGTACTTTGTTTTCACTGACTTTAAGGGACTCACGGAACCACCGGAAGAAGAGCAATTGACTTATCATGAAGAACTGACATCAAACTGCAGCAAAATGATTTGTATAAATGGGAATAAGCAGAAAGGCAATTTTGGCGTTTCATCAAAATATAGAGAAAGGAAGACGATTCGTCGTATCGTTGTTGACTCTTAATCCTTGTTTGAATTTAGTTTCCCTGAAAATGTTAAATCTCTGATTTCCTTAGCTGATATTATAGGAAAGTGAAACTTCGAGAAAATACAAGTATTGTAGTTGTAGTCACTCTCGAAGTCGTCACAGTGGATACAAAGTCACAGTTCGTAGGGAAAAAAAATTGTCGGTCGACCGACAATATACATCTCACCGACCTCAAACTTCTGCATTGATATAGTACACGAGGATCGAGCAAAAATACCGACACAGCTGACCCGACACAGCAACATATTTACCCGTGTCTTTTTTGCTTCCTTGACGAGACGACTCCATCCAACGAACCCCCTTTCTTTTACCCCCACTCCTGCTTTCTCAGGCTCTTACCTCCCCCTCCTCTCTTTCACACCCCCCCCCTCCCCCGTTTCTTTTGTTTCCCTTTTCTCTTTTTTCCTTTTTTTTCCTTCTCTTTCTTTTCTTTCTTTTCCTTTCTTTCCTCTCCTCTCTCTTTTTTTCTTCTCTTTCTTTCTTCTCTTTTCTTTCCTTTCTTTTCCTTTCTTTCCTTTCTTTTCCTTTCTTTCCTTTCTTTTCCTTACTTTCTTTTCTTTTTCTTTTCTTTTTTCTTTTCTTTCCCTTGCCCTCTCTTTTTTTCCCTCCCCCTTTTCTCTTTTTTCCCGACGGCAGCGCCATTTTACCGATAATATCCTGAGAGGTGGGGGGGGGGGTATCGCACCCCCACACCTCCCCCCCCCCCCCCCCCCCCCCTTGGCGACGCAGATGCAGATAGTTTACCTAGTAAGATGCATGTGCTTGCTTGCATTGAGGTCATTTCAGGTCTTACATATTGATGAGCTGTTTGAAATTAACTAGGAGGTATGCGCGTATTGGGGAATGAGGCTTGCTGCTCTACTTTTTTTTAAAAACTTCCCACGACATGGAATGAGTGTTCAGTGTACATCAAATGGGACGTACAGTGATAGATGGAAAGTTATTTCAGTATATTCGAAATGGCTTCTAGGTAACTCCTTTTTCCTCCCACATCCTTATCCTTTCTTCTTTCTCTTGCGTTTAGAAACATTGTATGAAGCGCATTATAAATGTAATGTATTATCAGGTGGGCTGTATATAATACAGATCACCTTATGTTTTCGTTAGAATATTTTTCTTATTTCTAACCATTTTTTTTGTTAGCACGATAACTTGAAAATGGCTCAATCAAATGCCTTGAAATTTGGCACACATTATGTATAAGCATGAGGAAAGAGCACAATAAGGTTTTCAACCTTGACCTTGATTGATAACGTCATCCAGGCGCAATTTTGTGAAAATCAAAATATGATCATAATTATCTTCATAACGAAAAGACATTTCTCATTCATATTTACCAGGATCAAAGTCAATATCAGTCCGGTCAATTTCACGTCAAAAAATGCGAGCGTACGCCATTATTAGCAAAAGCATTTCATAAAGAATCGCGGGCACGCGCATGCGCGCGCGTTTTCGTTTGTCACGGCCGAACGCTAAATAATTCATCCTGGATTTTTTTTTTTGACACAGTATTCCTCATGTTTTCCCGAACAATTTGATACCATGTTTATCTCTTTATGACCATTAATATATATATACTCTCTTCGGAACAGCAAAGACCTGTACCCTCCCAAATGCAAAACTAATAGATACAAAAATAGCTTCATACCCTGGTGTCTGTTTAATCTACAATGATCTTGCCAAATTTAATGTATTTTTATTGTCCTTTTTATTGAGTATATTCTCGTTAATCAAATGTGATAATTTTAATAAGAAGACATCAATCCTATTTTACATATTTGTGATTATCATACGACACCGTTTTATTAGTGTCTTCAAACTTTGTACAGGGTGTTAAATTTAATTAATAATCATTATTGCCAATTGTATATTGAATTAAACTACCGTTTAGACATTTTACTTAAATTACACACTTGTTCATTATATGAATTTTAAAATAATTGAGAATGTAACAAATTTGATATCAATGGAATTTGTCTGGATTAATT